TAGGAAGAGGCCTGCAGCAATTTTGTGCTGTGAAGTACAGTTCTTTCCCTCCCTTTCTGCTCCCCCTCGTCCTTGCCCAGAATTATCGAGGCCTTTCTGGGTGCCAGGCACTATGCCAATAAGCATTTGTGTGGCCTGACATTACGTGTATTATCTTGTGTCTGATGAAAGAGTCAAGGAGTACCGTTTTCTGTGTTCATTTCTATAGTCTATTTAGAAACTCACTTGGTACTAGTAAAACTTTAATAAATTTACAGCAGCTGTCTCTATATAAATGGATTTATGGCTGTATGCTGTCCATGTTTCAAAACAAATTAGCTAAAAGCACCCAGTGTTCAAGTATGATTCTTTATTTTTTCCTTTAGTAAAATATTTCTTGCTCCTTGAATAATGGTTCTCAGTATTTCCAAAATGCTTTGCTCAAGCAGCCTTTCCACTTCTTGATGTGGTAAAAAAAGAGTGGAAATGTTCATGCTAAATGTTGACTTTTGGGGGAGGTGTCCCCCTTCCCTGCCTCTTCACTTGTCATTTACCCCCAAACTACATGGAAGCAAAGGGAGGGCCTAGAAGCTGTGTCTGCCAGAGTGGTTGTCAGCCAGGCAGCAGCAACACAATTCAACTCACATATAAATTATACTTAATAAGGGATTTGGATACTTTTTTTTTTTTTTAGAGATAGGGTCTTGCTATGTTGCCCAGGGTGGCCTCTAACTCTTGTCCTCAAGCCATCCTCCCACCTCGGCCTCCCAAAATGCTGGGATGACAGGTGTGAGTCACCATACTGGCCTCACCTTATTAGTCTGCATTCCCTTATGCAGCCAAGTGAACTGACTCCTGGGGTAACTTTTATCTTTAATAACTGATCTCAGCACTGCCATGGCTCCATACTGTGGGTGACCACATGGCCACCAGGAGTCAAAGGTTCCTCACCCTTCACCCTTCACCTTTCATCCTTTCTCTTCTCAAGCCACGTGTTTCGGTGATCCAGGGCCATTCTAGCAAATCCCATTTCTGACACCAATTGTATAGGAAAAACAGTTTTTCCTTATATTCTCAACACTTCACTTCTGGTACCAGATGTGTTGGGAGTGAGGAACCACACCAACCAATTCTCCAAATCTCTTCAGACACAAACTGGATGTCCTACAATTTAACTCAATTCTGACATTATCCACCCGGAGTTACTGTCACACCCCACAGGTTAAGGGCTCAGTCCCACATTACTCGCCCCCACTTCCAACATCAGTCATAAGTCCAGATTGTCACCTACGCTCTGACCAAACAGCTGTGAGTCAGAGGTTCCCACAACCCCCATCTAGTGTTTGATCGTTTGCTAGAGTGGCTCACAGAAATCAGGAAAACCAGTTTACCATAAAAAAAAAAAATGCAATTCAGGAGCAGCCCGATGGGAGAGATGCACGGGGCTCGGTGTGTGGGAAGGGGCTCAGAGCGTCCATGGCCTCTCCAGGAGCTCCACCTTCCCAGCATCTGCCTGTGTTTGCCAGCCTGGAAGCTCTTCAAGCCCTCTGCCCCTCGCCCCCCACCATTCTTTTGGGTTTTTATTACATAGACATGATTGATTAAATAACTGGCCATTGATGATTAATTCAATCTCCAGTCCCTCTCCCCTGCCCTGAGGTAAGGGGATGGGCTCAAAATTCCAACCCTCTAATTGTATAGTTGGTTCCCCTGGCAACCAGTCTCCCATCCTCATTAATATAAACTCATTAATTAATATAAACCACATTAATATAAACTCAGGTGTGGTTGAAAGGAGCTTGTTATGAATAACAAAAGACACTCTTTTCACCCTTATTATTCTCATCACTTAGAAATTTCAAGGGATTTGGGAGTTCTGTGCCAGGAAGAGGACAGAGATCAAATACACATTCCTTATTGTAAGTCACAATATCACGTGGCTCTATTCCATGTTCATTTCTTGCCACTCTTGCCCTTATTCATGATGCTTTATCCATCTCTCAAACAAAATAGTCTCATTTCTGCCCCAGGACCTTGGCACTAACTGCTCCCTTTGCCTGAAAGAGTTCTTCTGCAGAACTTTGAACAGCTGGCCTCTTCCCTTCCTTCAGTTCTTAGCTTAGATGTCATCTCCTTAGAGACACCTCCCTGATCACCCTGTCTAGGTTGGCTTCTTCCTGGTAACCTGATCATGTCATTCTCCATATCAGGGGTCAGCAAACTTTTTGTGTGAAGGGCCAGATGGTAAATACATTTGACTTTGTGGGCCATATGATCTCTGTCACAACTATTTATATATATATTTTTTTCCCCGCCCCCCTGTCACAACTATTCATTTCTGCTGTTGTAGCATGAAAGTAGCCACAGACTTTACATAAACAAATGGGTGTGACTGTGCTCCAATAAGTCTTTATTTATGGACACTGAAGTTTGAATTTCATATAAAATATTCTTTTGATTTTTTATTAGCCGTTTGAAAATATGAAAACCATTCTTGGCTTGTAGGCTGTATAAAAGCCAGATTTGACCCATGAGCTACTGTAGTTTGCTGATCCTTGTTCAGTACCATTATCTTGTTACATTTTCATCTCACTGGTATCAGAAATTATTTATTCATTTGTTTATTTGTTGTCCATCTCTCCTGGTAAACTGTGTTATCCAAGAGACCACCAGGATGGCTAAATATTAATAATAGAAAGGAGAGCTTTATTGGTGATATAGGTTTGCAAACCAGGAAGAGACAGTCTCCTGCTTATGCCAGAGGTGCTGTCTCTTTGAAGACGGACAGGTTGGGTTTTATGCCTCACAGGCCTGTATCGTACACAGTCAGTAGGTTTAGGGGAAAAGCTATGCATATTTATGAGGGGAGCCAAGCACATATTGTAATGGGTAAACATATATGTAACATACACCCCATGTATCCCGTTTGGGGCCAGGGTTTTGGTATTAAAATGAGATGGAATTTGGCTCCTTATGTCAAAAGGTGAGCTATAGACACAAGGACAGTTTGTGTGCAGCCTCTACAAACTGGCTGAGACTGGCTTAAGATCTGCAGTTCCTTGTGAGAAAGGAATGTTCATAAGGCTGGTTCTCTGTCCGATTAGAGTCGCAGTAGAATGGGATGTAAATCAGAGTTGATAGCTCTTACTGTTATGGGGTTTACCAAGTGTGGTTTCTGTTGTAGGAATTTAGACATTTGGCATGCCAGCCAGGCCCTGAACCTCAACCCATAGGTAACTTTGTTTCCTTAACCTTGGGGTCCACCTTAGTTGACATAGAGGTGTCTATCTTGGTCTCTTGGATCACAGCTGTAAGCTTCTTGAAGGCGAGTTCTTTGTCTCACTCACTGTATTGTCTCTGTCAACTAGAACAGTGCCTGGAATATAGAGGCACTTTATGAAAATATGGCGATTGCATGAATAAATCTATATGGTCCAAGAGTCACTACATCCAATAAAGCCTTCCTTCCAAACATCTCATCTATATCATATTCCAGGTGCCATACCCTACCCAGAGCCCCACCTCTACCTGTGTGTTCGTGTAGTAGTCTCTCTCCTACAGCCTTCCTGACCCCTGGCCCTCACTCCAGACTATCCTATAGTAAAGTACCTTGCTAAAGTGTTTCTTTTATTTTAGCATTTCTCTGCAAATTACAAAAGACTTTCCACTATTTTCCAATTACTCCAATATACTGTTAAAGCCAAACTCCTCAGTTGGGTGTACAAGGCTCTTACCAATCAGTTCCCCTCTGCTTCTCCAACCTTGTCTCTGAGGCTTCTCTGGCATGAGCCCTCTGCTCCTGCCTTCTCTCCCTATTGTCCCCGAACCCGCTGCTCTTTCCTGCCTCTGCACCTTAGCTGGGGCTGTGCCCCAGAACCAGGTGGCTGTCCCTTTGGAGGGAACTAAACACCCATGTAATGTGCAGTACGTCTGCAATGGACGGTGGCGAATAATCACAAATGGAGCTGGGCCTGAGGAAGGCTGGAAGGTAAAAAGCAAATGTGACCAGGCAAGGCTTATGTGTTGATCAAGCGAGTCAAGAAGTACATAGTTACCATTGAAAAGCGCTGCTTGGTCGGGTTGTCTAGGCCAGGGCTTTTCAAACTAGTGTGCAGACGAATATTTGGGGAATATTATTAAAGTGCAGATTTTGGCAGGAGGTCTGGGGTGGGGGCCTGAGAGTCTGTATTTTTAACAAGCTTCCAGGGATGTCTGTACTTCTGGTTCTAGGATGACCTAGGTAAAGGATCTAACTTTAGAAAAAGAGCCCTGTCCATATAACTTGGATATGGGAACAGGAGGTGGTTAGCCACCGCTTAGGGGCCTGCCTATAAGACAGTGAAGACATTTCTTGCATTCTGAACAACTGAAGAAAACATGTGATGATGCAAGTCTTTCTGATCAAGGAAGGGGTGTGAAAACTGAGGACAAAATTGAGTGTGTAAGGCTGCAATTTAAAGGGAAGAACCATCGTTAACCATAGAATGATGGCAGTGAAGATAGCCATTGGGCAATGAAAGGATTCTAATGTTGGGTTGCAGCCTGTCATTATACACACACATGCACACACATATACACACACATGCATGACACAATCAGAGTGTATGCTGGGTGCTGTACTTTCTCCTGCTGCAGTTGGATCATTTCTTCTCTCAAAGGGTGCACCTCTTCTGGTCCACACTATAGCATACAGTTCAGAATCTATGTCTGATTTGAGTACAAGTAGTGGTACTTCACCCTAACAAAAAAATAGGAATTGTTTCTGTAGTGTGTTCTCTCCAAACAGAAGAGCAGGTAGGAAAATATTTTGTTGGCATAATAAACTACTTGGCTGTTTTAACAGTTTCTCTGTAATTATTAGCCTGGCCTTTGCATATTTGGCTAATCAATAGCTGGCCTTTTGATGAAGTTGGGTGTTATTTCCTCATGGCTTAACTTTGTGCAAACTACAAGTTATCTTGATTAATGATTTTAATGCTACTTCCCTCCTCACTGTAATTTTCCCTCTGCTTTTATCACAGGGGAACATCTGCCGGGGAGACTGAACTCTGATCTCGACACAGAGTTATGGCCATGGTAAGTTGCGGAGTGCCTCACCCTACCTGGTGCCAGCTGCAGACAGGTACAGGATGTGTACTCAGCGACTGTTAGTTTAAACAAAGCACTGTTTGCTCAACAGACAGGAGAGGGAGGAGGACATGAAAAGACCGAGGATTTTTTTAAACATCATTTTAATTTCTTTCAGCAGTCGCAAGCAACTTGACCCTGAAAATTGATTCAGAGAGAGCATCCTTTGAATCCTCTTAACAGCCTGAGAATATAGAAACAAGTTATAGTTATCTCTTTGCAGAAGCACTACAGGTGTATTTTAGAACATTTAAAAAGGAAAAACTAGAAATCCTGGAGGTTCTACCCTGGAAGATGACCATTGTTGATATTTGGTGTAGCCCCATCATTTTAGGCTCATCAACAGGGATGTTTCTTAGCTGTATGGGCTTGTCATCTTCCTCCTGCTTTCGACTGTGATCAGACGCCTCAGGACTTGGTTATCTGATCTTTGGGACAGGCATGGAATCCGATCCCTTTTGAGAGTTCTGTAAAGTTCAGCGCCCAAGCTGGAAACCGAGCCTTTTAGCTGCAAACGCAAGGCTGGCCATCTGCTCTCCTTCCCCCACCAAAACGGGCTTTCTGAATAGTCCCCTGATTCTGTCCCCTGGTTTTCTGGGAAGGAATAATAGAAGGAGAAATCTTATACCTGGAGAGGAACTGGAGATCCTCTAGATGCCTTCCTTTAGGAAGATGAATGTGTAAACTATCCTGCCTATATAGTAATATACTCTTAAAAAAATTTTTTTTTTTTTTTACATTGGACATTCCAGAATTTTCTTCATGATCCCTGACAAGGGTTTATTCATGTCTGCCCCAAACCTCTCATGCTTTAATTTAAAATCCATTTCTTGTTGATTGATTTTCCATGGACATAGAGAATATTTATTCAGGAATGTTTGTGGTGTCCCTGCTTTGTGCCGGATGTGGTCCTAGGCTCTGAGGACTGAATATTAACAGAGCAGCAGCTCCCAGCTTTCCCACGTGTGAGGACTGTGCCCTCGTGGTCTTTACTGTGCTTTCTGCTCCCGGGAAATTACCTCAGTGGCTCTCGTCTTTCCTCTTTAAAAAAAAACAAACCTGTTTTTCCATTATGACTGTTATTTATTAGACAGATAAGAGATATTTTTAAAAGAAAAGAAAACCATGCTATGCAGTCACAATATTGAAAATTCCAACTATTTGTGATTATTTTTAGACCTTACTCATATGTATAATATATATTTATATTTTTTTAGAGACAGAGTCTTACTCGGTAAGGCTGGAGTGCAGTGGCATAATCATATCTCACTCCAGCCTTGAACCTTTGGGCTCAATTCATCCTCCTGCATCAGCCTCCCGAGTAACTGAGTCTACAGGCATGCACCACCACACCCAGCTAATTAAAAAAAAATTTTTTTTTTTTTAGAGACGGGGTATTGCTGTGTTGCCCAGGCTGGTCTCGAACTGGTGTCAAGTGATTCTCCTGCCTCGGCCTCCTAAAGTGCTGGGACTACAGGCATAACTTCCATTAGCCTGGCCTAAAATGATTTTTTTTTTTTTTTTTGAGACAGAGTCTCACTTTGTTGCCCAGGCTAGAGTGAGTGCAGTGGCGTCAGCCTAGCTCACAGCAACCTCAAACTCCTGGGCTCAAGCAATCCTCCTGCCTCAGCCTCCTGAATAGCTAGGACTACAGGCATGCACCACCATGCCCGGCTAATTTTTTCTATATATATTAGTTGGCCAATTAATTTCTTTTAAAATGATTTTTTTAATAGTAGTTATAAGAGCATAAATAACAGTTTTGTGTTCTGCTTTTTTTTGCTCTTAGTATAGGGACATACATAGAATAAAATGATAAAGTAGGATACAAAAGTTATGTATTCACTCTAATCTTATGCTTTATCTAATCTCTGTAGTAATATATGTTTATATTACATTTTATGTCATTAAAATTACCCAGGCCGGGCGCAGTGGCTCACACCTGTAATCCTAGCACTCTGGGAGGCCAAGGCGGATAGATCGCTCAAGGTTAGGAGTTCAAGACCAGTCTGAGCAAGAGTGAGACCCCGTCTCTACTAAAAATAGAATGAAATTATCTGGACAACTAAAAAATAGAGAGAGAGAAAAAATTAGCCGGGCATGGTGACACATGTCTGTAGTCCCAACTACTTGGGAGGCTGAGGTAGGGATTGCTTGAGCCCAGGAGTTTGAGGTTGCTGTGAGCTAGGCTGATGGCACAGCACTCTAGCCGGGGCGACAGAGCCAGACTCTGTCTCAAAAAATAAATAAATAAATAAAAATAAATAAAATAATTTACTGTAGATGGTGGTGATGGATGTTTTAATGTTTTTATTTGAATTTTCCAAATTCTCTGTAATGACCATATGTTTTAAAAGCCATTGTAGTCAAGCATTTAAAACATTTTTTTAATGGAGATATAACTTATGTATAGTGAACTGCATGGCCCGTAAGGCTACTGGTAGATGAGCTTTGACAAATGTAACCTCCTCTTCTATCAAGCTTGGATGTTTTCTCATTCCCAGAAGCTCCTTCATGCCCCTTCCAAGTCAGCCCCCACCTGCTCTCCACTCCACCCTAGAACACAGCCACTGTTCTAATTGTTATCATCATCGATTAGTTTTGCCTGTTCTAGAACATCCTATAAACGGAATCGTAGAGTATGCACTTTGTTTGTGACTTCTTTCGTGACCTGAGCACTGTCTGTTTTGCAATTCATCCATGTCGTGTGCATCAGCAGTGTGTTCTTCCATCCCTTTCTGCTGCTCAGTAGCGTTCCATGGTGTTGTATTCCAATCTTTTTGACGTCTATCCTCTTCATTAATATAATACCAATAATATTTCATAAGCTGTGAATATGGCAGTTATTTCTAGCTATTCATTTTTGTCACTCTTCCCAACATCCTCTCTGTTTCCTTTGCCTGCTACCACAATGAGCTTTCCTGGGATGGAATCACCTGTCTTCCCAGAATGGATAATGGTACATTATGCTCTGGAATTTAATCAAAACAGATATTTGGAGAGCTAATAAGGAACAAATTTCTTGATCTTGGAGAAAAAGAGTCACTGAGAATGCTAATTGATAAACTGAACCACACTTACAAATCTCTCAATCGATTCATCTCATTAAATATTAATTTTAATCCCATAGTCATGTCCCTCAGGAATGCAGTTTGTTTTAAAGTTGCATGCATTGTTTGAGTACCATCCAAACATTTGTTAATACTAAAGTTTTAAAAGAACCTTGTGAAACATTCAACTCAGAAACCTGCCTTAGCTGGGCATGGTGGTGTGCACCTGTAGTCCCAGCTATTCAGGGAGCTGAGGCAGGATGGTCATGAGTTTGAGTCCAGCCTCGGCAAAATAGAAAGAACTCATCTCCAAAAAACCAAGCAAACAAAAAACTGTCTCGTGGTGGGGCTAAAGGCTGTTAGGCCATATTAGAACTTTGACAGCCAATTACCAATTTGCTTGTTCGTACTGATATATAGTAAAAGAAAAAGAAGAAAAGTGCCTGTCTTAGTTTCCTAGGGCTGCCATAGCAAAGTACCACAAACGGGGTGGCTTAAAATAATAGAAATTTATTGTCTCACAGTGCTGGAGGCCAGACTTCCAAAATGCAGGTGTCAGCAGGGCTGTGCTCTCTCTGAAGCCTGTTGGGGAACCCTCCCCTCCTCCAGAATGCCTCTTTCTGGCTTTTGGTGGTTTGCTGGCACTTAGGTGTTCCTTGGCTTGCTGCTGCTGCGTAACCTGTCCCTGCCTTTGTCATATGGTGCTTACTCTGTGTATCTCTGTCTTCACATGGCCATCTTCTTATTAGGACACTGGTCGTATTGCATTAGGGGCCCACCCTTCTCCAGTATGACCTCATCTTAACCAATTGCACCAGCAATGGTATATTTCCAAATAAGGTCATATTCTGAGGCACTGGGGTTAGGTCATCAACATGTCTTTTTTGGTGGATACAGTTCAACCCATAACAATGTCCCAATAAAGTTAATGTCATAAATTTCTACTTTCTTCTGTCTGGTATATAGAGGGTGATGATTAAGTGTTGGATACTGACCATATCCAGGATATGAAATCCTGGTCATTCCGCAGAGGAGGGCCATGCCCTGTGGTACCTGAGGACTTGGACGGGTTGATTTGGACCACAGTGGGCCTAAGAGGTCCAGGCCAAGGTCGTGTAGCACATAAAGCTCATCTGGGTTGCTAGTGCACTGCCCTACGGCGATAAAAATCCTTCATTTCGTTAGATGGCCCATATTACATCCTTGGATCAAATTAAATCATCAGGAAGCTTTAGCTCTATTCTACACAGTTTTTATCACCTTGTACAAATGCTCTATCCTAGATTCTGCTTTGGAATTACCCCATAGGCTGGCATGGAGGGATATTATAAGAAAAAGATACAAAGAATCTCACTACTATATGTATTATGGAGATATGGCTATATGGAGTCCTATTTAATAATAATGATGACAATGATGATAGCCATGAGTTCAAGTTTTTGTTTTAGTGTTTACTTTTTCCTGGGTTCAGTGCTAAGTACTTTCTTATATTATCCTGTTTCATTATTACAACAACCCTGTGAGTTAATATCATTATTCTTAATATACGAGTGAGAAAAAATGAAGCTTCCCCATGGCTACATAGCTAGAACAGGTTGAAGACAAGATTCGACCCCAGGTCTGTCCCACTCCAGTGACTGTGTTCCTTCCCCTTTAAGCTTCAAAAGGGGCTATAGTGATAGCAGGTGCTCACTGCTCCCTCCTTCCTCAGCCTGGGACAATGCACTGTCCTGGATTTCCTTTGACCCCAAAGACTGCTCCTTCTCAGTTGCCCTTTCTGGGTTCTCCTTCTCTGCTGGGCCTGTGCTGTTGGAGAGACCCAGGGTTGTCCTACGTCTCTGTTCTTCTCTATTTTTACTTCTCCCTCGGTCATCTCATCAAATACCACCCAAATGCTGATGCACCCTAAATTTATTACTTTAGGGACTTGACCTCTAGACTTACGTTATATAACCAACTGTCCTTTGGACAATTCCACTGGGATGTTTAATGGACATCCCAAACTTAACATTTTGAAAATAGAACTTCTAAATCCCACCCCCCCAAACTGCCACCCCAAATCTGGTAGTCCTCCTCCAGTTTTCCCCATCTGGGTAAATGATACCCAGCTGCTCAGGCAAAAAGATTTAAAGCTATACTTGATTCTTTTCCTTCCTCACCTCCCACGTCAGTCCATCAGCAAGTTCTGTTGCCTTTGCTCCAAAACATGCGCTGAGTCTGTCTGTTTATTTCCATCTTAACTATTTCACCCTAGTCTAGCATCTCTTCCCACCCCCGGATCTTGGCCCAGACTCTCAACTGGTCTCTGCATCTCCCTACAGCAGCCTGAGGGATCTTTGAAATATGTAGATCAGATCACATGTCCCCACCCCCTTGCTTAAAGCCTGTCAGTGGCTTCCTACTGCACTTAGAATGGTAAAACTCCTTACTCAGCTCGGAAGGGCTGCCTTGCTCTGGCCTCAGCCCACCTCTCTGATTTTCTTTCTCTTTATTCATTTTTAATTTTTACTATGGAAAAGACTAAACATATACAAAAGTAAGCAGACTATTATAAGGAACCCTTTTGTGGACCTATCAATAATTATTAACTCATGGTTAATCTTGTTTCTTCTTTATCTCCACTTACTTCCTCCCACCTGTGTCATTTTGAAGCAAATTCCAGACATCCTATCATTTCATCTGTAAACGATTTCAATAGGTATAAGTGAAACCTTGTAGAAAAATGAAGTGTAACCATAATGCCATTATTATACCTAAAAACGTTAAGACCAATTCCTAATGTTATCAAGTATCAAGTCAGTGTTCACGTTTCCAGTTGTCTCAATGTGATGATGTTCACATTTGCCAATTTGGTTTATCTTACTGCTTGTTTGATTCAGGATCCAAATAAGGTTCACTCATTATGATCATTAATATGCCTTTTTCATTTCTTTTAGACTGTAGTTCCCCTTCAACTCTCTCTTTTTAAATTCCCCTTGCAATTTATTTGTTGAAGAAATATTAATATTACAGATTATTTGTTAGGTAGTGATTCTCAGAGTCTAGGTTTTTCTGACTGCTACCCTTTTTTTGCTTTGTGGGGGGGACAGATTACCTCATAGGCGGTGGTATAGCTAATCTTACGTCTCCTGTCCTTGCCCACCACTTGAGCCATGCTGGCCTCTGTCCTGCCACTCCTTAGGAGCTAGCTGCAACCTCAGAGCCCTTGCAGTAACTGTTCCCTCTGCCTGTCACCCTTCCCTCCACCTTTGCATGGGCAGCTGCTTCATATCATTTAGCTCTCAGCCTAAATGCCACTCCTCAGAGCAGCCCCTCCAGCACCTCTCTGTCTGCTTCACAGCTCTTCTCATCCCCAGGCACTTTATTGAATCTTGATTTGTTGGCTTGTTTATTGTCTGCCTCCCCCTGAACTAGAGCATCAGCCCTAAGGGAGCAGAAGCCTCACTTCTCATGGTCACTGCTGTCCCCTAGCACCTGAAATACTGTCTGGACCATGGCAGGTGCTCAGCAATGTTTGCTGAATGAGATGCCTGTGTGTTGGTAAGAGCCTGCTTCTCAGTCACGTCACTCTCTGTGTACTCAGGCAACCAAAGGAGGCTCCATCAAACCTGCCTCAGCATTCAATGCTGCCGAAGACGCCCAGAGCCTGCGGAAGGCCATGAAAGGGCTGGGTAAGTGTCCCGCTGCAGGCAAATCCTCCCTCATGCGCTGTACGTCACAGAGTCACACAGGAGGTTGCTGTGTCCACTGGCAATCGTGAGCGGGTCTCTCATTAAGGAAACACACAGGAGGCTGGCACGGTGGCTCACGCCTGTAATCCTAGCACTCTGGGAGGCTGAAGTGGGAGGATCGCTTGAGGTCAGGAATTCGAGACCAGCCTTAGCAGGAGTGAGACCCCCCCCATCTCTACTATAAATAGAAAAATTAGCCGGGCATGGTGGTGCACGCCTGTAATCCCAACTACACAGGAGGCTGAGGCAGGAGGATCGCTTGAGCCCAGGAGTTTGAGGTTGCTGGGAGCTAGGCTGACGCCACGGCACTTTAGCCCAAGTGACAGAGCAAGAGTCCATCTCAAAAAAAAAAAAGAGGAAACACACAGGAACAAATCAGCTTTTTAAGACAAATTAGATGGGGAGGGGCATCCATCCTTCATTTTATAATGAAGAATTTTAAATGTAATGCACTCATTATGGATTTCCTCCATTGTTTAAATATACTTTGCATTACATTATGAATCTGTTTATAAAACTTTACAAATGCCTTTTGGGACCCTACAGCTGACTAAGGGGAACTCAGACTGTGAGCTCCCTACCCGCCAGCCCTCCCAGGTGCTGCTGGCACGGTGTTCCCAGGAGAATGGTGCCGACTCAGAGGCTGAGAGACACAGACGCAGCTTGGGCTCCCTGTGGGTGAATTGGGACCGGGACTCCTCTCCCTGGTGGGGATACAGTTTGAACTCTGGGACCAGAGGTTGGACCTGCAGACCAGATCCCGTGCACCGAGGTCTAGCATTGCCCGGGGCACAGAAGGGATATTTGTGAACAGCCTGCTGGAGGTGTGTGTGCCTCCAGGGGCAGATCAGCGTCCTAGAGGGCAACCCTCCCACCAAAGGGAGGCCTTGTGCCCAGCCCAGGCAGCGTTTCTGCGCAGGGAACCTCCCCGCCGGCATCATAGTCCAGGGAGGCCTGGTGGGGTGTGGTCTGGCCTGCTGGCAGAGGCCAGGAGTAGCTGTGGAGTTGGGGAGGGTGAAAGAAGTGAGCGCTGCTCAGACTCGCGGGTCTCACACCCACCCACAAGCAGCCCACCCCCACAAGCAGACTTTCTGGCTGAGCAGGACATTCCAGCCGCCCTTACAGCTTTTTCTGGAAGCAGAGAACAGAACTTTGACCCCTGCTAACCGCACTGGTGGTGCCTGAGGGCAGGCTTACCAACCAGCTCCGCCAGAACAAGAGCTGATAACAGGACACAAAAACAACAGCATACCCTGTTCCTCCAAGCAAGCGCACCTACTGACAGGACAGCATCCTGCACAGCCTTTTCACGGCACCCTGTCGCGCCCGCCTCGCCAGCAAGGAAGACGCGGCAACCGAGTTCTTCTGACGTGCTTTAATGGTTCCCTTTAGGCTTACATGATACGGAAGACGCGAGGCGTTCTCAGCGGCTGCTTATAAAGGCAGTAAGTACACTGGGCATTGTCTGATTGGATAAGGCACTTGGAAGGGAGGAGACAAACTCTGCACATGCGCTGAGCAATTGTTTGTCAGACTAACAACAGGTGTTGACCAAGAAGCGGGCGCCATCTTGGAATGGCGTTGCCACCCGCCCCACAGCACCCACTGACTCAATATACAGGGAGTGGTCAAATCTCACCCACAGACACCATAACGATGCAGAAACTAAAACAAGGCGTGTGAATACCCAAACAAAAACTAAAGGAAAGAAACAACGATGATCGACATGGGAAAAATCAGCGAAGGAACTGAGGAATATGAAGAACCAAATGAAAACACACCCCCAAGAGGAGCACCAGCCCCTAGAAATGGACACAACCCAAATCAGGTAACCAAAATGACAGAAGAGAATTTCATATATGATTATAAGAACACTCACCGAGCTGCCACAACAACTCAATAACCACACAAAGAAACACAAAAGGCCTCCAGGACCTAGAACAAAGTTCACTAAAGAAATAGACACAATGAAGAAAAGTTTAACCGAACTCCTTGAAATGAAGAATCAATTCAGGGAACTACAAATATAATGGAAGTCTCAAGGAACAGGGTAGATCAAACAGAAGAAAGAATCTCAGAGATTGAAGATAACACCCTCCAACTAAATAAAACCATTACAGAGATAGAGCAGAGAAACAAGAGAAAAGAGCAAAGCCTACAAGAGATGTGGGATTATGTGAAGAAACCTAATGTGAGGGTCATAGGTTACCAGAAGGGGAAGAGGACACACCCAAGGGTGGACAAGCTATTTGAAGTATAATAGAGGAAAAATTTCCAAGCCTTGCTCAAAATCTCGATATACAAGTTCAAGAAGCTCCGAGACCCCTAGGAGATTCAATGCAACGAAGACGTCACACATCCATCAGACTGACCAAAATATCAACTAAAGAGGCCCTTCTAAGAGCTGTACGAAAGAAGCAAGTGACATACAAGGAAAGCCAATTCGCATAACACCAGACTTCTCTAATGAGACTTTACAAGCAAGGAGAGACTGGGCCCGTCTCACTCTTCTGAAACAAAAACAATGCCCAGCCTAGAATCTTATTCCGCTGCAAAACTAAGCTTCATATATGAAGGAGAAATTAAGACATTCTCAGACAAGCAAAGTCTCAGAGAATTCACCAAGACAAGACCAGCCCTACAAGAAGTACTCAAAACAGTGTTAGCACGGAACACCATAATAAAAACTCACGAATATAAAAACAACCAAAACCCAAAGATTAAAGGCCAGATATACAATGGCTCAAGAGAAGAATCAAAGCAACAATATCCAACCCAACAGAATGAACAGTAATCTACCTTACCTATCAGTTCTCTCAATAAATGTGAATGGCTTAAACTCTCCACTCAAGAGACATAAGCTGGCTGAATGGATAAGAAAATACAGGCCAAGTATATGCTGTCTTCAGGAAACACATCTAACCTGCAAGGATGCATATAGACTAAAAGTAAAAGGGTAGAGATCAGTATTCCAGGCAAGTGGAAACCAAAAGAAGACTGGCGTGGCAGTTCTCATTTCAGACGATTTAGTTTTTAAACCAACAAAAGTAGTGAAAGACAAAGAGGGTCATTATATAATGGTGAAGGGCACACTTCAACAAGAAGAGATAACATTTTAAATATATATGCACCCAACTTAGGTGCACCCAGTTTCATAAAGCAAACCTTACTGGATCTAAGCAAATGGATTAATAGCAACTCCATAATCCGGAGATTTCAACACCCCACTGACGGCACGAGACAGATCCTCCAAACAGAAAATTAATAAAGAAATAATGGACTTAAACAAAACTTGAACAACTGGGTCTGACTGACATCTACAGAACATTCTACCAAAAATCCACTGAATATACGTTCTTCTCATCAGCTCACGGGACATTCTCTAAGATTGACCATATCCTAGGACACAAAGTAAATCTCAAGAATTTAAAAAAAATAGAAATCATTACCATGTACTTCTCAGATCACAGTGGAATAAAAGTAGAAATCAACCCTAACAGAAACTCACATTTCTACACAAAAACGTGGAAATTAAACAACCTCCTACTAAATGATTACTTCATAAATGAAGAAATCAAGATGGAAATAAAAACATTCTATACTCCTACACTGCTGGTGGGACTGCAAATTAGTTCAACCTCTGTGGAAAGCAATATGGAGATACCTTAAAGCGATACAAGTGAATCTACCGTTTGATCCAGCAATCCCATTGCTGGCATCTACCCAAAAAGATCCAAGTGACACTCTACAAAAAAGACACCTGCACTCGAATGTTTATAGCAGCACAATTCATAATTGCAAGGCTGTGGAAACAGCCCAAGTGCCCATCAATCCAAGAATGGATTAATAAAATGTGGTATATGTATACCATGGAGTACTATTCAGCTCTAAGAAACAATGGTGATATAGCACATCTTATATTTTCCTGGTTAGAGCTGGACCCATACTATTAAGTGAAGTTTCCCAAGAATGGAAAAACAAGCACCACATATACTCACCAGCAAATTGGTATTAACTGAACAGCACCTAAGTGGTCACATAGGTACTGCAGTAATAGGTATTGGGCAGGGGAGAGAGGGGTATATACATATATAATGAGTGAGATGTGCACCATCTGGGAGATGGTCATGCTAGAGACTCAGACTTGTGGGGGGCGGGGGGGAAATGGGCATTTATTGAAACCTTAAAATCTGTACCTCCATAATATGCTGAAAAAAAAATAAAAATAAAATGAAAATATTAATAGTAAAAAAAAACAACTTTACAAATGTATTTGTTTTCCAATTAGTGCTAGTATGTGTATAATGCCATAAAGTTTACAAAGCAATTTCACAAATATTATCTTGTTGGATGTGTACAACAACCATGTGATTTAGTGAAAGCAGTTCTTACTGTTGTTATTTTAGCCCCATTTTACAGATGTGAAACTGAGATCCAGAGAAGCCAAGTAGCTCTCACAAAGTCATGTAGTAAGTGGAACTGAGCTGTGGCTCACACCTGGCAGGGCCCTGTCTCAAGCTGAGGCCTGACAGCTCTAGGTCCATGGTCTTTCCCTTGAGGCCTCTGCTTGTTACAGCCGTGATGGGCACAGCTGCACTGTGATGACACCAACATGCAGCATGTGGAGTTTAATATGAGAAGGCTGATACTGTTTTCCAGTGTGCTGCACTGCAGTTAGATCCCTGAGGTTCAAGGCCTCGTGCTGGGTGGGTCATATGGGGTGCACTGTAGGCTACCTGGCCTAGTCCTTGCCTTCAAGACTTGGCTGGGTGGACTTTTGGCCACAGACGTATCCCCTGGTTCTTAGCTGCTGTTTAGAATCTCCTTGAGATTTTGGTAAAAACATTTGACTATCAGACCGTCTTTCCCAGGCTTTTGGTCCAAAAAGAGTATGTTTTACTTAGTCTCCGTGCTGCTAACAGTAACAACAACAGCAGTACTAATAGCAAACGTTTATTAAGCTCTACTCTGGGTGAGGCATAGAGATTTCCATAGGTTATCTCTTTCAATCTTGGCAGCAGCTTATTTTACTGTTGAGAAATTGGGGTGTGGTGAGGTTACCTAACTTGCCCAAGGTCTCAGAACCAGTGAGTGGCAGAGTCAGGATTCTAGGCAATTTCTAGAACACTTTCCCTCCATCTTTGCATGGTCAGTGCTTCATGTCTGACTCCAGAGCTGCAGGTTAAGCCACTGTGCTAGCCTAATGCCCACTTCTGAGCAGAACATTGTACTGAATCTATGCATCTTTCTTCTCATTTTCCCTTTTTCACAAATAAAAGAGAAAATGTACTGGACCCACCATTTTTTTTCAGGTTTATCCTAATTCTTCGGCATAGGCAAGAACACCTTAATTTAGAACGTGTATCACATGGCATTCAAAATGATCAAAATAGGAGACATTTGGCACAAACAACCCTTTTTCATTGCCTGCTATGTGTGGGCCAGTGTGAAGCCGACTGTTGGAGGAAACAAGGACTATAAAAACTGTCCTTGTGGCCACATAGTCCATGGATGCTAGCATAGCTATGTTAGGCACAGATATACCTATGGCCAGTTCACAGTATGATAGGAGGGGCACAAGTAAGATCCCACTGGGGTTCACAGAGAGGAGATCACACTTCATTAGAGGCATCAGGCAAAACTTCTTGGAGGAATCAGAATTTCAGATGGGCCTTGGGAGATGAGTTGAGTTTCAATAAGCAAAGTTAACAGAATGTGTTTCAGGTGAATGGAAGGGCATGTGCCGAGGCCTAGGGGAGTTATGGTAAATACATGGAAAGGCAGCTTGTGGCAGGAGGTACTTGCAAAGCAGGAGTAGGCTGGTTGGGAGCTTTCTGAGAAGGCGGGTACCAAAGGAAGTTCCTGGGTGCCACTACGAAAGGCACCTATAAGAAGCTCAGACATAGGGTGATGGTCCAAAGGGCTGGCCAGGAAGCAATAAATGCCAGAATCATGATGCTAAATGGAGGAGTTTGAGGAGACACATAAACCAAAAGAGTGGTGATGAGGAGGTCAGAAGAATGGAGTGCTATACAGTTGGATAAAGCACAGTAATTCAAGAGCTAAGCCTGGGAATTTGGCTGCCTGCTATCCTGTATGTGGATGCTTACAGTTGGAATGGGATATTGTGAACAGTGGAATCTCAAACACCAACTACAGTATCTGTAGTAAATCCGGCAGACGGTGGGGAGCCCTTGTGTACTTATGAGCAGAAGAAGGACATTGTCAGAGTTTTTCTTTTTAGAAAAATAAATCTGGCAAGACTTTGGGAAGACCAATTAGGAGGTAAGAATTAGCACACTTTTGCAGTTGTGGAGGAAGAAACCCTGAAATCCTGAATTGGAGTGATAGTGGTAGGAATTTAGGAGAATGCAAGGAAGGTTATAGAGCAAGATTTTGCATGACTTGGCAGGAAGTTTGAATGTGAAGGAAGGGAGAGAGTTAAAAAAAAATCAAAGCTATGTTGAGGGTTCAAACTTGGAGGAAGGGTGGTATCTTTCATAGAAACAGGGAAGTGAGAAAAGGTGATGGACCTTCTCCCCCAGCTGAGAGTGCTGAACAGGATAAAGGATGGTTGTATCTGTCATTCCTGACCCCCTTTAAAAAATAAGAACGGAAAGTAGGTCCTTAAGGTATGTATACTTAAAGTTCTATAGCTTTCTCCCCACACCTCACATTTTTCTGGATCTTGAGTCTTGTAAGGAATAATATGTGAACCTACATTTTTTCATTTGTTTCTGAAATATTTCAAAAGAACCACTTCTGTAACCCATCACAACTCCCCATATAGTAGAGACAATGGGAAAACAGAAGACTCACCAAACATATAGGAACATCCAGCTGTTACAAAGACAATGGACCCATTTGAAAAATCAGAATAAAGTCCCCTTTGTAAAAGCTGCTATAAGAGACAGGCAAGCAAAACTGAGGACATTTTAATTTGTAATTCATAACTTAAAGTTTTGGTAGGATGTTGTGTTATGGGAATTTTTCAGCAGTTACATAAAGGGAACCATTTGAGTTCAGGAAAGATAGATTAGAAATAAAAAACACAATTACAGATTTTAAAACACAGTGAATGCAATAAGCAGGCAATTTAAATTCTACAAAATGCCAAGTAAGTGAATTAAAAGACAAATTTGATTTGTTTCAAAACTCAGAGGAAGGCCGGGCGTGGTGGCTCACGCCTGTAATCCTAGCACTCTGGGAGGCCGAGATGGGTGGATTGCTCTAGGTCAGGAGTTCGAAACCAGCCTGAGCAAGAGCGAGACCCCGTCTCTACTATAAAATGGAAAGAAATTAATTGGTCAACTAATATATATATATACATATATATATATATATATATATATATTATTAGCCAGGCTTGGTGGCGCATGCCTATAGTCTCAGCTACTCAGGAGGCTGAGACAGCAGGATCGCTTGAGCCTAGGAGATTGAGGTTGCTGTGAGCTAGGCTGATGCCACGGCACTCACTCTAGCCTGGGCAACAAAGCGAGACTCTGTCTCAAAAACAAAAACAAAAACAAAAAAACTCAAAGGAAATGATAAAGAGACAAAAATGAGGAAGAAAAGGCGAGACTGTGGGAGACAGATACAGGAGATCCAAAAGATGTGAAAAGAATTCCAGAGGAGGGGAAGAAGAATTAACTCTGGTCAGCATTTATTGAAGGTTTAGTAAGTGCTTGACACTTAATTATCTTATTTAACACTTGCAGCAGCCTAAGGAGAGAAAGTCCTATGATCATTCACATGGATAAAGAAATTAATGCTTAGAGAAGTTAATTTTGTTCAGTGGTAAACAGCTAATTCAAGGAGAGCCTGAGACTCAAGTCTAGTGTCTGTTTCCCAGTAAAATAGACAAAACTCTCTGAACAAGGACCTCTATCCTTAGACAGCCCTCTGTGTATGTTTGGGCAACCCATGTTCTCATTCCTCTCTCAAATCACACTCACTCACTGTCTCTGCTCTGCCCCAGGCACCGATGAAGATGCCATCATCAGAGTCCTCGCCTACCGCAGCACTGCCCAGCGCCAGGAAATCAGGACGGCCTACAAGACCACCATTGGCAGGGTAGGCCTACAAGACCATCTAACCCTAACCCTAACCTCTCCTGCTCCGCGGCTGACTTGCAGGCACTTGGCAGGCAACAAAGAAGAAGCGAGGCTCTCCCTCATCTAGATTCCTGAAATGGTATTGCAGTTTCAAAGACGGATCCTTTGTCTTGTTTAAAGATATTCTTGGAAAAAAAAAACACCAAAACACAACCAAAACAAACAAACAAAAAACACTTACAACACGTTTTTCCCCTATACCTTATCCGCAAGTGATTTCGGAGCGCTCTATGATTCACAGACCTCAAAGCCAAGCTTGGCCCCTTCCCACCCAAGTTCTCACAGGGCCTTGGTTGTCAGATGGACTCAACTATCACCCTTTGAGCATCAGGCAAGGCTGACCTTCCGGAGCTGCTTCCCTGGTCTTGATGGCTTCTTTTAGGCCACTATGGACAAAGACTTTCCAAAGTTACTAAAATGTTTAAATTCAGTTTGTATTAAATAGGCCATCCTAGGATTTAAGGTCTGTTTGGACTCTTCCACATGCATCTGCTTGTAGCATACCATTCCTTTTGATGCTCCTCAATGGAGGGGCGCCCCTCAAATTCTAGAGCGGGGCTTTATGTGTTCGCATGTGTGTTTGTATTCTAATAGCGATGCATTCAGATGTTGTTCACTTTGCTGTGTTTTCCGCTTTACAGTTTGAATCCCACACTCTCAGGAACCATGTCTTTTATCACTCTTTTCAATGACTCACTTACCAGAATCATTCCACTCAATCTTTCCACATCATTGCAAAACCACCTATGTGGTTATCAAGAACCTTTTATTTAGGAAGTGTTTGTTATCAAAGTGTCTCGAGAGGGCAGAATGCAGAAGCTCTATGTAAGTATTTCTGTCCGTGAGATACTTTTATAAACAGGTAAACTGAGGCTACTTCTCAAAGACAGTATTAAAGTGCTGGGTGGGCCGGGCTGGCTCAGCTGTTCCCCAGAGCATCTGTGTGCAAACTTGACTGGGCACCCCAGTAGGGAAGGGATTTCCTGTGGTCAGAATTGCTCTATCTTCTGGACATTTTAAACTCTTCTCCATTCCCAAAGAAATTCAATGAACACAAATAGGCATGAACGTACCTGTGCTGTGTGAACTAGAGACCTAAATGGCATTGCTGTATGCATTCAGGATTGATAACCAGCTTCACAACTAAGCTCATTGGATGGTAGTTGGTTAAGATTTCCAACATTATAGAATGAGCACTATTTGTTCATTCATCCATCCATTCATTCAACATGTATGACTATAACATAAAAATATGCACAGTGGATTGAAATGAAGTGTTGTGGAATCAGGTTCATGAGAAGCAGAGATCTGAGTTTGCATAGCAGCTCAGCTACTTATTGATCCATTAAGTCAATTGATCTTAAGAAGGTTCTTAAACTCTCTGACTTGTTCTAGGAGGAAATGTGAATAAATGTCTTTAGAATTTGGTCCTTTGTCCAAATAATTATATTTCTTTTTAGGAATTGAGTCTTAAGAAATAATCATGAGTTATCACAAAGATACAACTAAATGCCTTGTGTGTATAACAGTAGAAAAATAGAAACAAATGACTGGTTAAAGAAGTTATATTGCACTTATATTTATATTTAGAAATCTCTGCAAATGTTACAAATGTGCTAGGTAAATATTGACTTGGAGATGTATTCAGGAGATATTGTTAAGTTAGCAAATACATTTAAGTCAGTGTCTACAAACATTTTGACCTCAAGACGCCTTTACACTCTTAAATTATTGAGGACTTTTTTGTTTTTATGGATTATATCTATGGATATTGAACATTTTAGAAAGTAAAACTGAGGACATTTAAAAGTATGTATTTGTTAACTTAGTAAAAATAACAATAAATGTATCGCATGTTACTACAAATAACATTTTAATGAAAAATAGCTATATATTCCAAAACAAAAAAATTTAGTGAGAAGATTGGCATTGTTTTACATTTTGCAAATCCCTTTAATGTCTGGCTTAATGGAAGACAGCCGGATTCTCCTATCTGCTTCTGCATTCATTTGTCACAATATGTGGTTTTGGTTGAGGTATATGAAGAAAATCTGGTCTCGTACAGATGTGTAGTTGGTAAAGGGGCGAGTATTTTAATAGCCTTTTGATATAATTGTTGCTACGTAGATATGTCGGGTAGCCTTACGGAAACTCCAGTGTACACACGTGAGAGAATAACAGTGAAAAGGCGAGTACGTCTTATTACTATGAAGATAGCTTTGACCTTTCTGGCCCCTGAAAGGGTCTTAGAGACCCCAGGCATCCCTGGACCTCACTTGGAGAGTGGCTGGTTTAAGTTGCTTTCGCAGTTAAGCGGAGCCACTTTCTTGCATTGCAGGACCTGATAGACGACCTGAAGTCAGAACTGAGTGGCAACTTCGAGCAGACGATAGTGGCGCTGATGACGCCCACGGTGCTGTATGACGTGCAGGAGCTGCACCGGGCCATGAAGGTTTGTCTGTGCTCCTCCTCGCGTGCCCCTGGTGCTGGCAGTGCAGACACTGACAGGCTTCCTCCAGAAATGGGGACAAAGGCCTTCTGAGAGTGGGGAGGATGAAGTATAAGAGAAAGATTTTCCTTCATTTATGACAGCTTGAAAACATGACAGTATATGATAGCATTATAATTTAAAGTTATTTTCCAAAAAAGTTACTGAGTCATTTGCTTCTTCCTATGGCTCAGTGGGGAGTGACTGTAACTTTTGGTACAGTTGCAGAAACTGTCTTGTGGTGTTAGCAACTTTTGAGATATATAAGTTTATGATTGACGCCAGGGGGGCTCCAGGATTAGAACTTGCAAGAGTGGTCTTGGCCTCCCTAGATGACCAATCAGCTGTGCTCTAGCTGAGGTCTGCTGATGTTTAATGACCAAGTATAAAATGCAAATCTAGATGGTCCCTGAACTTACGATGGCTGTACTTATAATTTTTCAACATTGCGATGGGTTTATCAAGATGTAACCCTATTGTAAGTTGAGGAACATCTGTACAATTCCCCTCCTCAACCATATCCACAAGTACATAGCCTTGTGGAAGGTTCTGGGCTAGACTCTGGGAAAGCAAAGAGGTGACAGAGTCTTTACCTGAAGGTTCTGCCCTTCAGAGGAAAAGAACAGAGGAGGTCAAGGAAGGATTAAGCTGCCAGAGAAGCAGAAACTGTACCTAACCTGGCACAATAACCAACACGTAGTAAACAGTCTATAAATGTTTGTTATTACTAATAGTTATTATGGCAAACACATTGGATTTGGGTCAGGACAATTAAAAGTTAACAGATCGTGTTGCTAGAACCCAGTGGGTTGTCTTCATTCTCTGCAGATTCATGGCTGTGTTCCTTCCGTGTCTGGGACTCAACCTTGTAAACTGGCTCATATGCCCCCTCCTTTGGTTTCGTGTTTAGGGAGCCGGCACGGACGAGGGCTGCCTGATCGAGATCCTGGCCTCCCGGACCCCTGAGGAGATCCGGCGCATAAACCAGATCTACCAGCAGCGTATGTGGCATCCTTAGTGGCCCTGGCCACAGTTTTGCTGTGATTTGAGAATGAGACCAGCAGCAGGTGGTTATCCACTGGTTAGACCCTCTTCATAGAAACACAGGCCATGAGGGATCCTAGGTGCCAAGCTCTGCTTTGAGAAGATCCCCATCTAAGCAAATAGCTGACTGTTGGCTTCTTCAAACTAATCACGTGAAGACGCCACTCTACTTGGGCTATCCGGTGCAGTATTTTACTGTTCTAAAAGTTGGAAAGCCATTCCTTATTAGCAAGCAAAGAATCAAAGAATTAAAAATGGTGGCACCAGCAAATCTTAGCAGCCTGGAGGGGCTGTCTGGCCCAACATCTTCCCTCCAGCCTGGCCTGTATGCCCTCCAGCCATCTCAGAATGATAGCCATTCACTCCCTCTTAGAAACCTCCAGAGGATGATACGTATGAAAAGCCTTTTTAAAAAGGCGTGCCTTTTTGCCCTAAGAATATAACAAAAAATGCACAAAGGTTTAGACCTCCACAGTGTTTATTAGCTATCATTTTAGCTAAAAATGTCCAACAGTAGCAGATTAGCTAAACAAAATATGGCACACTCACACAATGGACTGTTAGGTAGTCATTAAAACTCATATTGAAGAATATTGTTAAATTACATTAAATGGTATGAAATATAGATAAGTGGAAAAGATAAGCCACAAAATACTATGCTGTGATCTCATTAAAAAAAATTGACACAGTTAACACACACCGTTTTTCTAAGAAAGGAAAATAATATGTGTACGTGGGGGGAAATTAGAAAATATATTCACCAAAATGTTATCAATGATTATTATTTCTGGGCGATGAGATTATGGTGGAGTTTTTTTTATCCCACCTCATGATACTGATTTGTTTTTTTGTAAGTTTTCTGTAGTCAACATGTATTACTTTGTAAGAAAAAACCAATCACAGTAAGAGCTTTTTGGTAGGTGTTCAGAGCAGGAGATTCTAAAACCTTGGGCGTTTGGAGTTAGTACCTAGAGGTTAGTACCTGGTTTTCTCCCCTGAGGGTATTGAAGGGTTGGAGCATCTCTTGGGTAACTTGTCAGAACCTCTCCAGTGAGAGACGTGGTAGAAAAGGTGCACGCTGGGATTTGTGTTTGACGGCCCCCTCCCGTCCCCAAAGGTGGGTTCAGAAGCTCCACTCTGGCCTCCCACCTGTGACGCTGCCGTGGCCATTGCACAGCCCCTGCCGCCTCTGCATCTCTGAGAACCACGCTCAGAACAGACCCCTGGACAGTAGGAACCACAGAGAGAGGATTTCAGCCGCAGCTTTCTCGACCCTGGCATTTTAACATTTAACAGGAACATCTTGTCTCACTATGATGACAAGATAAACTCATCTTAACCATTTAACCAGAGTTCAGTTTTTGAAAAACTGTGTGTGGGGTGGAAAACCTCATGACGAGCTGCTTCAGTAAGCAAGCTGATCTTGAGGGGACAGAACGCTCTGGAGTGAGACACAGACTCTGTATTTGGATGTTGCTAATTTCACTCTCTTGCTAGAATATGGACGGAGCCTTGAAGATGACATTTGCTCTGACACGTCATTCATGTTCCAGCGAGTGCTGGTGTCTCTGTCAGCGGTGAGTCACTCACTGTCTCTGTTGGCTGCTTCTGATGGGGGATGGGTTTTATTGAAACGCTCCCCTTTACTGGCCTTTCCCATCCTCTCAGCCAAATGTGGATCTTCTCCAGGTGTTGTTCTTGGGCCTGCTATTTTATTTCTCCTTCAGAGACCCTGGCTAGTCGTGTGTGTCGGTTTGTTCTACTTAATATTTACAAGTACCCAAAGCATGCCAGGTACCCCAGTTAGTGTACTGAGAGTTACGAAGATGATTAAGAGGCAGTTCCTGTGCTTCAAGAGTTTATATTGTCGTAAGGGAATATATGAGGTGCACAAGTTGCATGAAGAGAGGCACATAGTAAAAGAAAAAGTGAAGGAGAGATTTCGGTTGCAGAAACAAAGAAAAGACTTCATGGCATAAGTTCAGAGAGGACTTGGAGGACTGCTAGAATTTCAAGAGGCAGAGATGTGGGCGGTGCATTCCAGGCAGGAAGAACAGCAAGAACAAGGCGAGGGGGCGGGAAACACATGGGGTGTGTTCAGGGAACAATTGTTTGAGCAGTCCGGCTGGTAATTCTAGAAGCAACTTGGAAGGATGCACTGTAATTCCATGTTGGGAGGAGTTTACATTTTATTTATTTGGAGAGCAGTAGGGAACCACCAAAGGTTTGGGAGCAGTAGGTGATGTGATGATGATGACGATGATAGCAATGTGATTGGAACTGCATTTTCAGAAGAGTATTGTAATAGTGAGGTATAGGGTGAATGGTGGTGAGCAACTGGAGGCTGGGAGACCAGGTAGGAAGTTACTCAGTATTCCAGGTAGGAAATAAAGCAGGACTGGGCTGGATAGGCAGGGGTGCCAGAAAAGAGAAGATGGAGATTCAAGACATTTCACATCACTTCCTAACCACATCTTTGTCCCCAGCCTCCTTCTTAAGCACGACTCTCATTTCTCACTGCTTTTCAGATGTTTCCCTATGGATGTTCTACTTTCACCTCAAATAAGTCCTCCTAAACTCATTTTCCCTCCAAACCAGCTCCTCTTCCTATTTCTGTTAATACTGTTGCCAGTCTTCCAACATGCAAAGCAGAACCCAGGAAATCCTCTCCAACTTCTGCCTTATCTCTGATGTTTACTTAACAACGCCTGCCTGTTTCTCTTATTTCCTTCCCATTTTTCTTTTCCTCCCATATTCACCACTCTGATGAGCCATTCCTAGACCACAGAACACAGAGACAGCATAGCAATAACAATAGTCTAAAAAGCTGGAGGAGAGGAGCCCGTTTTGTCGCTCTTTAGCATTCCTCTGAGGCTCCAACCCTGCCCCCTGTGAGCTGGTGCTGGGGGGCATTTTCACGTGCTCCAGTCCCACTGCAGGTCCCAGATTCTCTTGACTCTCCTCTGCTCCCAACCCCTTTTTGGCAGAAGTTGGTCACTGTAGAGTTGCCAGGCAGGAAGGCAGGAGTCAGCTGGGAAGACACAGGGGTATGAGGCGGTGGGGAAGGCAAGGAGATAGTGGAGGGAGCAGACATTCTCCTTCCCCTTCTACTGGCAGAGACACCGGGCAACGTGAGGGGCCACGCTGAGGCTAATGTCATTAGGCTCGGATCAGAGGACACCTGTCCTCCCTAGGTCCGAAGTCCCACTCCTTGTGGCATTTTGTCTAATTACCATGTCCTTGGGTTCCCAGACCGTCTACCTTAACTGCCCCCAAATCTTCAGGGATACTCTCTCATTGTTTTTGGTTTGTTTTTCTCGTCCCCAGGGTGGTAGGGATGAAGGAAATCAGCTGGATGATGATCTTGTGAGGCAGGATGCCCAGGTTAGTACAACTGCAGCTTCTTTCTTCCAGTCGTCTTCTCTTTTGCTGGTAAGACAGGCCTTAATTGGTGGAGAACCTCTAATATTTTAGTGTATATTAGCCAGGCTGGGATATATCATGAAAAAATAAAAGATTCCCACAGATGACTGTTAATAACAGAGGGGTTTTTTGCAGGGGACCTGGTGCTTGAGGGTGGCACTGGACATCGTTACACAAACACTCCTGGGTTCCAGGTTTCTTTTTTTTTACAAGCTAACTTGGCTTAACAGATTAGCCATTGCACATTGTTCCCGGTTTCTTGACATTGGGTCCGTTGTGTGGCAATCCCAAATAACCACTTGGAGGTGCTTGCTTTTTTCACTGTGCATTTTTACTTCTCCAAAGAGAGTATCTATAGGACCTGTGTAAAACAGTGTGGCACAGTGTATACCCTGTTGGGTAAAATTGATAGCAAACCCTAAGAGGCAGGTACTTCTCTGGTACCCAACCCACTGATGGTTGCCCTGGTACCAAGCCCTGGTCTAATCAGCTGTGGCCCAATAACACTAATTATAATGGCTAATAAAATATGGGTTCTTATCAGGTTCCAAACACTGCTCTAAGCTCTTTATATGAAATATATCATTGAATCCTTCCATAACTCTATAAGCATTGCTATCCCCATTCTATAGGCAAGGAAATTGAGGCTCAGAGAAGTCAAGTTTCTGGCTCAAGTTCAGATAGATAATAAATAGCGGAACTGGGGATTTCAACCCAAGCAATTTGCATCTAGACCCTGTATTCTTAACTAATCCACAACCATAGTGAGGGAGTGGTCCCATTTAGTGTGTGAGGTATGAATCACTATGCTTTATGTAGAAAAGGAGCTGCTGCTTTCATTAGAAGGGGGATGTATGTGTTGGCTTGGGCTTCTCAGTGCATGGCTGGGTTTCAACAGGAAGCACCCCAAAAGCAAGCATACAATTGAACCAGTGGAAGTTGCATGACTGTTTATGATTTAACCTCAGAAATCACAGAGTCACTTCCACTATTCTTTATTAATTGAAGTATACTAGTCAGGGTTCTTCAGAGAAACAGAACCAATAGGATGTGTGTGTGTATGAGACAGAGAGAGAAAGATTGATTTATTATAAGGAATTGGCTCACACGATTATGGAGATGAGCAAGTACCAAGATCCTCAGGGTGAGTCAGCAAGTAAGAGCCAGGAGATGGTTTTATTCCAGTCTGAGTCCAAAGCCTGAGAACCAAGAGAGCTGATAGTGTAGTTCCCATCCTAAGGCCAGCAGGCTGGAGACCCAGAAAGAGTCCATGTTTAAGTTCAACTCCAAAGGTAGTGAAAAAAGGCCTGATACTCCACCTCAAGGCAGTTAGGCAAGAGTTCCCTTTTACTCTTGGCGGGTGTCAGCCTTTTGCTTTTGAGGCCTTCAACTGATTGGACGAGGTCCACCCACAATAGAGAGTGCAATCAGCTTTACTCAGTCTACTAATTTAAATGTTAATCTCATCCAAAAAAACCCCCATGGAAACACCCAGAACAATGTTTGACCAAATATCTGGGCACCCTGGGGCCTAGTCAGGAAGAACTGAATTAGATGAACTTTTTGAGCCTTTTCAGCTTTAAAATTCTATGGTTATGTTAATTAACTCTAAAGCAGGAGGGAATCCGAGAAAGCAGCAGAGGCATAGATGGTGGTAAGCCCAATGAGTGACAATGTGTTAGAGTTAAGACCATTTTGAGAAATTTAACAGGCCAGCTGCTTATTATAAATCAATAGTAGTTCTGATTTATCAATAATCTAGTTCAAGTGAGCCGAATCAATTTCTTGTATTCTTACTGGTTGGACTGTAAGCAATTATCAGTGGGATCCTAATTCTACTGTGAGAGGGATCATTATAGAGCAGGGCTGTCCAAAAGAACTTTCTGCGATGATGAAAACATTCCACATCTGCACTGCCCTGTATAGGTGGCCACGGGCCACATGTAGCCACTGAGCACTTGAATTGTAGCTAGTGTGACTGAGGAGCTGAATTTTACATTTTATTTAATATTAATTAATTAAAATTTAAATAGCCACATGAGGTTAGTGGCAACTGTATGTGACAGCCCAAGTCTAGGACATTCCTTTTAGCTCTTAAGATAGAACCATGGAGTCTGCATATAGGTAACTGCAGGTGTTGCCTTGACTCCAGGGAGGCTCTACAGGGTCCTGACAGTCGCATGCCTAAGGAAAAGTCCTGAGTCATTTCCACTGGGCACCACCACTTCCACCTCCATCACCAACAACATAATACTAGGCCAGCACAGCTCTTTGAAGTTCTGGAAATATTTGCATTATGTCCTGGCACACCCTTTTTGGTTCTTTAAACTTGTGCTTTGTTTGGCTTCAGGACCTGTATGAGGCTGGAGAGAAGAAATGGGGGACAGATGAGGTGAAATTTCTAACTGTTCTCTGTTCCCGGAATCGAAATCATCTGTTGCATGGTAAGGCACTTACCTCACTTCCCAGAGAAACTATTTGAAAGACAGTGAAAACTATATTGCTCCTCATTAACTGTAACCTTTTCTCCTGCAGTTGGTACAGAGAACTGATTGTACCGAACTAAGAGTCTAAGAAATGAGACATTTCCATTTCCTCATACTCATGGAAATGTATGAATCCAATGATGCGCATGAAAGCCAATTCCTGAAAGATAAATTATGAATAATTAGCAGAAATACAATGTTTTCATAGATGTTTGGTGTTTCCATTACTAGGAAACTTACTTTCATAGTCAGTCCCTTTTCTAAAGTAGCCCCAAGACTTTCATTTTAATTTAGTTACATAAGAAAATAATCTTCAGCACAACAGGAACAATAAAATAGAAATGTTGGTTGATATTTATTCCTGTTTAACATCCAAGCTGTAAAGCTAATAAACATGACTTCTTTAGGAGTTATGTTGCATAATATGAACAGTGGATAATTTCAAATTTTATTTCCTATGTGTGATGTTTCTAATTTATTTCTGATAATTCTAAGCTTTGTAATATGCTTTTAACTTGTTTGGGGGAAAGATGCTGTACAGAATTACAGAATATTTGTTGTCAGGTTTATAGTCTCCTTGTAAACAGCAGTAAGGATTTAATAAGATATTTCATCTCCTGTATAAGCTCTTAGGTCTTTATGTAGATCATAATTTTATAAACCTACCATGCCCTTATAATCATACACACTGATTTACAAAGCTTGTGGGAAATTTGAGAATGAGTCTGCCTACATTGAAAACATAAGGTAATTGAAAAGTACAACACATTTTGAAGTTGTAATTACTTCAGTTATTCCACAGTGACCCCAAAAAAGGTGATTGCTCCTGTTAATAAACCCCCTGGGCTACCATCAGATGCACCAACTTTGGACCCATTGCCATCCCTTGCCTGATTACGAATAACACAAATCTCCCCCTGGTGGTACTTTCCAAGAACTTCAGGTCCTTCAGAAGCCGATTTCGTGCATAAACATATTTGTAAGAGTTTTCATTTGCAGGCACAAATCCCACAGTTGGGCAGTTATAAAATATCTGTTTGTAAGCCACTGGCAGGAAATATTTTTGGCATTATTTGGATAAAGAAAACTTCATAATTTTCTTACCAACCAACAATAATGGTGAGGATTCACAATAAAGTTTTAAAATACTTTCCTATCTTCTATGTGTAGTGTTAAGCATATTATGAGCATTGTTTCTTGCAACATCCCAATGGAGTAGTCATTATTTTCCCCATTTTACACTGGAGAAAACTGAGGCTTAAAAAGTGTGTCAATTAGATTCTTTAATTCCAAGCAATATACGCTGACTCCAACTTAAGAGGAAATAATACAGAATCAGACAAGAGGGAAAATGAAAAATGCTGGTAGCTCACAAAATTGAATGGAGAGATGAACAACTTCAGGAAGAACAGAAACCAAGGTATCTATCAAGGGAGGGAGCTGAGTAAAAAAAAAAAAAAAGAAACCAAGGCAGTTCTGGGGATCTCAGTAGAAGGGAGTTGTGGATTTTATTTTTAAGGCAGAATTTTCTGAAATCTGTTCTCCATTAAAAATACTGATTTTCTTGAAGCCCTTCTTCAGACTGGTTGAATTAGAATCTCTGGGAGTGACACCTAGGAATTTTAATAGCTATCCCAGGTGATACTCATTATGTTCACTGAGGATAAAGATGACTCAGTGCTTTTGGCCATCCCTGTGATCTGCTCAATTTTAAACTTTTTAAATTCCCAGAAAGGTAAGTCTAATGGGTCCTGACTAGGTGAACTGCTTGCTGGGTATAAGTGTCCCCTGATTGATAGCCCTGTGAAAATCACATGGATAGAGGTTAGGCAGCACCCCAAAGAAGATAAACAAAATAGAAACCTGGTCTGAGAAGGTTCTGGAAAGGGACAGAAAGAGAGGAAAATATATTCATCACACTCAAAAATACTTGGCAAATATAATGATAGATAATAGCGGAAAGAAAAAAAAGAAAAAAATACTTAGCAAAAAAACAAATTTAATTATGTTAAATCCTATTAAAAGATGCAACCAGCCGGGCGTGGTGGCTCACGCCTGTAATCCTAGCTCTCTGGGAGGCCGAGGCGGGCGGATTGCTCGAGGTCAGGAGTTCGAAACCAGCCTGAGCAAGAGCGAGACCCCGTCTCTACTATAAATAGAAAGAAACTAATTGGCCAACTAATATATATAGAAAAAATTAGCCGGGCATGGTGGCGCATGCCTGTAGTCCCAGCTACTTGGGAGGCTGAGACAGAAGGATCGCTTGAGCCCAGGAGTTTGAGGTTGCTGTGAGCTAGGCTGACACCACGGCACTCACTCTAGCCTGGGCAACAAAGTGAGACTCTGTCTCAAAAAAAAAAAAAAAAAAAAGATGCAACCAGCTATTATTAAATGTGACTCAGTTTTGAAGAGATTGAATTCTTCAGTGCTTTTTTTAACTCTGCCATAAACTTGATTTTATGAATTGCTCTAGTTTTGATGAACACACAGGTGATTGCCAAGGCCAAAATTACAAAAAGAAACAGTCTGCTTATTAAGGAAACAATGAGAAAAGAAAGCAAATGTTTCCAGAGGTCATGTCCATTCTATGTGTGAGGAAACAGGGTCCCAGTTAAGGGAAGGGACTTGTCTGATGTTCTCCAAGCATCACAGTATTTCTTCTTCCTCACCCAGGCCCATGCCACTGTGCTATGTCCTTCCTGGATGCTTGCCCACAGCACTAATTAGTTTCCTCTTGAAATATGCCTAAGAATAAATAGTGCAGGCTAGTTAAAAAATGCTCATTCTCTCCATAAATTTTAGTTTCCTCTATTTTTTTAATTATTGATAGTGCCTTTTTTTGTTATTTGTAGTGTTTGATGAATACAAAAGGATATCACAGAAGGATATTGAACAGAGTATTAAATCTGAAACATCTGGGAGCTTTGAAGATGCTCTGCTGGCTATAGGTAAGCTGGTAGGGGGCGAGGAGTGGAGAAACAAATGTCTATAGACTTTCCTCCTTGTTATCAATTTGTTGGCATGGAGATATGAAATTTTTTTCAGAGATAAAAGTTATTTAAATTACTCATGGTACATTCCAGAATTTTATTTATTTATTTATTTATGAGGCAGAGTCTCACTCTGTTGCCTGGGCTAGAGTGCCATGGCATCAGCCTAGCTCACAGCAACCTCAAACTCCTGGGCTCAAGCAATCCTCCTGCCTCAGCCTCCCGAGTAGCTGGGACTACAGGCATGCGCAACCATGCCCAGCTAATTTTTTCTATATTTTTAGTTGGCCAATTAATTTCTTTCTATTTTTAGTAGAGATGAGTTTTCGCTCTTGCTCAGGCTGGTTTCAAACTCCTGATCTCGAGTGATCCTCCAGCCTCGGCCTCCTAGAGTGCTAGGATTACAGACGTGAGCCACCACACCTGGCCTCATTCCAGAATTTTAAACAAGAAATATTATATACAACCTGACTTCTATTATGACATGTGGTTTATATATTTTATATCTTATCTGCCTTTATAACTCATTATATGGGAAAGATAATACTAGTTGCATCTTGCAAGTCTGTGAATGGTTAGAATTCATAACTGTCTAATATGGTAGAGACAGTAATCATCATTTTGAAACTATATGCCACCCTATGCTTTGATTACCTTTATTAATTACTTCTTCAGGAACTTGATGATAAATTGAGGGTACTTTCTGTGAAAATGCATGTTCATGAAACACTGCTTAGCTAAAATTTCTCCAGCCAAGCAATATTACTTGGTATCCTGTAGAAAGTGAGGGAACAACTGTCACTTTTCTTTTCTCACAAGTCTTATCTGTAATCTTTTTATTTCTTTTTTTCTCTACAGTTAAGTGTATGAGGAACAAATCTGCATATTTTGCTGAAAGGCTTTATAAATCGATGAAGGTAAATGGAGGTCACTTTTAGCATCTGAATGACTTTGGCATATATTATGTTCACCTTTTAAGGCTTACTTATACAACCCCTATCATATTTCAGCCTGAAATATCCAATTCAATTCATCAAATACTTCACTGAGTACTTGCTAATAACAATGCTAGGTGATATTTATTGACAACTTAGGATGTGTGGATCACTGTTCATAATGCCTTATATGCATAGATTAATTTTATCCCCACGACAGCACTATGGGGCAGGTACTGTTATTAACCCCCATTTTACAGATGAAGAAACTTGGGCATAGAGAGGCTACGCAGTTTGCTCAAGGTCCTCAGTGAGGACGTGATGGAGCAAGGATGCAAACACTGGCAGTCTAGCTCCAGAGCCCATACTCCTCACCCTGCACTGCATTCTGTGCAAGCACCCATCATATGGGATCACGAGAGGTGCAGGAAGGACCAAAATGTAGTACTTTCAAAGAATGTCTAGCCTTATGGGGAAAGCAAGTATGTGCAAAACACTAATAATAACAAGATAGGATGTAAGACAGCAGTTGAGGATCCAAATATTATAGGAACAGACAAGAAAGAGTATTTCTTTTAATATTTTTTGGGGGGTAGGGGAGGCTCTGCAAAGAATATATGAAGAAGTTAGCATATTTGAGCAGGACCTTCAAGGAAGTTTTACATCAAAGGATTTTACATGGTAAGGGAGAGGGATGGGAAGGGGGAGAAGGGAAGGATGACATTCCAGGGAATCGTAGGTGAGGCAGGCAAGCTGGACAGCCCAGAGTGGCTCTTGAGAAAGGCAGAGGGCAGTGTCTTCTGGTCAGGATATAGAGTGTTGGAAAAGTAAGATGTGGAGAGCCTTGAATACCATGGCAAGGAACAAGGCAAATCCTCAAGCCTCCAAGGTTGTGGAACAAAGGATACGATCAGGAAGAGTCATCCCTAATCTTGCCTTGATAGACTGAAGAAGATTCTGCCTGAAAACCAGTTAGTTTTTCATATATGCAAGGTCTTCTTTTCTTCCTTAGGGCTTGGGCACGGATGATAACACCCTCATCCGAGTGATGGTTTCTCGAGCAGAGATTGACATGATGGACATCCGGGCACACTTCAAGAGGCTCTATGGAAAGTCTCTGTACTCTTTCATCAAGGTAGGTCCCAGCAGCCTTGGGCCACGGGAAAGCACTGAGGAAAGGGCGGCTCTGACCTCAGCGTTCAGCACTCCTTGTCCCCCCTTCTTGGCACATATTATTCCCTTTAAAAATGGCACGCCAGATACTTCTAGTCTCTCTCCTTTCATATAGACATTTAACCATTTGTCAGGATAGACGCTGGAAATATTTGCCTTTTAAATACAGTAATTATTTCATGTTGACCCCAGACAGCGAAAGATAACATTTTAATGAATTCTTTTAAGAGCACAACTTCCTTATCTACCCAATTATCATAAGAGATAAGCAACTGAATCCAGAGTCCTATGCAGGGCCAGCTGAGGTCTGCTGGAAGCAAGGGAAAGCATTTGAGTCAACCTGAATTGTTGTTCCTCACCTGGCACCAGACTTCTAGGAGTCCTAAGGTGACATAGGAGTGATGAGAAATGATTCACAGCCCTCAAAACCCCTCATTACCAGGATTTTGCTTCTTGAAGAAGCCGTAAGAGTCTCATGGACATGAAACTGAGACATACTTCCTTGGAAACTGGGGTCGTCTGTGCAACAAACTTCAAATCAGGATTTGATCTATGAATTAAATATTCTGAATCCTACTCATGGCTTGGAGAGGTCTAACTATTAGGTGATTTGAGCTGCAGATTTTGTTACTATGTCTACAAGGCATTCAGGAACTTATTTCTATTTCTGTTCAGGCTATGAGGTAACTTTATTTTGCAGAGCTGAGCTATATAGCTAGCTTAAGATTCAAGGATGACCATAAATGAAGTTATGGGAAAATATACTTGTATCATATAACTGTATTAAGAGCTTTACAAATCACTAGGAACTGGGCAAAAGGATATTAACCATGCATTTCATGAAAGATGAAACATGAAAAGCCAAGAATATATAGAAAATATGGAATCTCACTAATATTTAACAAATTACAAATAAAAACAAATCATCATTTTTTACCTAATGCCTTAACAAAGTTTAAAGAAATCATAACTAGCATTGGGAAGTGCTTGGGGAAAACTCATTGTTTTGCTTTATGGAGGGACTATAAACTGGTATAACTTTTATCTGATAAGGGTTTACAATTCAAAATATATAAAGAACTACAACTCAACAACAAAAGACAACCCAATTAAAAAATAGGCAAAGGACTTGAATAGACATTTCTCCAAAGAAAATATACAAATGGCCACTAAGCACATGAAATGATGCTCAATATCATTAATCATTAGCAAAATGCAAATCAAAACCAGAATACCATTTCATACCTAATAGGGTGACTATAATTAAAAAGAAAAAGCAAGTAAACAAACGCCCCCACATCCAGAAAATAACAAATGTTGGTGAGGATGTAGAGAAATTGGAAGTCTCCTACATTGCTAGTGGGAATGTCAAATGTTTCAGCCACTGTGGAAAATAGTCTGGTGCTTCCTCAAAAAGTTTAACATAGAACAACCATATGACCCAGAAATTCCACTCTCAGGTAGCTATAGAGTCAAAAGAAATGAAAACAGGGACTCAAACAGATACTTGTACACCAGTGTAAACATTATTCACAATAGGCAAAAGATAGAAACAGCCTAAGTATCCATCAACACATATATGGATAAACTAAATGTATATACATACATACATACATGCATAAAAAGGAATGACATTCAATGGTAGGCTGTCATGGAAAAAACTGACATTTCTGATACATGGTTAAATACTGAAAATATGCTAAGTGAATAAACCAGACACAAAAGGACAAATATTGTATGATTCCACTTACATAAAATATGTAGCATGGGTAAATTCACAGAGACAGAAAGTAGATTAGCAGTTATTAGGGATTGGTGGGGGAAGAATGGGAGAAGTTATTGCTTAATGTGTACAGTTTCTGTTTGAGATGATGAAAGGGTTTTGGAAATAGCAACAATGGTTGCACAACATTGTAAATGTCATTAATGCCACTGAATTATACACTTAAAAATGATTAAAATGACAAATTTTATATGTTTTAGATATATTTACCATAATAAAAAGGTCTCTGAAAGATTTTGAATAAAATTATTTAATAAAATGTGCAAAAAGTATACCAGGTAATATACTTCCAGCATAGCACTATTTATATTAGTTTAATATTATAGTATATAATTTATTATATAACATATTATTATTTGTATTAATAGGGAATAACCTAGGTGGGTTATAGAAAATCCATATATATGCTATTAATACTATACACGCACTAAAATGATGGAGTAGAAATATATTGATTGGCTTGGGAAAACATCACTATAAAATATTTATGTTTGTAAATGTAAGTTTATACATATATGTGTATACACACATACTACTAGAAAAGATTGAAAATAAAAATACCTTGCCCATTCAATAATAATTGTCAAAAGAAGCAAAAATAGACCAGGCGCAGTGGCTCACACCTCTAGTCCTAGCACTTTGGGAGGCTGAGGCAAGAGGATTGCTTGAGGCCAAGAGTTCAACACCAGCCTGGGTGATAGTGAGACCCCATACCTACAAAAAAATTTTTTTTAATTAGCCAGGCTTTGTGGCGGGTGCTTGTAGTCTCAGTTACTCCAGAGGCTGAGGCAGGAGGATGGCTTGAGCTGAGGACTTTGAGGCTGCAGTGAGCTATGATTGATTGTGCCACCCCAGTCTGGGTGACAGAGCAAGACATTGTCTCAAAAAAAAAAAGAGAGAGAGAGAAACAAAAGTAGCAGAATAGAAGCATGAAATATGTAAATAATAGAAAAAAATGACAAAAGCTAAAAATATAAGTTATAAAAATAAAATCTCAGGTTAGGTAAAAAATATAAAATCCAACTTCATGTTGTTTATAAGGAACAAATAAAATACGGTGACATGTAAAAAGTTTAAAGAAAAAGGCCAGGGAAAAAGAATATTTGACAAATACAAGAAAGCAGGGATTACACTATTAGCAAAAAGAATTTAAAGAGAAAACACTTCAAATAGGAGAAAGTGGATCACTTTATATTGACAAAGGCAACAATTCACAACAAAGATTAAATTGTCACAAAACTGCATTCAAATGTACAAATAAGAAATTTAGGCCGGGCGTGGTGGCTCACGTCTGTAATGAGGCAGGCGGATTGCTCAAGGTCAGGAGTTCGAAACCAGCCTGAGCGAGACCGTCTCTACCAAAATAGAAAGAAATTAATTGACCAACTAAAATATATATACAAAAAAAAATTAGCCGGGCATGGTGGCGCATGCCTGTAGTCCCAGCTACTCGGGAGGCTGAGGCAGTAGGATCGCTGAGCCCCGGAGATTGAGGTTGCTGTGAGCCAGGCTGACGCCATGGCACTCACTCTAGCCTGGGCAACAAAGTGAGACTCTGTCTCAAAAAAAAAAAAAAAAAAAAAAAGAAATTTAAGGCTCCAAAAGAAGACTGATGAAAATACTATGCTAATGAGATGCACCTTATTCTTTGGCAGATCAATGAGGCAAAGTATAAACAAGGATATATTAAGATTGGTTTTAACAGTTATTTATTAAACTTTGAACCCTAGATACAGAGATTCCATCTTTCTAGTACCCATGAAGAACTAATAAAAATCTATCATAAGACCATAAAAATTTCTATATAGAAATTATAGAACCTTTCTGGAAGGCTGTTTTATAATCGACATCAAAAAGCTTTAAGAAAATGCATGCTCATTAATCCAGTAATTCCCATTTTATGAAAATTTATCTAGAATAAATCATTAAAAAAATTTAACTATAATATACTTATTGAAACAGTATTTATAATAGTGAAAAATTAGGCCAGGCACGGTGGCTCACGCCTGTAATCCTAGCACTCTGGGAGGCCAAGGCGGGAGGATCGCTCAAGGTCAGGAGTTCGAAACCAGCCTGAGCAAGAGCGAGACCCCGTCTCTACTAAAAATAGAAAGAAATTAATTGGCCAACTAAAAATATAGAAAAAATTAGCCGGGTGCGGTGGCGCATGCCTGTAGTCCCAGCTACTCGGGAGGCTGATGCAGTAGGATCACTTGAGCCCAGGAGTTTGAGGTTGCTGTGAGCTAGGCTGACACCATGGCACTCAAGCCATGGCAAAAAGAGTGAGACACTATCTCAAAAAAAATAAAATTAATAATAATGAAAAATTAGAAACAACTATCCAACAATGGGGAGGGGAAAAGTTATGATTAAATAAATTATTTTACCTGTGTACCAATGGAATATTCTGTAACCATTAAATAATGTTGTAGAAGAATATTTAACAAAATAGGGAAATATTCTTGCTATATTGTTAAGTGAAAAAGCAGAATATAGAAGAATACTACAGTTCCATCACATAGATATTTCTATGCATAGAAAAAAGACTGGAAGGATATGTGGCTTAGGGTTAGGGTTAGGGTTAGGGTTAACCCATGATGTTAATAATAGTAATCTTCAGCTGGTAGAATAATGGCAATTTTTATGGGTTTTTTTTGTCTCTATTTCCCACACTGAACAAATATAACTTTTGTAGTAAAAAAAATTTAAAGAGCTAAGAAAAATCCATCCAGGAAAAGTTGACTTAGATGACTTTGAACTGTGAACATTTTAAAACCCATTTTTATCTGACTATAACTTTGCTTTCCTTCCCCCAGGGCGACACATCAGGAGACTACAGGAAGGTACTGCTAATCATCTGTGGAGGAGACGATTAAAATAAAATCCCAGAAAGACAGGAGGATTCTCAACACTTTGAATTTTTTTAACTTCATTTTTCTACACTGCTATTAGCATTATCTCAGGATGCTTATTTCCAATTAAAACGCCTACAGTTGCCTCCTTGGTTATAGACTGTATTATTATTCATCTATAATTAGTCATTATGATGCTTTAAAGTTGTACTTGCATTTCAAAGCTTACAAGACCTAAATGGAGATTTAAAATTAGAAATAAAAATGTACTCCATGTTTTTAACAGATTACTTCTTCATTGGTGTTTCACAGAAACTGAATATATTATTTCATATTTTCTTCACAATGAAAAACTTTTAAAATGGAAGACTGGAAGACTTTTAAAAAATCTTTTTCGTCCCTAATCTTATTTTCAGAGTGGCTAGTAATTTCTTCATTTGAAATTGTGAGCATCCAGCTAGTAAGAATACCAATCCAATTTCTATTTTTCATAGTTATTGGTTATAGATATGAAAGCATCCACAAATCTCTATTTTTTAGGTTTTGTCTATAGTGTTAGTTGATCTTTACTAAGTTTTGTGTGGGAGACTTCATCACATCTTCTGTTATGATCACTTTTCTCCAGTTGAAGTATACAAAATCACCAATTTATCTGAACAAAATAAATTCTAAGTGTGGTTATACAAATCATACATGTCTGGTTACCAAACATAAATGCTGAACATTCCACAAAATTATGGTTAATGTCTTAATCCAGCTTGAAGGTGAATGGGAAAAAAATTACGCTTCAAACTAGGTATTCTGGTAATGATGTAATGCTCTGAATTTAGTTTGACTTAAAACTTTTTGAGCTAAAAATACTTTTTAAAATCTTTTTTGATTTTGTTGATTGTAGTAATTTATGTTTGCACTATGCCTTTCAACTCTAGAATCATTCTAAAGGTGTTCTTGGATTTCATTTAAAAATTTACTTTGTATGAACACGGAAAAATAATTTTAATAAAAAATGGTGCCTTTAAAATGAAGTATATTCTTTCTCTCATTGACTTTTCCACTTCTGAGTTTTTTCATCCTGGACTCTGAAAGAAGCTATTTTTGAAGGATTTGTGTTACTCAGTTTCTATTAGGAATTACAACATAAGAAAAAAATAACATATTTAGACTTATGTTTGCCAACTGCTATAAAACTAATATTCACATATGCCAAAAACTATTCAATGATATAAAATATGAACTTATTCTATGGAATTTTCTAAGTAGAACATTTATATTAAATGTAATAAATGTATAAAGGACATTTATAGTTTTATTATAGTAAGAATACTTGCCTTTGTTCATTTTATAATATCTGTTGTATTTTGGTAGGTGAAACAATAAGGATTTTTTTAGTTTAATTATCTTCTCTAATCCCATGACAGATTATTGTTTTTTAGTTTAGTACTACTTGTCTATAATAAATGCTGGAGCTATTGGTGAAACCTACTTATGTGACTATTTAGTCATTCCAGTTAATTATAGGAAATAATGCTGCCACTTCAGTACCTTCCCAGAAAACCACAGAATCTCCAAATCAACTTTGTCTTTGGAAGCACTGTGAATTTTTTGGCAGAAGTTTTACCTTTAAATGATATGTGCCTTGCCTAAAATTTTTAAACAAATTGCACTGGCTGACTAAAAGCTTTCTAGAAAGCAGGATAAAGCCACCCTGGAGGAATGTTTGTTTCTTGTATTGAACAAGCATGTCTCTGAGATATAATTATAAAGCAACTTTATTCCTCGCCCCCTGCAACTGGCCATTTACATTTATTCAGTGCGCCTAGGTGTTCTCCTGTCTTTAGGTGTAAATTCAGGTAGAAGACAAAGTCATTTTTCTGCCCACTCTTAGGTTTTAAAAAGTCCTGCTGTGTAGTCCCTTAAGGTCATAAAACAGTGCCATTCTGAAGTAATTAATACATCCAGTCAAAGTTCCAAACTTGATTTACAGTTGAGGCTTCCTCCCTCATTCAGCTCTGGCCTACTGCCAGTAGGAAGCTGGTTTCTAGAGAGGAGAGATGGTGGGCTTCTCTTCTTTCTCCACCTAGGTTTCCTTCCACACTCTCCCCCTCAGCATACTTTACCTGGGTTTTAACAGCAGGGAGGAGAGTAAAGGGAAGCAGTAGAGTTCTTACCTGTTATTGCTGTAGTGGTAGAGGATCAGCTCTACATGTAATTTTTGCAGACATTTTCAGGTGATTCTTGTGGGCACTCTCGTGGGTTCCTTTGGCAACTTCATCACCAGGAAACCACTCGCCTGTGGTTCCTTTGGCAAAGCTAATTGAGCACTCCTTTTTCAGTCCCTAGGAATTCGGTGATACCTTGAGGTTCTCTGCTGAAGTTTATTTGCCCTTCCACCCAGGCCTCTTGGACAGGACCAAAGATGATCCCATGCTGGCTATCTCATGATGGCCCACATCGGCTCCATGGGGAACACCTGCACATCCTTTGTGCTGACAAATTCCGTGCATGCAAACTGATCCCTTTGCACCCATCATTTTCTGCCTACCACCTCCTCCTAAAGCTGTCTTAGCTAGCCTCTCTCAGTTCAGATTTCTCAGGCATGAATCAGACTCAGTCCACTGGAGTCCTCAAACTATACATACTGCTGATAGGAGTGCAATTTGGTGCTTTGATTCAATCAACTCAGACAGCAGTTTTTGGCAATAGCTAACAATGTTGAAAACTTCCCAGCAAATCCACTTCTGGGAATCTAGATGCACGGTGAATCTTTTGTACATGATGTTCATTATTGCTCTATAACAGCAGTAAAGTAGAAATCACCTACTCCCTTAGTCAGGGAATGGATAAATTATGGGTCATTCATACAATGAGCAGTGAAAATTAGAGATTGACCAACTAGATAAATCTCAAAAGTATAATTTTGAGAGAGGAGAAAGGAGCAGGTACAGTAAGGTTCCATTTAATTACATGTCTAAACGTGCAACAGAAAACATTTTATGGGTATGCATATACGGACATGCATGGAAATAATGATATATTATACATTCTCAGGATAGTGCTCACCACTGTGAGGGAGACAAAATGAGACGGAAAGTGATACATAGGGGGCTTCTGCATATCTGCATTGTTCTATTTAAAAAGAATGAATCATCAATTATACTTTAATCAAGCTGGGGGAAACGAATCAAAGCAGGTCTGATAAAATTTCAAGCTAGTAGTGGGTCCACAGGTATTTATATTATTAATTTTTTAGCTAGCCAAACTGCTTAGTTTATGTTATTATATTTTCAGTATTTTATTATAAATACTTTAGTTAAAAAGTAACAAAAGGGAGTCTGGAAGTGAATGCTGGCCATGCAGAGTCCAGAGAAGGAGCTGCTAAGCCACGCAGACACCTGTAAATCTTGCTAGGGCCTCCTGAAGGCACTTTAAGCCCAGACGGTTCTGGTGCCTCACCCCATCCAAACGTCCCAGGAATGTAACGTCATAATCCAACTGGTTCCTTTCATGTCTACAACAGGCGAGGGTTGACGTTGAGGAACACCAGGCGTCCTGCATAGCTCCTCATTCTAGGTCCTCCTTTCCAATCCCAACCACGCGGCACCGCAGCACGTGCTGAGCTCCTCCAAAGAGGAGCACAGACAGCATCGTGATTTTGCCCCTCGCTTAACACAGGGCTCCTAAACACGTGGAGCTCAAAGAACCTGTGCAGAAAGAACGAACCAACGACCTGGAATCCCAAGTCTTACCAACACAAACGGGCGTGCAAACTACGGCCCAAAACTAGACCAGCCGCAAAGTGCGGATCAATACGCGGCCTAGGCCCACGTCTGGCAAGAAACCACCCGCCAGCTCACGCGTGCCGGGTTCTGAGCTGACTTCAGCAGCCACGCAGACGCGCTGTTCCCTGCGCCTTCCGGAGGCTCGCCGCGCGCATGCGCCCTCCGGCCCGCGCTTTGTTGCGAAAGCGAGGGGGTGGGGTCCTGCGGCCCTGGCGCGCCGCGCGGCTAGACGCGGCGGGCGGGGCGGAGGATGGAGGCGGCAGCGTCCGCCGCAACGGTTGGGGCTGTGCGTGAGAAGGTGGCGGTGTAGGCACCTGGGCTGCGGGAGGCCGGCGGCGGCGGCCGGGCCATGACGGGAGACCTTTTCCTCTGGGCTCCTTGAGGTGCGCTCCCTGAAGTCCCGGGGAGCCGTGGCCCATGGGCTCGCTAAGCAGCCGAGTGCTGCGCCACCCGGGGCGAGCCCAAGCCCCGCAGGAGCAGGGTTCCGGGCCGGGGGGCTCGGTCCAGAGGCCGGAGACTGGAGGCGACGCGGCGGGCCATGGCTTCTGTTACTGCCCTGGCAGCCGCAAGCGCAAGCGGAGCAGCGGGGCCTTCTGCTACTGTCACCCTGAATCTGAGACAGACGATGAGGAGGAGGAAGGGGACGAGCAGCAGCGGCTTCTCAATACCCCTCGAAGGTACGTGGGGGACGAGCCCGCGCTGCCCCGCACCCTCACCTGTTGGGCCTGGGGACGGGTCGGCGCCCGGTGCGCTTGCGGTGCCCCCCAGCTTGTGAAGACGCGACATGCCCTTGGCAACAGGGTAAAGGTGGGAGCCCATCCGATGCGGGGCGGTTTGGCGAGCGCCTTGGGAGACGCTTGGTGTTCAGCGTTGTAAACTACAGACGCTGCCAGGGTGGTGGTAGAGCCCCAAGATGAAACAGGGACGCCAAGCTCTAGCTAGCGTCTTATTAAACCTTAGAGACGACCTGCTGGCTGCTCTTCCCTGTTGTTACAGCTTTGCCCTCTCTGAGTGGGTAGCCTCAGAATAAGTTGTTTTGCATCCGGTTGCCTTAAATTGTACAAAGACTAAATTTAGATGGGTACCCCTATTGTCCACTCACTGGAGGGGAAATTATTGCACACACGCGTTCTTAATTATAAAGGTGAAGTTTATTAATAGAGCACCTTTGTTGCTAACCAGCAAGAAAATGTTTCAAAGTCCATAGTAGTTGAAGTAGTTGACTGTGGTATACTGCACGTAAAGCTGAGCTGCAGCTTGCTTAACCTTCTTTTGGAAGAGTTGAACAATGGAATATTTATTTGCTTGTGATCAAGAATGTAGTTTATGAGTAGAATATATTTTTGCATACACTATTTGGTTCTGTTTTTGTTTTTAAAGGTCATTGGTTGGGTCACAGGTATAATTTTTTAAGTGAAACTTTAGAAAAATGATTCAAAATTTTTTGCTACACAAGTGTTACATATTTATTGTTTTAAAAAGTATCATAGATAAAGACTGTTAATAGTTTGCTTTATAAAAACTTTCATACAGTTTTATGTATGTTTGTATTTATTTACCAAAATGGACGCGTACTGTGAATACTGTTGAGTAACCTTTTTGAAGGGTCAGAGTAGGATAGTTTTAAGAGCTCAAATTTTGAGTTCTTGTATGTATTCTGCACTGAATAGCATTATAACACCATATGTAAATTTAAGACACTAAATACCTACCTTAAAGTGTTTGACAGATAATGAGAATGAACACAATACACAGTGCCTAGCATATAAGCACTCAGTAAATATTATATCTCCTTGATGAATAGGCCCCTTTATCATTACAAAATGTCCATTCTTCTTTATCCCTGGTAATATAGCCACTACTTTTGCTAAATGTTTGAGTGGTATGTCTTTTTCTATCTTTTCACTTTTTACCTGTCTTTATATTTAAAGTAGGTATCATGTAAACAGCATATAATTGGGTCTTTTTCTATCCAATAGGACAATCTTGGCCTTTTAATTAGTTTTTAGACTACCTATATTTAATGTAATTATTGAAATATATGTCAAGACCCATTTGAAGGAGAGAAACCACACAGTAAACAGGGAAAATTTAATATAAACATTGTTAACCAGGAACAGGGAATTTACTACTAGGGGCAAAACACTAAGGTAAAGAGCTCTCTAAAATATATAGGAATAGAAAATATAGGGAGTAGTCACAAATTCTAAGGCTGAGGCAGAATACCCAAGGAAGAAACAAATTTGGAATATATTGCGCCCCCCCCCCAAGATTCAGATGTTGGCAAAGGTGTGGGTGTAGCCCATAAGGTGGTGAAAAAGTTTGCTGAAGTGTGCTAGCTCAAGCATTCCTCCTGCCTCAGCCTCCTAGAGTGCTAGGATTACAGGTGTGAGCCGCCATGCCTGGCTGGAATGGAAAATTTTTAAAGCAAACTTTTATCAGAAAATGTATATCAGAATTTAGTATGTGTTTATTAGTGGAAAATGCCTGGGTTATTCAGCCCAGTATGGATAAAGGGTGTAAGAAATTATTAAGACCTGAAACTCTGTGTTGAGCCTGATATGCTTCCTAAGGGAATCTGGTGTGCTGCCCCACCTCAACAAACTACCCTATGAAAAGCTTTAGCTTCCAGGCCCACCTTTTACCTCATACCTTTTGTCAACTGCTTGTTTTTCTTTTACATTGACAAGACTGTTAAAACTCACATTGTTCTACAATACCAGAACAATTGTTCTCACATTGTTCTACAATACCAGATCTTGAGTGTTTTGTCCACAGATTGTCTCTAAAAATTGAAATCTAGTAAATAGTATTATAACTATGTAAATATTGTTTCCTGCAAAGTCAAGTAGTGTGCTAGGATTATAAATCATACTTCATCGATCTAATGTCACAAACCCCGTCGTTTGAAGGGAGAAATTTTCTAAGCTCATAGTAAAATGAAATCTTACATTCCATCAAATGCTTAAAGTCAGCCCCTTTTTTTGTTTGTATCTTATTTGGACAGTGCCTTTTTTGTATTTTTTTTTTTTTATTGTTCTAGAGTTTTTAATTGCCTCCCCTGCCCCATTGACAAAAGGATGATATTCCCTTATCATATCTTCAGATTTTTCTATCTTTTGAAACATATTTTTGCTTGGAATTTTTCTCCTCTAAACCCTAGACCTCCCTCTATCCTCCTGTTGCTATCTGAATGTCTATTCTTATCCTGGGACTGACTTTCACCCCATCTCTAGGATTGGATCCACTATTTTGTGTAGGCTGTATATTTTTCTTTCTCACTCATTTTAAGGGGAATATTCTCAAGTATTTTCCCAAGAAAGGGTGCAAAAAGGGGGTAATTTATTCATATCTAAATATAAATTTAGTCTCTCGCTTTATTCATCCTTTGGATGTAGAAATCTAACCCAAAGTAACTTTTCTTCATATCTTTGATGATACTACTTCATTTTCTTCAGACCTACAGCACTGATGAAAAATTTTATCCGTGTCTAATTATCTTTTCTTTTTAGGTGACTGGGTTTTTTTCCTCTGGAATGTTTGAAACTTTTTCTTTGGTATTTTGAAATTCAAATAGAATGTGCTTAAGAATGTGCTTTTAATGGCCTTGGCAGTTGTTGGATCCTGACAATGTGGAGACTCATATACTACTTTAGTTTGCAGAAATTTTCGTCCATTCATTTCTTCCATAATTTTCTCTCTCTTGTTATCTTTAGTTTCTCTTTCTGGGACCCTTCTGTCTTAGTCCCTTTGTGTTGCTATAAAGGGCTCGTTTGGTTTTTTGAGAGGTTTCATTCTGTGGCCCAGGCATGAGGGCAGTGGTGTCATCATAGGAGGTCACTCTAACCTCAAACTCCTAGGCTTAAGCAATCCTCTCACCCCAGCCTCCCAAGTAGCTGGAACTACAAGCATGTACCACTACATGTAGGTAATTTTTCAATTTTTTGTAGAGATGGGGGTCTTGCTGTGTTATGTAACTCAGGCCAGTCTCAATTCCTGACCTTAAGTGATCCTCACACCTCGACTTCCCAAAGTGCTGGGATTACAGGCATGATTATCTGGCTGTGGCTGGATAAAATATAAAGAAAAGAGGTTTATTCAGCTCACAGTTCTGTAGGCTGTACAAGAAGCATGGCACCAGCATCTGCTTCTGGTAAGGACCTCAGGAAGCTTCCAATCATGTTGGAAGGTGGAGGGGGAGCAGGCATGTTACATGACAAGGGTTGAGGGAGGTGCAGGCTCTTTTTAACAGTTAAATCTTGGGAGAACTAATAGAGTGAGAACTCATCACCACAAGGGTGGCACCAAGGCCATGTTTGTGAGGGACCTTGCCCCCACGACCCAAACACCTCCACCTCCAACATTGGGCATCAAATTTCAGCATGAGATTTGGAGGAGACAAATATCCAAACTATACCACCTTCTTAACAGGATTTTGGATTTTTTTGGATTATATCTCTGTCTCTTTTCTTTTTTCCTTTCTAGATCTTTTTGCTTTATGTTCTGGGAAATATCCTTAACGTTTTCATCAACCACTCTTTTTTAATTTCAGCAACAATATTTTTAGTTTCTAAAAAGCTTGTTCTTATTCTGAGTACAGTTTTATCTTAGCATCCTCTTTATATCGATAAATGTAATAATCTCAGATCTCTAGGTCTATGAATCTGAGGGTTTGTTTCTTTTTAAAGTTCTTTTGCCTGAGTTATATGTTTCTTCTGGGGCCAGTTTCTCTCTTTGGTCTTTAATTCTCCTAATTTTCCTCATGTTGGATGATTTTTGGGTTGTCCACTTATATTTAAGGATGAGTAACTGATGTGTATGTATGTGTGTTTTAATTGAGTGAGTAGATCTATTTCCAATATACATCTTTGACTACTAAATTGGTTATGGGTGGGGCTGCTTTGTTGTAAAGCAGAGATTCCTAAGCTTTCTTGATTACAGTGCCCTTAGTGTCTTAGTAATTTTTTTCTTGGCACCCCTAGTCCAAAAGAAATACCTCATAGTGGGAGCCACGCAACTTAGTAGTAGATTGAATGATATTTGAAAGATGTTGCTTTGTTTCCTTCAAATTTAAAATATTAAACATGCCTCTCTGAGTTTGCTGTGGTGCTTGAGGTGCTTTGATACACGGTTTGGGAACCATGACCTAGGATAAATGAGTTAGGACTTAACAGGCTACAGATTCCTCAAATGCCAGAATGAGTTTTGCTTTGTCTGGGGCACCAACACTTACTCTAAAGCCTTATATCTACCTGGTAGGTTTGTTCTATTTCTTTCTAGAAAAGTCTTGGAATCTTTTTGCCTGGGTATCTAAACTCTGTTTATCTGTACTCTGTGTTCATAGAGATTGACGGAGGCCATTAGGGGAACAGGTTTCCCCGTTTTCTGCCCAGTTTCTCACTTCTGCCTTTTGTTTCTCTGAGACCTCCTCTCCCCCACCCCCACTCCCATTCTAAAGGGCAGATACACTCAACCTCCATCATATCCCTTCTTAATATATTTTGGGCTGTGGCTTTCACTGCTCTTTTTCATTCCAGTTTATTTTCTAACCTCCAGATCTGCCAGTCATCAGGTAATGAGCCCACCCTCAGCTTTATGCTGTTGTGGACTTACTCCTTTTTGTACTCTTAATCTTTAATGTAATTTGGAGAGAGATGAAAAGCAAACATATGCTCTTTCTGCCATCAGGAACTAGAAACTATAAATACATTGTCTCATTTATTTCTCACCATAACCAATGAAGTAGATAATATTAATATCCTCTTTTTACAGCTTGGTAACTGAGCTGTGGGGGAGCTGGGTTTCAAACTCAAGTGTGTGCTATTTTTATTATCTTTTAAGAAGAGTTGTTAAATACACTAATTCGGTACACCATCAGAAATAATTACTTCATTTTTAAAAAGATTTAAAAATTTTATCTACTAGGAAAGCTGTCAGAATTGGTCAGGAATTTAAAAGATATTGATCAGTCTCCACCTATGGCCTTTTCTTATTTACTAGACCATCTTGAGCAGTGATTTTTAAACTTTTTAAAAAAATGCAATTCTTCCTTTCAATTAACTCTTATACAGAAATCCCATATGTTTACAAATAGGTGGTGCTGCTCTGGTTGAAGTTAGGTGAGATGCCCAGAGTTCATCCCTCTGCTCTCCTTGGTGGCCCCTAATATGCTGCTTCCTTGAGCATAGTTTTGAAAACCTTTGATCTAAGGCTGCACACCATTTGTTCAGTGGGGGAAAAACATTTTAACTAGTTTAAAAATAGTTTGTACTACCAAAATAAGATTAAATATAAGTTATTTAAAAAATTACTGGGGTAGTAATTTTTACTCTTCTCCATTGTCTAGTTGCATGGCAGATTATTGCAATTATATTGAGATCCTCTATAGTGCTGGTTTCTAAACAAGGAAATTAGTAAAAACCACTGCGGTGTCTTCTTAATTTATTGAATAGATAATTAAATTAGTTCGAAAATTGCTAACAAGTGTATAGTGAAAGGTCTCCCTCCATACTGCCCCTCTCTATCCCCTGTCATCTCTCCTATGAATAGAGCACCCCAGAGATAACCACTGTTAGTAGTTTCTTATGTACTCTTATGTACATGAAAAATTTGAATATATAATATCCCCTTATCCCTTTATACAATGGGCAGGTTGACTATTTAATAGAAATTGAACAAGAGGAGCATTTTAAAATATGTGCAAAATCAGTAAAACATTCAGTTTTATATATATATGTAACTTTCACATTTCTTTTAACAGGAAAAAATTAAAGAGTACATCCAAATATATTTATCAAACACTATTTTTGAATGGTGAAAACAGTGACATTAAGATTTGTGCTCTAGGAGAAGAGTGGAACTTACACAAAATATATTTATGTCAAGTAAGTATTTTATTTTTCTATTTGAGTAACAGGGTAGTCACCTAAAGTCTTGCTCTTCTTCATTGCATTTCAGAGTAATCTTTTTTAGTAATTAAGTCCTCTCATTTGATAAAGTGTCTATTTTAGTAGAAAAATGGCAAATGTTGTTAGTGAAAACTTAGTTTGGCTTAGAAACAGATTTTGAGATTTCAGCATCATACTAGCCTAACATTACCTCTTTGTCACTACTTTAATAAGGTACTTATTTTGGTGCCTTCTGTTGATGAAAGGGGCAAATGTTTAACATTAGAGTTAGGATTGCTAAATTTATTTTGTATATGGTTATTTAAATTAGATAAATTCATCTGAAACATTGCTTTGGTAGTTCAGGTTGAATGTGAATGGAAAATTCTTAACACATACTCTTCCTTCTCTCCTGGAAAATTCAGTTAAAGACAAGACCAAAAAGTCTATAGACCAGGTCATTTAGTGAGTATACCTATTCAGTTTCTATGCTGAAAATATTACTGCCTGCCACCCCATGTTGAAGATTCAGAGCTATCAAAATAGAGTAAAATGTTATTTTAATGGCTCAAATATTCTGTTCATTTGTTAATCAGAGCTATGTGCTAGGCATCATTCTAGGCAATCGGAATAAAACAATGAACAGTTCTTATCATTTGGAACTTATGTTTTCCCTCTTTACAGTTTGAGAGTAATTACTGGTAAGACTGTATAGTATAAAAATTTTCAGTAAAAACATTTGAAAAGGAATTTTCCTCCCTAACTCTTTAATCATTATGTTTTAAAATTTATTTTTGAATGAATTTACTTTGGCTTGATGTATGTAGCCCTGAGAATATTCAAATATTGGTTTTAAGTTTAGGATAATAAAATGGTTCATATCATTTCTTTTTAATCTCTGAATTAATTTTGTGAACTTGAGGGTGAGAATGCCTCTGTTAAAACTTTACCTCTCATGGAAACTAGGTTAATTGTAGTTCAAGTCACATGCTAAAATGTAAGCTTCCTGAGGACAGAAACATAGTTTATTGCTGTAATCATAGGGCCTTCTATGTACTAAGTAGTCAGTGAAATTTTTTAAATAGTTAATATTTGATCCATTTCAAAGTAATTTTAATTATGAGGGGTGTTATCAGGAAGATTACTAAAGACTTCATTCTAGTACCTTTCCAAGAATTCAGGTCCATTCTGGAATTTTCTTATGAGAGTAAACTAAATTTTAGATTTTCCCTAATTTCTTTGGGGATCATCCTGTTAGTGCTGATTTGGGACTGGTCTGGACCCTAACAGCCACTAAGGTATGGTAAAGATTCAACACTTTGGGGATTTTTAGTCTCCTCTTCCCTCCTCCTCAGTACGTTATTATGCATAGATTTTTTGTGCTGTCATGTGTTTATGAGGGATAGCTAAATACATGACAGTTTCTAAGCTTGAATTTAGAGCCTCATTGAGAAGGAAAACAAAAATGTAATATACTCAGAAATTTTTTTAACTAAGTAAAAAGATAACCAGGTTCAAATTTTAGTGTCAGAATTCAGTTTAGATAGCAAATCATGAGACTTGATTTAGTTTTTATTTTAAATAGTACTAAACTGAAAGTATATTTCGATAAACCTAATAGTATCCTTATCTTAATTTCTTTTCTCCTGTAGACATATTTGGCAATTCTTTTTCTCTTGAAATAAAATAATGGATTAGTTTTGATAAAATAGTTAGAATTGGAAAGCTAATTTGGAATACACAGAAAGTACTGGATAATCATTGACTTTTTTTTTTTTTTTTTTTTTAAGTCTGGCTACTTTTCTAGTATGTTCAGTGGTTCTTGGAAAGAATCCGGCATGAATATTATTGAACTGGAGATTCCTGACCAGAATATTGACATAGAAGGTAACCACCACTGTAATTATTATGTAAAAGTTATAAAACATAATCTTTTTATTCTTTTGGTAGAAAATATATATCCTAACCTTGTAGTCTAGAAAAAAGCTCCCTTTAACATCCCAAAGTAATAATTTTATAATGATTTACTTCATAGTTTATCAGTCCTGTTCTTCCTATCCCTAATCTGTTTAGTCATGGGCCTTATCACTCTGTTTACTTATCTTTGTAAATATTTCTGCTTGGAATATAGATGATGTAGGGTGAAGGAAGGAAAAATATGACTAATTGCATTGAAAATCTGGTAAATAATACTCATTGATTATTCCCTGCCTATAAAGATCTTTTTTGGGAACAGTAAAGGTATGGATCATAATCAGTGTTGTTTTAATCCTTAGTTGAGGAAGCTGAGGCCCAGAGGATTTGAGGGACTTAATTTAGATCTCAGAGCAGTTTAGGGAGCCTCATCAGATTTTTGGTATCCTAATTCCTATTCCAGTGCTCTTTCTGCTCCCCTCCTTGATAGCTCACATGGAAGTAACCAGTGGCCAACATACAGGCAAAGAAAAAAGAATATTTACTCACACATATACACACACACAGTTCCAACAGCTTTAAGAAAAAGAAAAAGAAAAAAATATTTACCAAGCAAACCATGTGGGACATTCATGAGAGTGGCAGTGGACAGTAGGATGGACAGGCATGGATTTCTGTGGGGCTGGGCATTGAGTGTAGCATGGACAGGACCAGGAGCTGTACCACATTCCCCAGTGGCAAAGCACGGAAAGCCATAGTGTTATGATTATTGTTGAGCCTGTATTTGTACTTAATGATAGGTCTACTCAGGAGTATCTTATAAAACTTCTTCCAAGGGTGTCTTAATTCTGACCACTAACTAATGTCAGGATTAAATGTTAGAAGAATGCAGCTAGATTTGTTAGAATAAATAGAAATTTACAACATTGTTACTGAATTAACACTGTTAGTAACCATTACTAGCATTTTACTTTTTTTTTTTTTTTTTAAGAGACAGGGTCTTGCTTTCCACCCAGGCTGGAGTGCAGTGGTGACATCATAGCTCACTGCAGCTCTAAGTCCTGGGCTCAAACAATCCTCCCACCTCAGCCTCCCGAATAGGTGGGACTAGGCGTGTGCCATTACACCCAGTTAAACATTACTAGCATTTTAATGAGTGATACTTCTCTTGTCCTTTTGTGTACAGACCAGATTCAGACAAATGTCTTTGTTTGTAAAGACAGTCATTGATATTTTTGTAATACTCTTAATAGATATAGTTGTTATTTCATTCCACATGTGTATCTTTGCTTTCAGCACTGCAAGTTGCATTTGGTTCACTGTATCGAGATGATGTCTTAATAAAGCCGAGTCGAGTTATTGCCATTTTGGCAGCAGCTTGTATGTTGCAGCTGGTAAGTATGCACATTATTCAAAGAAAGGATCACAGTGATATCTCTGTTGCAAAGTATCTATTCCAAAAACAAAAATAAAACTTAGCTTTTTACAATTTTTAAAACAAAAATGAAATGTATAAATATGCCATTTGTCATAAATCATTTAGAACGCTTAACTAAAAGCAATTTATTACAACTGAGGGAGTCATGATGTCTATATAAAATGAATGCAAGCTGTTTCTGTGTAGATATCTTTAACATAACTATAATGTGGAAAATATTTACTCATCTAAGTTCATTCTATCCATTCATGACTTACCTTTACTACTTAGCAGGTGGTTTATGATTACTAATTAATTTGGTTCATGGGTTCAAAAAGTATTGTGTGCCTACTATGCATATAAACTTTATTATGAAATAATTATGTGTAAACCACATATGTATTTAATCTGGTAAAAGGATAGATTTGGTTCATTTAACAGAAGTATATTGAGCAATGTGTCAAACTAGGCATAGAAATGCAAAGGTAGGCCAGGCGTGGTGGCTCACACCTGTAATCCTAGCACTCTGGGAGGCCGAAGTGGGCAGATTGCTCGAGATCAGGAGTTCGAAACCAGCCTGAGCGAGACCCTGTCTCTACTAAAAAAAATAGAAAGAAATTAATTGGCCAACTAAAAATATACATACAAAAAATTAGCTGGGCATGGTGGCAAATGCCTGTAGTCCCAGCTACTTGGGAGGCTGAGGCAGAAGGATTGCTTGAGCCCAGGAGTTTGAGGTTGCTGTGAGCTAGGCTGACACCATGGCACTCACTCTAGCCTGGGCAACAAAGTGAGACTCTGTCTCAAAATAAATAAATAAATAAAATAATAAAATAAAAGAAATGCAAAGGTAAATTAAGATGTAGTTCCTGCTTTCAAGGAGCTCACAGTACTGTGTGTGTGTGTGTGTGTGTGTGTGTGTGTGTGTGTGTGTGTGTGTAGCGGGAGAAGGAGGGTTGATATACAAACCCAAACATAAAGTAAGAGCTGTCCAATATTACAGGTATGATAATGAGCATCCTGTAGAATTCAGCAGATGTATAAAGAAGGGAGTGGTTAGTTCAATCTGATGGTTGTCACAGAGGGAATTTATGTTTCAAAATTGAGTCTTGAAAGTTGAAGTCTGCTTATCTTACAACGTATGATGAGAGGGGAAGGAAGAGCCTTTCAGGTAGAGGAAACAGAGTAAACAGACCTAGAGATGTGAAACAGTGGAGGATTAGAGAATCTACAATGAACATGGCTCTAGCGTAAGCAGGATTGAAGAGAGGGAAGCAGAAACCAGATCATGAAAGTCTCTATTGCTAGGAAGTTTAGCCTTTACATGTAAGTACCTTTGGAAGATTTTAATCAGGGGAAAGATAAAGTTATGTTTTAGAAAGACTACTTCAGGAACAGTGTGAAGGATGGATGGAAGAAGGCAAGATGAGTACCGCATTAAAGACAAAAACCTATTGCAGTAGTCCAAGTGTGAGTCTAAATTAGGGTAATAGCATAGCACTAAGTGTGGATGGGAAAAATGGATACCAGAGAGACTAAGCAAGGATAATCCACTGGATTTGGTGACAGACAAGATGTTAAGAGGAAAAGGGAGGAGTCTAGAATGACTTCCAGGTAAGTTTAAAATTCTAATGGGTTAATGTTTTAATCTTTAAAAAAAAAATTATTATTTTTTTATGTGGCATTTATGTACTGATTTATTTGAAGTTTATTAGTGAATAGCTTGCTAAATATCTTTGGCTGAGGTCATTTCATTTTTATTAATGTTTTGATCTTTTCAATACTTTATTTCTAATAAATATACTTTATTTCCTAACTTTGGTCCTTTTGGTTTTGTTCTAAATTCACTTTCTGCATTATTTTTATGATTTACTAACTCTAACTTAATAATATACTCACATGGTGAATAAATTTTAGAATTTGAATGAAAAGTGACAATTTCATATATTAAAGTTAATTCATTTAAAACCTTCCATATTAACATTTTAGATTAATATAAGTTGTTTAATAATATATTTTTCTTAGGTGATTCTCTTAGATTTGATAGGTGTTTTAAACTTTAATAAACATTTTCTGATAATACATATTATTTACTTGTCCATCATGTGGTTAGCTAACTGTAAAGAGTTCTTAAAAAGAATAGGCAAAATGCTGCTTAAGAAATTTGCAAATGTCTGGGGAAGAATAAAAAAGAAAGAGAATAGCGATATTCATCTCTAGCTTACTGCTTACTCCCCCTCCTTTCCCATTTTTAAATTCCAAGTATTTAACTGAGTTTTTTTCAGTATTTTTATTGGACTTGTAAAAGAAAAAAAAAAACAAAACTTAGGCTTGCTGCACTTAATGAGTTTTCTTTCTTTTCTTTCTTCTTTTTTTTGTTTTTACTTTTTAATGTGTAAAAGCACATATGAGAGCTAATTTTTCCCATGTGAAATGGGCCTTTCCAGTGCTTATTTATATTTACAGGATGGTTTAATACAGCAGTGTGGTGAGACAATGAAGGAAACAATTAATGTGAAAACTGTATGTGGCTATTACACATCAGCAGGGACCTATGGATTAGATTCTGTAAAGAAAAAGTGAGTTACCTTTCTTGTTTTTCCTCCCATCCCACTTTTAGGAATTTGGTTCTTTGGTTTCTTAAGAGAATATGAAGCTATAAGGAAGAATTAAGGAAAAATTAGATGGGGATAGAATTTTGTTAAATAAAAAGTTCCTGTTTACTTTTGTTCTAATTAGTAAATTCCCGAAAAGCGTGGTATTTTTAAGTGACCATGGGTGAGTTATGCTTATAAAAACTATGGTCACGCTTTCTAGTACATTTTCTATTAAAATTGTTTAAAGAGTAGTCCGTTACAGAGTAATAGACATTATATCAGTGCAACTATGGGCAGTCTTTTTAACTCTTGAGAATTGTAGTACCCATTTTCAGATTTCAATGAAGGTTATAGTAGTATGCATACCCCTTCATAAACCATTTAACACAAACTTGAAATAGAATTTTCTTAGAAATGCCCTTATTAATATAAAGAGAATGTTCTCTTAATAACCACTGACAAAAACAATACTAAATTTCTGTTGTGAAGCTAAAAATTTTGAGCATGTCCTAGCAAGATTAATTTTCTGTTTTTAACTGTGAGTCCTACTTAATAAATTATAAATACTTAATAGATAATGTAATAATTACATATTTTAATTTCAGGTGCCTCGAATGGCTTTTAAACAATTTAATGACTCACCAGAATGTTGAACTTTTTAAAGAACTCAGGTATTTGAATTTTAAACGCCTTTATAATTAATCATCCTAAAATATCTTTTGTTAAAGTATGCAAGATATTTTTGTAGAACACAAAAGTGTATTACTTATAGGAAAGTGAACAATTCAATGAAAGGTCTTAACTACATTCATAAACTAAAGAAATGCTACACATATTTCTTTGTTGTAAGTGACATAATGTATATCCTCATAGATTTAAACTAGCAGTTTTCTCATAATATATATCTTCATGAGGTCCTGAAACCAATCCCCTATGGATACCAAGGGACAATGGTAGTTTCTTATTGAGATTTTTCAATAGGAAGCTGAATAATAGTGGTCATCTTAAAAACCCAAAAGCTCTTCTGGCTTTTCATGGCTTGAAGGAAGGAAAGAAAAAAGGAAAAGCAAAACAAAACAAACAGCTGGTGATGTCATATCCGTTCTAAACAAACATATTTGTGTATCTTATTCTCTTTAATAGTAATTAAACGTATTTTATGACTAAGCAATTCTCTTAAGCCTAGAGGTTAAAGATTACTTTGAAGATGTAGCTGTTTTAATGAATTTTGACAAGAGAAGTGTCTTTTTTTAACATGGAAGTGGGGTTGTGCAATGCAAAAGAGGAAGACTGCCACTTTACAGAACATGCTAAGTTACCTTATTAGGACCCTGCTTTAACTTGATTAATCAGTAGATCAAAGCTCTTTATTTGCTTCCCTATCCATGTGAAAAAGACTTTTCATAGCACACTGTCTGAATTAAAAGTATCCTTGTATTCAGATAGATTATTTTCTAAGATTCTTTGGGCAAAAAGACTGCTGTCATTTTTAGTTCCACATTTTCTTTTGATAATAAAGACTTAAAAAGTTTTTAGTTCTACCAGAGTCCTTCAGCTTCTGCATGAAGATAAACTCATTCTCACTCCCTATTTTATCTTTGTCAGCATAAACGTCATGAAACAGCTCATTGGTTCCTCTAACTTATTTGTGATGCAAGTGGAGATGGATGTGTACACGGCTCTAAAAAAGGTACTGACATATCACTCAACATAGCTTATAGCAGTGAAAAATTGCAAACAACTAGTGTCCAGTGATAAAGGGATGGTTATAAATGTAAGAAAAGGAGAAGGAAATATGCCAAAATGTTAAAAAGTCTTTATATTTAGGGATTTGGTATCATGAGTGATTTTAACTTTGTTCTTTGTACTTTTCTATCTTAGGACTACTTTTCTGTTTTTTCCCAGATGTTTTTCAACAACAAACGTGTTGTTGTTATTTACAGAATCAGAAATGTTTTATATAAAAGGTATTGTTTAAATGTTTTATATGGTTTTCAGGAATGTTTTCAAAGTTGAACTTTAAATTTATGATTTCATGATGAAATTTTTATATATACTTTTTCTAGAAAATGTTAATTCTTCTTTTAAAGGCCTATTAGCACATCGGGTATGTTTTACTTCATCCTCTTAAAAGGTTTCAACATTTTTTAATCTAATTTTATTTTCACAACTATTTGAAGAGAAAAACCAGCTATTCTTTCACTGTAGATGGTGAGATGCGGAATCCTTGCAAATACTAAGTGACAGACTTGAGGCAGAGGCTAGGCTTATGAGTTCTACTCCATTGCTCTTTTCCTGCTGTATAATTTTGCCTTTAGCTTTTTGTCCCCAGAATGGGCAAATGTCTGCATTTACATGGTTGTATACCTTCTAGGTTATATCATTGCGATTGTTTTTATGGTAGAGATGAGATTCCATTACTATTTTTCTTTGAAGAAGTTTAGTATCTGGGCTATCCAGTCTTTAAAGGAGTGGTAGAGAGCCCATTTCTGAGTTACAGTAGCATGCATTCTTTCATGTTGTTATACTGCTTTTATGCCAGTAACGATAAATGCTAATACTCACATAGTACCTTGTACCCTTCTAAATATTTACATATTAAGTCGTTTAATGTTCTATGAGGTAGACATAGTATGCTCACTTTACAAATGAAGAAATTAAGGCCGAGAGAAATTAGGTAATTTGCCCAGCAGTTAAATGGCAGGTCTATTGAAAGTCCATGCTCTTAACGACTATGTATATTGTCTCAACAACAAGACAAACGCCTTCTTCACGTGTTTGATTTCTTACTCTTATAATCTCACATAGTATTTAGTGAAATTGAGTTGTGAGTAGAATTAATTAGTATAAAATTTCTATTGTAATATATATTAAACCTTCACCTTTTTAATACAGTAGTCTATGATTTGTTTGTGACTGTAAATACTTTTCAGGGATTTGCTTACTCCTTATCATAGACACATCCAGTTTTTAATCATTAGACTATAATTAATGCCATGAAAAATTTAAAGCATGTAAACCTGTCATGTATAATATTTAATAGTAGTTCTACTTTCTTTCAATTACTTGTAACATGGAAATTAAATTTTTTAGGTGTTATGTTTTAAGGTGGAAGCAATTTGAAAATGTAAAACCATTAGGTGATGAAACCTTACAACTTTTTTCTTATTTAATTTTTAAAAAATCTAGTGGATGTTCCTTCAACTTGTGCCTTCATGGAATGGATCTTTAAAACAGCTTTTGACAGAAACAGATGTCTGGTTTTCTAAACGGAAAAAAGGTATGCCTGAATTTTTGTTTTTTGAAAATTTATCTTTGTTTAAAATGAAATCTATTAAAATCAGACCTTGACTTATTTATAGACTTAATGTTAGAGCTGGAAAGAACCTTAGCAATTATCTACTTTAGCCCCTCATTTACAGTGAGAAGATTAAGGCTAGATAACAAAATGCCTTTCCTATTGTTATCTAAATTGTTACTCCTTGAACTGTCTCCATACTCTAATCTCCCAAAGCTATTGCTTTTCTCATTTTATCACCAACAGTTCTTGGTGATTGCATTTGTCTTTGTTTGACCACATTGAATTTTCCCTAACAGCCTGTAACCCATTTGGGAATAATTCTTAACTTAGGAGCCGTGGATAGGCTTCCATGTGTCACTAGCCCCCCAAAGTGGATGCAGAGCTTGATATGTATGTATGTGCTGCATGCATTTGAGGTGGAGAGCTTCCATACCTTTCTTCATATTCTCCATGGAGATTGATCTCAAATTGTTTATGATCAGCTGCTATGAGGTCTTATCTGGGCAGAGGGGGAGCATACAATATATCCTATATATTTTTACTTGCAATATATTTTTTACATACAATATATTTTTTACTTTGCTAAAACAGATGTAGAAAAAAATTTTAATGGCCCTCAGGTGCAAAGTAGTAGATAAATTATACCTTAGTTCATGATTTTCTTAGTTTGTCATTTATGGTCTGTATATGGCCACCTTTTTTGTTTATTTTTAATAATATATTGAGCCTCTGTGAACTAATCTTCAAGTACTAGAACATTAATAACTTCAGTCTACTCATGTAGTTCTTTTCTGTTGTGTCCCTCTGATTTTCCCCAACTACTATCTTGAATTTGGGGTTTATTATTCTTTTGCCTTAAAAAAATAATTTATTGTAGGGGAACATGGCAGCTCATGCCTATAATCTCAGCACTTTGAGAGACCGAGGCAGGATTGCTTGAGCCCAGGAGTTCAAGACCAGTCTGAGCAATAGCAAGACCCCCATCTCTACACAAAATTAAAAAAATCAGTCAAGTGTCATGGCTCAGCCTACAGTCCTAGCTATTTGGGAGGCTGAGGTGGGAGGATCACTTGAGTCCAGGAGTTTGTGAGTATAGTGACCTGTGATAAGGCTATACTCTATCCTGGGCGACAGAGGGCAACCCTGTCTCAAATAATAATGATAATAATGTTATTACATTATGCATGTATGTCCTAACATACATAACAATGGTGTGCCAAAAAGCTGACTGTGGAAAAAACAGTCCCTGATTTGTAGCATTATTTCATTTCCCTGGTACAAATTCTCCCAGCATGACTGATTTCGAGCTACCAACATGACATCACTAATGTAGAGTTGAAAAGAGATTTGCACACAGTCAGCTCCTTTGAGCCAGCACAAGCTAGCTGTAGTACACCACTGGACAATATACCATTTTGTTCAGTTTTTCTGGAACTATTTCTTATTGTGGTCTTAATATGTGTGTGTGTGTGTGTGTGTGTGTTAATTGGCCATATATTTCCTTTTCTGTGAAATGTCTGTTTTTTCCTATTTTAATATCAGATTTACCTTTTCTTAATGATTTGTAGGCATTCTTTATATATTCTTGATAATCAGTACTTTGTCATAAATATGTTTTGCATTTATCTTGCAGTTTGTAGGTTATCTTTTTACTTTATTAAATGTCTTTTGAAGAATATATGTTCTTAATTTTAAATTTAGTGCTCTTTTTGTCTTAAATCTGTGGAATTATTTTATTTAATCAGATTTCCTAGCTCACAGCCAGATAAATTATTTTCCTATCAAGCTCTTGAAGTAAAAATGTGTAAAGGACCATATCAATAAAATCTAACTTGATTTACTTGAAGAACAAAATATTAAACTTATATCTTAAATTACAGTTTAGTGTTACACTATGGCAATTAAAGAAGGATTAGGGAAATTATAGAGAAGAAAATTAGAGAATTTAAATGAAAAACAGGGAGAAAGAAAAACCAAAAAAGTTAAGGAGAATGGAGAAGTTAAAAAGGCAAAAGGACTCAATAGAAGCAATAAATGTTGATATAACCTTAATGCTTATTTGTGCTCCAGCTAGGTCAACCACAGCAATCTATCAAAAGAGAAGTTAGACTAAGTGGCACAAACCAGAATAGGCAACTGTGGTCCACTTACGGTTTTATTCTAGGCTGTCTCTCCCGGTCTCTGTAGTGTAAAAGTATACAGTTTAAGATAACTTTTCAGAGAGACATTTATTGCTCAAAGCAAAATGTATGTCTGACTCCCTTGTTTTTCTGGAGGACTTCATAGGGTCATTTCAAAGTTTTAAAATTATAAGTGATGCATACTCAAGAAACAGGATAGAAACATGATTTATGGTCCCCTCACCCATTATATTTTGTTATGTTTCTTTTAAGTTTTCTTAATTATTATATATTGATCAGGACTATAAGAAAACAATAGAAATTTAGAAAGTTTTCTACAGAGTTATATCTAAGGATTGTTATTGCATTTGATGCAGTTAGTATGGCCACATGTTGGCTGGCAAGAAACTTTAAAACATTTTTTTGATTCTTTGAATTCTTACAAAAATAAATGAGCCAATCTCTTCTATAGCCTTGAAGAAAAGACTTCATGGGATAATTATCAGATTATTATGAGATAATCTAGAATTAGATCTTTATAACTTGTTCATGTGACAGAGCACCTGTAAGAACATAATAGTATTCTCAGCATACCCCATGAAATTAGCATATTTAATTCAATATATGAACTAGAACTGTTATTATTGTAAAAAAAAAAAAAGGCAAGAGATATAAATCCACAGTCACATGCTTGTTGTATAAATAAGCAAAGTTAACTATTAATTTTTTAAATGAGTTTACTGCTTTCTTGTTTTTTTGCTTAACTCTAGGCAAGTGACAAAGGAATATCTAAAATACATAAGATAAAAATGTGGGCCAGGCACGGTGGCTAACACTTGTAGTCCTAGCACTTTGGGAGGCCATGGTAGGAGAATCACTTGAAGCCAGGAGTTTGAGGTTGGAGTGAGTTATGATTGTACCACTGCACTCTAGCTCAGGCAACAGGGTGAGGCCTTGACTCTAAAAAGAAAAAAAAAATTCATTAACTGGGTTATCTTTTCACAATTTTCAGGAAAAAATTATTTTAGTGGGGAGCACTTTTCTGGTTCACAGAAAACCTATGTTCCATATGAAATATGGTTTGAGACATAATAATCTACAATGACAACTCTCATCTTTTTTTTCTTATCCTTAATAACAGCAGGGCTGAGTATGCTCCCATGGGTATGTAGACCTTGTTTAACAGAAGACGTAGACTAGGATTTATGCACAAGGCCTTGTCTGATAACAATAACTCTAGACCTTTCCTTCCCACTCATGAAAGCACACTGGAATACAAACTGAGAATAACTTTTAGAAATAACCTTAGTTCTCCCTAAAAAAAAAAAAAAATTCATAAACTTGAATTATTTGAATAATAAATTAATACTATCCATGTGTTACAAATCTGACTACAATATATTATTTTGTATTTTAATAGAGAATTGATACATTAATTGGTGTTCATGACATATAGCTGAAGCATAAGTTAGAAGAATCCCAAGAGATGTTCCATGTCCTGTGTATCTTATGAAGACTTATGAGGCTTTTGGGCTCTAGAGTTGCACTGGAGCGTTTAGTCCCTGGGAGGCACTATTCTGGAGAGAGAATCTAACTTTAAGTATCTTTCTCAAGCTTTCCTTTCCTGTCTTGCTGCACTGTAAACTCTAAACCCCAGAAAGGTGTGCAGCTGAGTTCCCAGCCCAAGGGTCTAATTAGGACCAAAATTAATTTCTTAGGGCTTTTTAAAAAATTTCCCTAAGGTTTTATTCACACACTTGAGGTTTGCAAAATTCTCGAAAAGTTCAAAACTAACTTGTTTGTATTCTAGTACGATGTGTATGTGTGTGTGTACTTGTTCACATCCATAAAAACAATTCGGAAATAAATTGATTCAAAAAGAATAGCTATTTAATTTAAACTATTTTTTTATAGATTTTGAAGGTATGACCTTCCTTGAAACTGAGCAAGGAAAGCCATATGTGCCAGTATTCAGACATGTGAGGTTGCAGTATATTATTAGTGATCTGGCTTCTGCAAGAATTATTGAACAAGATTCTGTGGTACCTTCAGGTAAGAGAATATGATTAATTTATGATTTTAAATAATATTTTTCTGATTATAACTGTCATATATATCATAGAAAATAATATTGAAGAAAATAAATTATCCTTAATTCTAAAAAGTTACACATTTTTATGCCAAAGTAGAATTATACTATATAGATAATTTTCTGTGCTCATATTCTATATTGTGGTCATTTTCCCATATTTCATTTCATTAAATACTCTCCAGAATATTTAAATGGCTATATAATATTCTGTAATATTAATGTTCTTTAATTTGACAAACTAGGACACTATTTTGAATCAGACTTTTAAAAATGATTTTTAGACCAGGCGCGGTGGCTCACGCCTATAATCCTAGCACTCTGGAAGGCTGAGGCGGGCGGATTGCTCAAGGTCAAGAGTTCAAAACCAGCCTGAGCGAGACCCCGTCTCTACTATAAAAAAATAGAAAGAAATTAATTGGCCAACTATATATATATATATATTATATATATATATATATATATATATATATATATGAAAAATTAGCCGAACATGGTGGCGCATGCTGTAGTCCCAGCTACTCGGAGCTGAGGCAGAAGGATTGCTTGAGCCCAGGAGTTTGAGGTTGCTGTGAGCTAGGCTGATGCCATGGCACTCACTCTAACCTGGGCAACAAAGCCAGATTCTGTCTCAAAAAAAATAAAAATAAAAATGATTTTTAAAGTATTTAAGTTTACAATTGCTTTTTCTATTAGTACTCCTTAAATTTATTTTCTGATATTTTCTTTTCTTACTCTAAAGTCTTAAACTTCATGCTGAAGCAAATGTATTTGTTCATTGTAATTTAAATTTTTTGCAACAACTATTGATTTAACTTTCTAAGTTAAATGTCTAATGCTTGTGAAAGATCCAGTTTAGTACTGTAAATGCATATAAGTAATAGAAACTAGAATTTCTGTTTGAATATTTACTTATGAATTTATAAACATTTGTAGTAATAATTATAGATTTATCTGAAAAGTTGTAATTATTTTTGGCACCTCAATTTTGATATAGCTGTGTGTTGATAGATTTAAATTGTTCTTGAAATCTGTATACTCATTTGGAAAGATATTGAATGGAAAGAAAACCTAGAGTTAACTTTTCTGATATGTTGGAAAGTAATGCATTTTTATAAAATAACTTTAGCAGCTTTATAGACACAGTTTAAGTCACAAATTCTCTGAATTTTGTATTCCTTATAGTATAGCAGTTCTGTGGTAGATTTAGTATGTGTTAAACACCTATCCCTAGCAGTGATGTAATATTAGATGCCAAGGCCAATTACATATACCACTCTCCAATTATATTTCCTTTTAAGGCTTTTTAGAAATGAATTTTGGAAGACTGAAAAAAAAGTCTGTTTTAAAGTAGTTTAATTTAGGTGTGCCTGTGATGCAAGTGGTGGATAAGCTTTATATTTTTGGAATGCAAGATGGGTATAAGTATTTCTAGTCTGAAATATTTTATTCAGTATAAAATCAGAAAGAATTTAGACCCTATATTTTTGGCCAGATTTTAGTCATTTTTTTTTTTCTGATTTGAAATTGTAGGAGAAGGCTTTCTAAAAATTTGTAATACCCCATCTTACAGATATAAATCGATAATTATATGTCACACTGTGAGGGGACAGAAAGAGATTACCTAGTTCACATTGTTGAGATAGACTGGTATATTCTCTAAATGGGAAAGTATATTAGATTTGAAATAAATTGAAATAATTTTGATTAACCTGAAATTCACTGATTATTTTTCAGAAATAGTGCCAAATATGTGTTAATATTAATCAAAGTTAAGGGTTCAGCAATCTGGGGAGTTTTAGTACATCCATTTACCATCTTTAGGTAAAAAATTTAGAAACATGTTTAATTAGAAGTTAAACCAGGGCTTTGTATAGAAGCACTTTATTTTAGGACACAAGTGTGCCAAGCACAGTTGAACTCCATTATTTCATGGAATTAGATTTATCTTAGGGTCATTAGGTTCATTAAGTATCTTACTCCATATTCTCATTGTCATACTTCCCTCCACTTTGATACATCTGAACTAACTTCTTACCATTCCTCAGACCTTTTAATTATGTGCTCTGGAACCACAGACAAATCTCAAAATCTTCCATTTCTTTCCTCCACTTTTTTTTAGCTCTCCAGATGTTATCTTCCCTCTGTAGAAGACGTTCTGTCTTCCTCACTCTGTTAATAATAGGGCTAAGAGGGCAAATAGTCATGGTCCTAGCTCCTCACTGCCCTTTCCAAACCATTATTGCATGTGATCTGACTCTTTTCCCTTTCTCTACTGACCCCTAGTCATTTCTCCGCATTCATTTAAGACTTGGATACTTAATTTACTATCTGTTCTACCCTGCCCCCTATCCAGTCACATAATGTATCCATATGAACAAATCCATTCACTACCCTAGCCTCCTAGTTGTTTGACCTGAACTCCAGTAACATTTGTCTTTGCCAAACATTAGGTACTTTTTACCTACAACCTGGAAACACCATGAACCTTTTTGTAACCTAGAATTTCTCAGGATCAGAAATCCATTAGTTGGTCAGGCGTGGTGGCTCACATTTTTAAGCCCAGCACTTTGAGAGGCCCAGGTAGATGCATCACTTGAGGCTAGGAGTTCAAGACCAGCCTGGGCAACATTTAGCAAGACCCCTGTCTCTACAAAATATTTTTGAAAATTTGCTGGGTGTGATGGGGCACACCTGTAGTCCTAGCTACTCAGGAGGCTGAGGGAGGAGGATTGCTTGAGCTCAGGAATTCAAGGTTGCAGTGACCTGTAATCAGGCCATTGCACTGTAGCCTGGGCAATAGAGTTGAGACCCTGTCTCAAAAAAAAAAAAAAAGTCTAAAACAAACACTGCATGTACTCACCATTAAATTGGAACTAACTGATGAGCACACCTGTGCGTAGAGGGAAGTAAATCTCAAAGGAAACCAAGGAGGGGAAGGGAGAAGGGGATGGGTGAAAACCTAATGTGTACAATAAACACTACCTGGGTGACAGGCACACTTTTAACCCTAATTCAAGCATTACAAAAGTGATCCATGTAATCAAAAACATTTGTAACCCCATAATACTTTGAAATAAATTAATACATTCTTCAAAATATAAATAAATTTTATAATAAAGAAATTTAGTAGTTTTCAGGCCATTATATAACCTTCTAGCACTAGCATGTTCATAGCCTCATTCCCTTTTGTACTGTTCTTTAACTTCCAGTCCATTTTAAGCCCTCCATTTTCTACCAGTCTTTCAAAATTCTGCTTTTTCTTCCCTGTCAGGCTTGGATTTCATAATAGATCATGTTAGATCACTCTCACAATTACTTCTGTGTCCTTCAACACAGTTGAAGTTACTAGCAAAATCCCAAAACTAAATTAAGCTTTGTTCCTGTGCCCTCAACTTTGTGCTGAGTACTGCTGCAGCATATACAACTTTTGTATTGGTGCCACCACAAATTCACTTTTCAACACTAAGCTTGGACTGTGGCATTCCTTACGCTACTTTTGCTTGGTCATTCCTCTTTTTTCATTCTCTTCATTCACTTTAGCAATTACATTATATCTCTGCCACTCTGTTCAAGCTTTCTACCTAATCACCTCACTGTCCATTTTGTGAAAATAATGTTGCTAAAAATGAAAAGGTATATAAATCCATGTAATTAATTTTTTTCAGAAAATAGCTTTGGATGTAGATTTTTGTTATTATATCTGAATATTTTGAGCCAGGCTTCTCCATGATTTTATAAAAAGATTTTATACCTAGATGCTCTGTACAAACTATTCTTATTTGTCCCTGTAGGAATTTTTATTACGTAAACTTCTGGTCATTCACCTTCATCTACATCTGACTTACGTGTTTCATAAAACAGTTCAACTTATAGGCTTAGTTTTTTGCTGTAAGCCTTTCTGATTTTAAGTGTGTGTGTGTGTGTGTGTGTGTGTGTAGATACACTTTTCCATTCACGTAAACAATAAAATACCAGGCAAGTTAGGAAGTGCCCCTTTTGAGTTTTTATTTGGAACTTTTATCTGATACTGGTTTTATCTGAAACTGGTTTTTACTGAGTTGAAATTTCCTGAAGGCACTTTTTCAGATTCTTTTCAGCCAATACTAGCTCTCTATCAAAAAGGATTCTGGGCTGGGCGCCGTGGCTCACACCTGTAATCCTAGCACTCTGGGAGGCCAAGGCGGGTGGATTGCTTGAGGTCAGGAGTTCAAGACCAGCCTGAGCAATAGTGAGACCCCGTCTCTACTATAAATAGAAAGAAATTAATTGGCCAACTAATATATATAGGAAAAAAATTAGCCGGGCATGGCGGCGCATGCCTGTAGTCCCAGTACTTGGGAGCTGAGGCAGGAGGATTGCTTGAGCCCAGGAGTTTGAGGTTGCTGTGAGCTAGGCTGATGCCATGGCACTCACTCTAGCCTGTGCAACAAAGCGAGACTCTGTTTAAAAAAAAAAAAAAAGATTCTGGCAAACTCTGCCTAGTATTTATTTCCCTTTTGAGAGATATGATTGTATATAAACATATTAAAAACTCTGTAAAGGAACCTGTTTCACTTATTTCCATCCCATATTTTACCAGGGATTCTTTTTGCAACCCTTATAATAGCTGTTAACATTGTATTCCATTGACTTGTTTTTGGAATGCTGCTTTTAAGGCACAGGACCTAAAATCTTAACTTGCCTCATTTCTCCTACTGGGAAAATACTGTTTACATTCAGAACTGCTGTAGATTAGAACTGCAGCTGCTGGTCTATGACACTGTCAAATACTGCTTTGATGTGCCCATTTCAAGTTTGTATTTGGAGCTACCAGTGACCAGAAAAATTTCAAGTTTGACTTTTTACTTTTGGATTAAGGCAAGATAAGAGGAGCAAATATGTATTCCTGTTTTTAACTTTTTAAAATGCTTTCGGGGCCGGGCATGGTGGCTCATGCCTGTAATCCTAGCACTCTGGGTTGCCAAGGCAGGCGGAATGTTTGAGCTCAGGAGTTCAAGACCAGCCTGAGCAAGAGTGAGACCTTGTCTCTACTAAAAATAGAAAGAAATTAGCCAAACAACTAAAAATAGAAAAAAATAGCTGGCATGGTGGCATGTGCCTGTAGTCCAGCTACTTGGGAGGCTGAGCCAGGAGGATGCTTGAGCCCAGGTGTATGAGGTTGCTGTGAGGTAGGCTGATGCCATGGCATCACTCTACCCAGCAACAGAGTGAGACTCTGTCTCAAAAAAAAGTTAAAAATATAAAACAACCCTTCTGGTTGGGAAATACACAAGAGCGAAAGATAAATATGGTGCTAAGCCAATTATTTAATTTTTTGAATTATAATTTTATTCTATTTAAATAATTAAATTAAATATTTAATAGTTATCTAATCTAATATCAAAATTATTTCTTGAAGTACACGCTTTATTTGTAATTTTAGAGATAGCTTATTCCCAAAATGAATTTTTATTTTAGATAATTTAATAAGGAAAGTCCATTCAGTTTTCGGTAGAACTTTTGTAAACACTGAAAATATTGTTTTAGGTATGTTACAATTGAAAATTAATATGAACTGTGAAAAGGAAACTATTATGTAAGAATATCCTTTAATTAAGGATTCTCTCCTAATTTGAATGTATACAATCTAAGTACAGCTAGCCTGAAGAAAACTACTTTGTACTTTAAATATCATTAAGCTACATTGTTACAGCATATTTGTAAAATATAAGCTACCCTGCTTTTTATTGCTATTTAAAACTTGAATATAGAAATGGTAATAGTTTTTTTTAATTTTTCCACTGCTGATAAATGTCATATAATTTATCAACTACTTAAAATGTTTAAATCCTGGCCGGCGCGCGGGCGCACGCCTGTAATTACTCTTGGGAGGCCGGGCGGCGTGAGCTCCAAGTCAGTGAGTTCAAAACAGCTGAGAAGAGCAGACCTACGTCTCTACTGATAAATACGGAGAAGAAATTAAGCTGGCCAACTGATATATATAAAAAAAAAAATTAGCCGGCATGGTGGCACATGCCTGTAGTCCCAGCTACTCGGGAGGGTGAGGCAGGAGGATCACTCCCGAGCCAGGAGTTGGAGGTTGCTGTGAGCTAGGCTGACGCCACCGGCACTTCACTCTAGCCTGGACAACAAAGTGACGACTCTGTCTCAAAAAAAAAAAAAAAACAAACAACAAACAAAAAATGTTAATCCTTATGTTCTATCTTTATTTCTTATTTATTATTTTACATTTTAGAATGGCTATCTTCTGTGTATAAACAGCAGTGGCTTGCTATGCTCCGGGCAGAACAAGACAGTGAGCTGGGGTAAGTATATTACATCATAAAATTATTCATTAACACATGACTGCCATGTGGAGTTGTATTTACTCTCTAGTTTTGAGCCCCGGGACTCATGAAGCATATGTAACTCACACGTCTCTTTACCTTGGGACCACGTGAACTTTTTTTCAAGCTGCATATAACTCATGCACAGAAAACAATTAAAAATAACAAATTTTTTGTTAAATTAGAAAGGATCATTTTATTTTTGAAGTTTTTATTCTGTTTCCTGATAAAATACTGTAGTCCCAAGAAAAAAAATTTTTTTTCTAGTGTGGCAGTCAATGTGTTAAATTTTTTTTTTGCTATGAATTTTAAGTGCATTCATTATATGGAAAAATCACCTAAGGGAAGTTTCACAAGAATGGAAAAACAGCACCACGTGTACTCACCATCTAAATTGGTATTAACTGATCAACACTCAAGTGCACATATAGTAGTAACATTCACTAGGTGTCAGGCAGATGGGGGGACGAGGAGGAGAGGATGGGTATATACATACCTAATGGGTATGGTGTGCACCATCAGGGGGATAGACATGCTTGAAGCTCTGACTTGGGCGGGGCAAAGGCAATATATGTAACCTAAACATTTGTACCCCTGTAATATGCTGAAATAAAAAAAGTTTTTTAAATCACTAAGTATTGAAAACTGAAGTTGTTGAAATAGAGAAAAGATAATTTAATCAACTTATATTCTTATATTTTAATAAAATTATGAAACATGAATATCTTTCTGGTCTATTAGATAACATAATGGAATGTTTGGATTGTCATTTGCTATATTAGTAAAATTGAATACATAATCCATATACTGTGTTTCACCTTGTATTATATGATGATTTTCTTTCAACATATTGAAATATTACTTGAAAGAATGCTTTCATAATACCTAATTCTCATAGTTATGTATAGGTAAAACTAATTTTCTAATTTGTGGTAGTATTTTCAAATTCTGATTAATAAATAGGTTTTGAAGATTTTTGAGTCTAAAATGAATTAAAACCATGAATTAAAACCATTACAGATTCCTTCCCCAAAAGCATATAACCCTCTACAAAATTTTTATACACTTTCTTCATTTTAAGGGAAAGAAAATTATCTATTCCTTCAGTGTATATTAGTGCTTTGTAGTTCACAGAAGTACTTTCATATTAGTAATACTTTTATATTTATGATTTGATCCTATGCTAGCTCCTTGAAATAGGTAATGTGAAGAGATGATCTATAAGTATACTGAAGAGGCCTTAAGAAGTTTACTTTTTTACTCCTGATCTTTTCTAACCTATTTTTATACACCAAAGAATTTCCTAAAATAATAGCCTACTTATAAGTTTGTATCCAAATAGTAAGTGTATGAAAACATTGTATACATTCATGATTATAAGGTTATTATCCAGAGTTCTTAGTTTCTATTTATAATCCATCTTTTTCCAAATGTATTCACAGCATAATTATCCAGTACAAATACAGTAAAATTTTTGAGATAGAAATAATAAATCAAAAACCAAAAAATGAGAGTTAATTTAATGGAATTGAGATTTGAAGCATTTTGTAATGTATGAAGTAATTTATAAATCTTCCTACTTCCTTTGTATATTCAATGTTTACATTTTGGATGTTCTTGATTTTTCAAGATTTTTCTCACCTATATTCTTAATGAGATTAGTATAGTGTCTCATCTATGATACGGAGCTAGAACATGTTTGTATTCTTGCCCTCAAAAGTACAGTTATCTGTTGGTATACTGGTTAGGGCTTTCATTCCAAGATCCCTACAAAATCTGCATACTCAAGTCCTGCAGCTAGCCCTGTAGAACTCACATACATAAAAAGTCAGGCCTCCATATATGTGGTTTTTGCATTCCACAAATATTATATTTTTGATGTGAGCTGGTTGAAAAAAAATCCACATGTAACTGGGCCCACGCATTTCAAACCTATATCATTCCAGGGTCGACTTTGTGTGATTTTATTGCCCCTGATGAAAATGTTCTATTCCACAGATACTGAGCATCTGCTCACTGCCACACGGCTACTGAAGTGAAAAACATAGTGTATTCCCTGGATACTAGGTTATAATCTAGTAAAGTCTCCCTCCAGAGTCCTCCTTGTCCAAACTCTCTTCCACATTGCCAAGGGGGTTATCTTTATAAAACAGAAATATAATTGTGTTATTTTCTTAAATATGTTCAGGCATATCTGATGATAGGTAAGAGATTATAGTATTGCCATAGAAGATTACTGACTCGAGATGGTGAAGAAATTTGGCATATTACACTATTCTCTTTACTTTGATATGTTTGCAGTTTTTCATGATAGAAGGTTTAAAAGTTACAGAAAAAATACCTGGGAACTCAATATTATCTACAGGAATAGTTGAAACTTATTAGCATGGCCTATAGGGATCTTCAGTATTCTATCTCAATTGCCTTTAGCTTCATCTCCTCTCATGTTCATCTGGACTAAACATGTACTAAACTCTCATGTTCCTATGCTCCAGCTCCACCAAATAAATACCTTGTACATTTGGTTCTATTATGTTCCAGTATCTTTTTATCTACTATTCCTTCTGCCAGAATACCCTTTCCCCTGCACTGAGTTCACCTCCTATCTCCACCCCAACAAGCTTGAACTCGTGTGCAAATAATATTGACCCTGTAATGATACCCACCAACACCAAACAATAAATTTTTGCCTCCTTCATGCTGTTCACGTCACAAACCACACATTATTATTATAATAATTAACCACATTATAATTATTACTTATGTCTAGTTCTCTACTAGACTGAGCTCTTGGATGTCAAGGACATGTTTTATTTACATTTACTTATTTTTTTATTGTATTTGTTTCATTTTTTATTTGTTATTATATATTATGTCCCTAATTTCTAGGCATTTCATATTGTAAATGAATGAATATATTATATCACTTTCATCATTTGGAATTACCAACCTAAATAGTTGTCCTTGATATAACAGTATTCCATAGATGATTAAAGTTTTTAAAAGTAAGTAACCAAGTAAAGACAAAAATTCTACAGCTGTTTTCTATTAAATATTAATTTTGTGCAGTTATACTATTAGGTTATTAAGTATGAAATGTCTGAGTTCCTTAAGTACTAAGGAAAGTTGATATCTCTGACATTTCACTTGGACACTTATTATTTTTATTGTAAAAGTACATCCTCATTCTTTCACACGCACAGTTTGGCTTGTGATTATCTTTCAAAAATTTTTTAGAGCAGTTTTTGTGAAACCATGGATAAGTCAAAAGTTCATGTTATTTTCGAATATGAGTTCCATCATGGAACCAATGCAGCGCAGACAGCTCAAAATATTGACAAAGTGTTGGGAAGGATGTGACTAATGAACTAACAGTACATTGATGGTTTGAGATGTTCCGATCTGGTGATTTTAATCTTGAAAATGAGCCACATGGGCAACCTGAGACCAAGGTGGGTAATGATGAGCTGAAAGCTGTAGTGGAAGCGAATCCATCTCAACCTACACACAAATTAGCAGTAAGGTTTGACGTTACTGTTTCAACAATATTGGCCCATGTGAAACAAATTGGCAAGGTAAAGAAGCTGGATAGATGGGCATCGCATGAATTAAATGAGCTTCAGAAGAGAAATCGTCTCAAAGCTTGCGTTTTTTTGCTGTCACAATATAAAGGCTAACCATTTCTACACCATATTGTTACGTGTGATGAAAAATGGATTTTTTTTTTTGACAATTGCAAGTGTTCTGCACGATGGTTGGATAAAGATGAAGTGCCAAACACAGGCCAAAACCGAATATTCATCAAAAAAAGCTAATGATGTCTGTTTGGTGGTCCAGCACTGGTATTATCCACTACAGCTTCATGAAACCTGGTCAGTCTATTACAGCAGATGTCTACTGCAACCAATTAGATGAAATGATGAGGGTGCTTGTGATTTAAGCAGCTGAGATTAGCCAGTAGAGACAGGCCAATCCTCTTGCAAGACAGCGCTTGACCACATATTGCACAAACAGTGCTGCTGAGACTACAGAGGCTGGACTTGGAAACTCTCTGTCATACACTGTATTCACCAGACCTTGCACCAACTGACTACCACTTCTTCCAGGCTTTGAACTACTTATCACAAGGGAAAATAATTTAATTCACAGCAAACTGTGGAAAACACCTTTTGCGTCATCGTCACTTGCTCTCTAGGCTTCTTCACTGCTGGCATAAACAAGCTTAAGATGGCAAAACTTTGTCGATAATTTAGGCACATACTTTGACTAATTGTACTGCTTCTTGTTTGAGATATAATAAACTAAACTTTTGATTCTAAATCAGACATTTCATATTTAATGACCTAATATATGAAAAATGGTTTGCATGTGAAACAAGGAGTATTAAGTAGTAGGTGGTATCAAATCACATTTCATAGAAATAATAGATTTTAATTTCTTCTATTTAGTAGTTAGACTTTTAAGTATTTTATTTTTTTGGTGAGCAGAATATCTTGTAGTCGTCCCCCCCCCCCCCCCCCCCCGCTTTGGTTTGGCTAAGCTCTAATAAAAGTAATCTAGAAGTGAGGGCAATAAGTGAAACACAGAAGATTTCAAAATCTTTTATTTAGCAAAGGCAATGGATTAGATTTAATCAATATATTCTTATTTTTATCTATACCACAAATTTTTTTTTCTTTGAGCACTGGTTGAACACAAAATTTTATTTTATTTTATTTTATTTTATTTTTGAGACAGAGTCTCGCTTTGTTGCCTAGGCTAGAGTGAGTGCCATGGCGTCAGCCTAGCTCACAGCAACCTCAAACTCCTGGGCTCAAGCGATCCTTCTGTCTCAGCCTCCCAAGTAGCTGGGACTACAGGCATGAGCCACCATGCCCGGCTAATTTTTTCTATATATATTAGTTGGCCAATTAGTTTCTTTCTATTTATAGTAGAGACGGGGTCTCGCTCTTGCTCAGGCTGGTTTCGAACTCCTGACCTCGAGCAATCCGCCCGCCTCGGCCTCCCAGAGAGCTAGACAAAATTTTATTTTTAAATCTAGTAAGATTTTCTGTTCTTTTTAACTTCATGGTTCTTTTTTAATTACTAGTTGCCTATTTTCTGTGAGGGTTCATGTCTTATGTTTATATTTTAGGCCTCAAGAAATCAATAAAGAAGAACTAGAGGGAAATAGCATGAGGTGTGGTAGAAAGCTTGCCAAAGATGGTGAAGTAAGTATGGTTGTGACTCTTAATAGTCTCTTACAAATTGTTTTATTATCAGCACATAATGCACTTTGAGTAACAATGAAACTGGTCATACCTCAGAAGAGATTATTTGATATACTTTCTGTAGCATGAACTTCTGGGATAGGAGTTATAGCCACTGTACTCAATAGTGATTGATTTCTCAGCCTTGCATGAAACTGTTGAACTTGCAGATCTTGGGTCCAGGTAAGAGATATAAGAAGAGGATCTCTTAACAATCCAGAAATTAAGATAAAGAAGTTATGTGGGAGCTGTTACATGGTCTTAAAAGTGGTTCCATTTTATAATTACCCTAAATCAATGACATTCCAACCGTTTGATTACTACCCACATTAAATAGAATTACCTCTTTTCATTAGCACACAATATAAATGTATATAAGTGAAAGAAAAATATATAAAATAATATTCTCCCCTACTGCATCCAGAGATCCTATTTTCTGTAATTTAAAAAAAAACAAAACAATTATATCCCATTAAATTGCTTTTACAATCCACTAATGGGACATGAACTACATTTTTAAATATTTCACCCCAACTGTAATTTTTGCCTTTAAAAAAATATTCAACCTAATTTAGATATCCATTTGGTTATTTTTCTCCCAAAATTTCTCTCATTTTAACTTTATTTGTAAAAGTTAATTATTTTATGTTTGCATTTATAATTATAAATGTTCAGAGTATGAAAGAGGAGTAGTTGTCTTCTTTATTCCTTATTCTTCCTTGTTGCTGCTTTCAGATCTTGTTCCTCCTTCATGCCTCATTGAACCACAACTCGTTAGGAGCAAGTGCTCCTGCTACACCACCTGCTATGCATAATGTGGCCATCATTCACTGGGCTCACTGCCTTTCTCTTTGTCACTACTCTGTTGGTCTTGGTGATTTTAGTATCTCTGTTCCCTGACCGGATTCCCTACCTCAGGCACCCATTCCCATGAACACATCCTTAATTTTGCATTACTGATTTACTGCACTGCCTTCAAAATCTCCATTTCAGGCATCCCATTTTCAGACTCTACCTCTTCTTTCTAGTTCTCTCTCTCTAGAAGCTGGACTCCCAACAATTTTTTTAAACCCCATTGGGATGTATAATACATTGTTCTCACGACCTTTTCCTATCACCTTTCTTACCACGTCCCTACTTCTTTCTTTACCTAACTTATATTTTATGTTCCATCTTAAAATTGGTACCGTATATTCTTTTAACTTCTCTTTTTCCTCTTTGATTCTGTTAAACTTAACTGGTTAAACCCCAGCTCTTTTGTTAAATCCAGTCTTTCCATGTCCTCGTTGCTTGCATCCAGACACATCAATATGACTGAAGACAAACACCATACCCCAATGGGTTTCACTTGCGTGTTATAACCAAAAACTTCAAGCAGGTCTTTAGTGCTGCATCGAGATTCTCCTACATTTCCCTAATGAAATTATCCTCTCACTATCTGAGGTGACTCACGACCTTCTTTCCTCAAAAGGCCAGTGCTACCACCCTTATTCTTATCTGATGGCCTTCTTACTCCAATAGGAAGAGAATCTATGCATCCTCTTACCCATAATTCTGCCAGTCTACCTGCATCTGTAGCTGTGTGCTGTGCTTTTACTCTTGTTAGAGTAATGAACAGTCTGCTTCTATCCTAGTCCTTCCCCACTCCTTGTACTAGACTCCATTAATGCATTCAAAAGCTTTGCTCCTGCAGTTACCACCTCCCTGACCTGCATCATCTGTTTTCTCTTCTATTGGATCATTCTCATTTAGCATATAACATCCTACAATATCACCCATCTTAACTTACCTTCAACTAAACTCCCCCTCTAGCTACAACTTCATTTCTCTGTACTCCTTTTAGGCAAATCTCATTGAAAAGAGTTGCCTGTATTTATTTGTCTATACTTCCTCTTTTCCAGTGCCTTCTTGGATCATTCCAATTTATTTGAACAGCTCCACCGAAACTGCCATGCTAGTATCACTAGCATGTGTCTTTGCTAGACCCCTCTCTTACTCAACGAAGGTTGGTGTGATTAGAGGATCAGTTCTTGGATTTCTTCCCTATCTATATTCACTTTTAAGTGATCTCATCTAGTCCTGTGACTTTATGGTCCATTTGTACACTGATGACTCCTAACTCCAAATTCACGTATCTATTCACTTGGTATCTTTCTTGGATACCTAATAGTATCTCAAATATAATAGTCCCATGTAGAACTCTCTTTTTTGAGACAGGCTCTTGCTCTGTCACCTGGGCTAGGTCTCACTGTGTTGCCCTGGCTAGTCTTGAGCTCCTAGGCTCAAGTGATCCTCCTGGCAAAGTGCTAGAATTATAGGCCTGAGCCACCACACCTGGCCCCCAAGCAGAACTCTTAATTTTCATCTCTAAACCTCCTCCTTCCCAAGTATTCTCCAACCCCTTTGTTCATCATTGTATAGGCTCCAAAGTATGGGTTCATTTTGGACTCTTCTTTCTTTCATAGCACTCCTGGTGTCTATAAGTAATTTGTCAAGGCTCTACCCCTGAAATATATTCTCAGCATGTCTACCACTAACACCCAAGTATAGGCCTCTGTCCTCTTTTGTCTGGGCTATTGCTACTGTAGTAACCTTATATCTGCTCTCCCTGTTTTACTCTCATTCCTTTACATTCTATTTTCCACACAATAGCCACAGTAATTGTTTTAAAATGCAAGTTAGATCATGTCACTTCCTTCCCTAAAATCTTCCAGTAGCCTCCCGCCATACTTAGAAGAAATACAAACCATGGACTACTAGACCCTACAGTTCCCTGACTGTCTCTGAACTCATCTCCAGCTTCTCTACCCATCAGTCACTGCCCCAGCAGTGGAGATGAGTAGCCCTTCTTGGTGTTCCTCAGATATGCCAAGCATGCTTTTACCTTTGGAGCTTTTACTTGCCATTATCTCTGCTTAAGACACTCTTTCCCTGGATAGCTATGCGATCTACTGCTTCAGCTGACTCAAGTATTTACTTACATAGCATCTCCTTGAAGAGACATGTCCTGAGCACCTGTCTAAACCAGCAGGCTCCCCAACTGCAGACTCCCTTCCTCTACCCTATCACTCTATTCTGACATCCTGTACTCTTCCTCTTCCATTCATAGTATTCATATCTCCTCTCCTACTGCACAAACATGTACACATAGTAGAATACAAATTCCACTAGGGCAGAAACTGATTTACTGCTGTGTCTCCACTGCCTAGAACAGTGCTTACATATAATTTGTGCTTAGTAAATATCACTTAAATATTGAATTAATGTTATAATTCAGGGTGTCAACCAAACACTTGAAGCTCTAACTGTATTTCCCTGTACCAGACCACCTCACCTGATACGCTCTCATTAACTGTTAGCTGATAGAATAAACAAACTTGTGAATCTCATGATTATATTTAAAATAACCCAGTTGTATGTCTGTTGGTTAATTAGTTAAGGTATTTTAGAATCTTTTAAAAGCAAGGTGGATTTTAATGGGTCCTTATTACCCCCATCTAGACTCCTAGTGCCCTAAGCTATGCCTGCTTAGAGTTGCAGTGAAAAGCGTTATTATTTATGATAGAATTGCAGTGTGGAAAGAGAAATGAAACAGATCATGAAGAAGCAATACTAGGAAAGTAACTTAAAGAATTATAGTCATAAAATCTGCTTTTCTGGCTTAGATATATAGTTCTGTGTGGTAAGCACAGACAAAAAAGTAGGGGATCCATGAAAGAAATAAGGGGAAAAACATTTTGAACTTTTTATTTTTGACTTGCTAATATGATAAACTGAAATGTCTCTCTTTTGTATTTCTTAGTACTGCTGGCGGTGGACAGGTTTTAACTTCGGCTTTGATCTACTAGTAACTTACACTAATCGATACATCATTTTCAAACGCAATACACTGAATCAGCCATGTAGTGGATCTGTCAGTTTACAGCCTCGAAGGAGCATAGCATTTAGGTAGGATGAGATTTCTCTTCCTCACTCCGGGGGAAATATAAGAAGTAAAAGAAATAAAACTTTAATAATTTACACCAACAACTTTACAACCTTGATAATATATAGTATAGGGAAAGTGGTAGGAAATGGTAAGGCTCCATTCCTATGAAATATATTATTAGTAATCAAAATCATAAGATCTAGTATTTCAGGGAGAACAAATAGGCTAGAATATATACTGAATATGGAATATCAGTCCTGAATGATAAAGGATTGATACTAGGCTTGAAGCTGTTGCCTTGTTGCTTTCCTAGAAAATAAAAGGTCCAAACTGAAATTATGGTAAGGTATTTTTTATAAGCCAGTCAAATTCAGCAGTGGGGAGCTGTATACCAACTTTAATGACACTAATGTTAGTAAATTCTGATAACCTACTACCATCAGACCAGCCATGGTAAAGTATTTTTCCAGGAAAACGTGTCTGGTAGTTTTGATATGTCCATCTGTGCCTGATAGTTAAGCTGGCAATCATTTTCTAGAGAGGATGCTATAGGCTGACAAATTGGAAAATAGCTTAATGAACAAATTATTTAAAAGACACATATTTATACTTTACATCAAATACAAAGACTCAAAATGGATCAAAGACATAACCATAAGATCTAAAACTATGAAACTCTTGGAAGAAAACATAGGGGGAAAAAGTTTTATATTAATAACATTTGATTTGGCAGTGATTTCTTCCATATGACACCAAAAGCATAGGCAACAAAAGGAAAAATAGATAAGTCAGACTTCATCAAAATTGAAAACTTTTGTACATCAAAGGACACTATCAATGGAATGAAAAGGCATCCCATAGAAAGGGAGAAAATATTTGTAAACCCTATATTCGATAAGGAGCTAATATTTAGAATATATAGAAAACTCTACAATAAAAATATCTTGATTCAAAAATGGGCAAAGGACTTGCATAAACCTTTTTCCAAAGAAGATATACAAAATGGCTAATAAATACATGAAAAGATGCTCAACATCACTAATCATTAGGGAAATGCAAATCAAAACCATAATAAGCTATTACTTCACACCCATTAGGATGACTATTCTTAAAAACAAAATGGAAGAAGACCTCAAATTAACAAGTATTGGTGAGGATGTGGAATATCTGGAACCTTTGTACACTTGCTGGTGGCCATGTAAAATGGTGCAGCCAAACATAGAATTACCATATGATCCAGCAATTCCTCTTCTGGATATGTACCCAAAAGAATTGAAAATAGGGGCTGGGCGCTGTGGCTCACTCCTGTAATCCTAGCACTCTGGGAGGCCGAGGTAGGAGGATTACTTGAGGTCAGGAGTTTGAAATTGTTGTGAGCTAGGCTAATGCCGTAGCACTCTAGCCTCGGTGACAGAGCAAGACTCTGTCTTGAAAAAAAAAGAATGAAAATAGGGACTCAAACCAATATTTATACACTCATATTCATAGCAGCATCATTCATAATAGCCAAAAAGTAGAACCAACCCCATGTTCATTGACAGATGAATGGATAAACAAAATGTGGTATGTACACACAATGGAACATTATTTAGCCCTAAAAAGAAACTGACAGTCTATGACCATACCACACTGAACGTGCCCGATCTCATCTGATCTCGGAACCTAAGCAGGGTCGGGCCTGGTTAGTACTTGGATAGGAGAAATTGACACATGCTAAACGTGAGTGAACCTTGAAGACATGCTAAGTGTAACAAGCCAGTCGCAAAAGGACAAATATTGTAAGGGCATTGTAAGATTCCACTCGTCTGGGGTATCTAAAGTAGATAAATTCATAGGGACAGAGAGTACACTGGTGGTTGCCAGGGGATGGGAGAAGGGAAAATGGAGAATTAATGTATAATGGGTGCAGAGTTTCACTTGGGGAAGAGGAAAATGTTCCGAAAATGGATTGAGAACAATGTGATATATTTAATGCCACAGAACTTTATACTTAAAATGGTTAAATGGTAAGTTTTATATATATTTTACCACAATCAAAACATTTATAAATTATTTTTACATATCAGATATGCACAATAGCACAGGCTTGTAAATCTGGAATCAGTTCACAGTTTGAAAAGACTTTAAAGTCTTTTATCAAATAAAAGATCTACAGAGACAAGGAAGAGAAAAAATATTAAAGTGAGGGAGGGCTTGTTTAAATTTGTAGTGAAAAAAATCTTGTGTTTATTTTTTTTTTAATTCTTTTTTATCCTAGATTACGTTTGGCTTCCTTTGATAGTAGTGGAAAACTAATATGTAGTAGGACAACTGGCTATCAGATACTTACACTTGAAAAAGATCAGGTATGTTTCATTATTTTTCTGTGGAGTCATTATATTTGTCTTTTGAATCCGCTTTTGAAAATTCTTAAGTAGAATTAACATTAAAATGGTGTTTTGATTTAAGGATTGGTTTGAAAGTTTCTTGAAGGTAAAGATGAAGTGCCTCCCATGAGCACTTCTGTATAACTTACCCCATCCCACTAGGAGCATAACCAGGACAAAAAAAGAAAACATGATTTCAGGAGCAGGGAAAAGTTGATTTATAAAGGAATAGTTTTTTATCCTGAATATCATCTTCAAACAGTTATGAATCTCAAATGCTTTATCCATTGTGTACAGAAGTGCATTCATCTATACATTAATGGCAGACATCTTAAAGATAATCCAGTATATTTCCATATATTTCCTGAATACTACAAGAACATTATTCTCTAGGTTTGTAAAATGATGAACATCTGTAACATGCCCCACATTATCGCTAAAGCGATTTGTTTGTTCATACATCACATGTATGTAGAAGTTTTAAAATGTCATGAAAGCAAATGAGAGTTGTTAAAATATTGAATATGTTTATTAAAACTAACCCCCATTCCAAAGGGCATAATGCTTTAAAAAAGGGTTTAGGTGCTATTATAGTTCACATAAATTTTGAGACATTAGCAATTTTCCTCAGACTGAATAGACTATCCTAGACCGTTCTTAGCATTGCAGGGAACCTTGGAAGTGATCGTTGTAACCTCCCGTGCCCTGCATGAGAACTCCTTTAACTGCATTCTTACACTGTCCTCCAGCCATTGTTGGAACTCTAGCAACAGAGGGCTGACCATCTTAAGCAGTAGTTAGTATGTAGGAGTGTCCATTTCAAGGCAGATATATAATGAGAAAGTTCAGTTCTGCCTCCATTGGAATTCTCTATTGGTCCTTCTTATAGCCTCTGGAACTGAATGGACAATGACTATTTTTACCTTCTACCTGGAACTTCATTAAAAAAAAAAAAAAAAAAAAGCCATGGCTCAAAGCAACCAAAGACTTCAAAAGCAGCAAGCCAAGATATAGTTGTGTTCCAAATGTTCCTTCGGAAAACGCTGAAGGAACACTAGGTTCTGTGCTAGGAGGGGAGGAAGTGAAGATGGGCTTGTGTTAACATGGCCTAGTATAAGCAGCGTGACAGAATAAGCTCAGAGCAGCGTGCAGCATTGAAGGGAACGTCTCTAACCTGTACTGTGCAGTTGAGAGAAGGTGTGGTTGTTGGGGGAGGAGGAGCAGGGAAGACAGCTCAGGGGAAACCTCCCCTCCTGGAAAAGTTGAAAAGTGAATAGATAACCTGAACCAAACCTCAAATGATGAGTAAGATGGAGGCAAGGCATGTGGGTCATTGAAGGAACTGAAAGACAGTTGGAAGAGTTCAGTATAACTAGAACCAGGGCAGGTAAGCTGTGGGTAGAGTTTGGAAGGATTTTAGTTGGGAGTTGTATATGTGCATTTTATGTAGATTATAGGTGTTTATTGTAGAAAAAAATAGAAAATATAAATAAGCCAAAACAAAATCACATATATACCACTCAGATACACTTAAGACATTTTTTTCTTCACTGTATCTTTTTTCCAAATATGGATCTTACAGTTAACCATTTTTTATGGTGAAAAAAATGTATATTTAGCCAATTGAGATCAATTTAGATAATCTCAATTTCGTTGGCATCTAAAGCGCACAGTCAGGAGCCCCAATCCAAAATGTGCCTTCTTCCCTCAAGCCTAGGTGCATCAGACAATGAGGTAGCAATTGTAACCTGCTTTTTCTTTTCTACTTCATTATACATAGTTTTTCTTTCAATAAATATATATCTACAACTTTTTTTTTTGAGACAGTGAGGGTCTTGCTCTGTTACTCAGGCTAGAATGCAGTGGTGTCATCATAGTTCACTCTAGCCTCAAACTCCTGAGCTCAAGTAATCCTCCTGCCTCAACCTACCAAAGCACTAGGGATTACACATGTGAGCCACCGTGCCTGACCTCACAACGTCATTTTAATTAACTGCTTAATATTAGTTGTTTTGGATATACCATAGTTTACATAAATCCTTTTTATTAGATAAAATTCTCATGGGTTTTTTTCATTATTATCTTTGTCCACTTCTCTGAGGTTGTTTTTTTTTAAGCTAAATTCCAAGAAATAGCATTCTTGTCAAATGGTACATACGTTTTCTAATGGCCAAATTACCCTTTACAAGTATAGTCCAATTTACACTCCCTCCAGCAGTACAGGAGAGTATACCTAATGTAGTATATATTATGCTTCTTTTTAATTTTTCCCCCAAGGTAATGAGACAAATTATATTTGTTTTAATTTTCATTTCTTTCATTACTGGTATGGTTGAGTTTTTTGTATGCATATTGGACATGTTATATATAAATTTAAGTTATTATCTGTATAATTTTTATTAAAATGTTCATTCTCCCAAGTAGCTGGGACTATAGGTGCATGCCACCACACCCAGCAAATTTTTTTTAATTTTTTGTAGAGACAGCAAGTATCTCATTTAAGTTGCCCAGGCCAGGTCTCAAACTCCTGGCTTTAAGTGATTCTCCTGCCCCAGCCTTCCAAAGTGCTGGGATATTACACAGGTGTGAGCCACTGTGCCTGGCCTATTCTTTTATGTATTAAGAATAATAAAATTTGTGATATGCTGTAGTTTTTCCATTTTTGTCATTTGTTTTTTCAACATTTAAAACTATATATCTCTTTAATGATGTCTTCATTTGATGCGATCTTTAGGCTTCCTTATTCTTACTGGAATTATATACATAGTCATCTGAGCTGGGTATGGTGGCTCACACCTATAATCCCAGCAACCCAGGAGGCTGAGATGGAAGGATCACTTGAACCCAGGAGTTCAAGATCAGACTGGGCAACATAGCAAGATGTATCTCTAAAAAAAATTTAAAATAAAAATAAATAAATAGTCATCTGTATTTTTCATGTTCCTTTTATGGTTTAATTTTTTACACTGGAGTATTTCAAATGTATTTGAAATGCCTTATCATATACTAAATCCTTACAAAATTTGTTTCATTTCTGAACTTTGTTTTATTGATTTCTTCGTTATGGAGACAACAGGCATTGTTTTAATTAGGCTAACTTTAAAATGCATTTTAATACCTAGTAATGCAAAAACACTTTCATTCTTCTGTTTTCTAAAATCCTTTGGTTTGGCCAGGCATGGTGGCTCATGCCTGTAATCCTAGCCCTTTGAGAGGCTAAGGCAGGAAGATCACTTGAGGCCAGGAGTTTGGGACCAGCCTAGGCAAAGACCCTGTCTCTACAAAAAATTTTTAAAAATCTTTTGCTGCTTTGTGCATGATTATTATTCTGTATGAGGTGTAGAATCATTTTGTCAAGGTTCCTATGGGGATTTTGATTTATCTTATTAAATATATAGAGTAAATTGTGGAAAATTGATATCTTCCCCTTCTGGAATATGGTTCTCTACATTTATTTAGGTCTTCTCTTATGTCTCTCTAAAATTTGTAGTTGTTCCTATATTGTTCCTATATATTTCTGGAAATATGCTAAATATTTGCTATTTCAACTGCTAATATGTAATGAATTTTTTCTAATAGTTTTTGATGATGGAAGAAAGCTAATGATTTTTATATATTTTATAACTGTCTTATAAAACTATATTTTTTAATGCTAACTGTGTTTGTATACAGTGCAAATGCTATAATGCTAACTGGATATGCATTATAGAAAGTTCTCTCGGATAGTAATGTGTAGGAAGGATTTAGAGATATGATAATGGCATGAAGACAGTTTAGTGATTCTATTGCTATATATATAGTCCAGATAAAGAATGATGAGAGCCTCAAGTTAGGGAAGGTAGCAGTGAAGATGAAGAAATGCTGATGGGTTCTAGAAATAAAATGTTACAGTTGACAGATTTTGGTGCTTAATTGTGTGTGTACGTGAAGAAAAGCAGTTAGATGGTTCCTGGTTTTTTGACTTGGACAACTGGATTTATGGTAGTGTTTTTTCCTGATATTTGAATTATAAGAAGGAAAATGAATATGACTTAAAACTATTTGTGATGGTAAAGAGGTGATGAATTCAGTTTGGGCATATTTAATTTGAGGGCATCAAGGTGAAGATTTGATAGGCTGGTAGACAAATGCATCTGTAGTGCCTGTGCTACAAATGATGACTGGGTGAAAAACTATAGAAATGTGTAGAGAATATGATAGGTTGGAACTCTAGGGACCACTGGCATTTAAAGGGTGGGCAAAAAAAGTAATCTGGTGAGATATTCAATGGCTGGGATGGGGAGTCAAAGCCATATTGCAAAAGTAAAAGCATAGATGGCCCAGAAAGAAAAGGAGGAGTAGATAGTAGCCAGTAGTTGAAGGTTTGAATTTCAGTTGCTTTATATCTAAGTGAAGATTTCTAGTAATGAGTTGGATTTATGGATCCTGGAATTAAGACCTGTAAGATAGAATGTGGGGGAAGTAATAAAGGTATAGCATAGAATAAGTAGCATGAGCCTCACAGAAGCAGGGATTTGTACATGAAATTGAAGCAATAATTGCAAGTAGAAACAGAGACCTAGGAAGATGTTGTTCCTCTGTCTACTGCTGCAATGTGTGGGCTCCACAGCTTCTACCCATACAAGGAATATGGAACTTTGCTATAAAGATACTTCAGTGCAAATGTAGATGTAAATTCATCCCTCAGGTAGAGTTACAGATTTGATGAAACTAAGATTAGATCTGTCTTGTTTGGAGATGGAGAGTGGGAATTAATGCAGTATAATTTTCAGAAATTGGTGTATCCATTCACCCTCTAAGCAACGGCCCCATGGAGTCCTCCTTTTCCCAGAGTTGGCCCTTTAGCTTACCCCCACCCAACCTTAACTATACTCAAATACCAGAATGATAATCCTTCTTGGAGCTTTTGTTTTGTCATGGTACAGAATCTTGATTTTTATCATCAGATATATATATCATCAAAACATTTGTCCTCAACAAATTTAGTAAATGTGCCTTCACCTAGATTAGATTATTGATACAAATTTTGAGTAGGTCAGGGTGTCAAGCATCTGAAGACCAACTATACTTTGATATTATTCCTCTCTCGTGACACTCTAGCACCATCAGCCTAGGCGATAGCCATGCCTAATTTTGTTCACTGATCTTTTTTAAAATACCACTTTGCCTCTTTGAAGGTATGGAGAGAGATTGTGTGTGTATATGTGTACCTTCTTCTTCTTTATCTTGCTACTCCCTCAACACAGAAGCTGTGTCCATTCGACCTACTTCAGGAACTCAAATATATTCTAGTTTTAGTCCTTCATTGCAGGAACACATACTTCAGTAAAAAATTAAAATGCTAGATTTAAACAATGTTTAATAGTATATTCTGACTGGGCGTGTTGGCTCACGCCTGTAATCCTAGCACTCTGGGAGGCCGAGGCGGGTAGATTGCTCGAGGTCAGGAGTTCAAAACCAGCCTGAGCAAGAGCGAGACCCCATCTCTACTAATAATAGAAATTAATTGGCCAACTACAAATATAGAAAAAATTAGCTGGGCATGGTGGTGCATGCCTGTAGTCCCAGCTACTCAGGAGGCTAAGGCAGGAGGATCACTTGAGCCCAGGAGTTTGAGGTTGCTGTGAGCTAGCCTGACGCCACGGCACTCTAGCCCAGGCAACGGAGTGAGACTCTCTCTCCAAAAAAAAAAAAAAACAAATGTATATTCTACAAAATGTATAAAATAAAGTAAAACTAGTACTTACTATTGCAGCAAGTATTTAAAAAATAAGAATTCTAATTTTAGTGTTGCTTCTTTTACTCTGAGAATTTATTCTGTTCACCAAATAGTGCTGGTAAAGGATATATGAGGTTCCAGACAGATTCCTGTAGCATCAGTGATGTTGCATTTGTGGCTCTCAGGTGTAGTATCAATTCCTGTCTCTCTGAGAGCTTGGTGCATTCTTATGTGTGTTGATGTAATTGAACCTGAAATTTCTTTTACATGATAATGTATTTTATGTTCCAGGAGACAGATAACATGTTTGTCATAGGGACAATGGAGAGTCTTAGGAGTAGGAACCCTGCTTGCTGGTAGGAATAGTGACTCTCCACCTTCATCCCAATGATTTGCTATACCTAAGGGCCATCAGAAATTGAAGCCAAGTAGATGGGCATGTTGTTGTGTGCCTATAGTTCCAGCTGCTCAGGAGGCTAAGGCGGAAGAATCCCTTGTGCTCAGCCAGGCAACATAGTGAGACCTTGTGTGTAAAAAAATTATAATAAAATTTTAAAAAGAAATTGAAGGCAATTGAGAAGTTTATTTCTGAACACTGATTCTATTCATAAAATATGCAGGTACTTGATAGAAATTTTTGCAATAATGAAAATACCTACCACTACTGAGTACTTAATATATATCTGGATGTGCTAAACCCTCTGTGCATTGTCTTATTTCATCCTCATTGTAACTCTGTGAAGTGGGTACTCTTATTTGTCCCCATTTTATACAATGAGAAAGGAGCAGTAACTAGTGGGTGGGAGTTTGAAGATTTGAATTGTGGATCTCAGACTCAAGCTCTTAACCCCATACTATCTCCTTTGGTTCACTCAATTCAACAGCTTGGGTTTTTATTTTTATTTTTTAAATCTTGCTATCAAGTTGTCATTAAACCTACAAATCTGTCTTATAGGAGCAAGTGGTGATGAACTTGGACAGCAGGCTTCTGGTCTTCCCTTTATATATCTGCTGTAACTTCTTGTATATATCGCCAGAAAAAAGAACTGAAAATAATCGTCACCCAGAAAATCCAGAAAACTGAGGATCTCATCAGTTGGAAACAGTAGCACTTTGAAAACTTTTTAGGCCAGCTTTAATGTAATGGCCCTGCTGATATTCACATCTAAGGTGACTAACAATGACAAAGGCCTTATGAACTGTACAGATAATACAGAAGATTATTCTTATCCTTATTACATTTCTATGTATATGTGGAAAAGAACATTTTAAAGCCAAGAAAATATAGGTCAAACCATTTCTGTTATAAAGATGTCAATTCATGCTTTTAATTCAGCATCAGTAGAAAATTGCTATAAGTAAATCTCATATTTCTGTGCAAGAAAATATAGATTGAATTTTTAGCTTAAACTTTGTTCCAGCCTTGTGTTAGTGAACCTTAGTCATCCATCTGTAAATTTATTTGGCTAGAAGAATGCTAAAGGAATAATTTGGCCAATTGTAAATGCTCTTTCAGTTGGTGCACTTAAAGCTGTCCTTTAATTTTTTTACCTGCTCGTTATGATTCCTTCTTTTAGTCTAATATGTTTCCAATATATCCTTGTTTTTAGTCATTAAGTATGTTTTTCATGGTTTTAGAGACTAAGCTGAAGAACTTTTTTTTAAATGTAAGCATTTTCATATTTTCTTTTAATGTAGCTTTTCTGGGAATTTTAACAAAAAAAAATCAGCTTCAGACCTACAAATGAACTTGAATGAGGGAAAAATCAGTTTGATTCTGAGCATATTTCTTACCTTCCTTGGTCTTTTCTTTGATATTTGTACACTTTTATTGTTGTGTTATAAATTATTTATGTACCAGATATTATACTTTTAAACATTTTAATATTCTCTGATGTTTAAAATTATTTATGTTCACATTTTAGTTGGAAATTCTGTTTCCTACTTAAGCTCAGGACTTTATAACTTCTGAATTGAGTGAGTGCCTTTAAGTTATACATACTAATAGAAATTTCATAGTCCATGTAAATAAGGTTGGAGGATCTAATATAGAAGCTGATAACAAAGCATTAATGTAAAAAAGGAAGTTATTTTTGTCACATCAGATGCATACTTGTCATGATTTATGTATGTTGGCTGCTTATGTTTATTGCTAATTTGAAAATAGCCATCCATGTTCATTTTCTTCCAGAGTAAGTACTTCTATGGTTAATGTATATTTTTAGTATGTTTTTTTAAAACAGGAATCATTTTTATGTATCTGTGAAAATAACAAATGCTCATTTGGAAAAAATAAATAAGCTCTTATATAAAATGGACCCCAAAAACCCCTTAATTGAAACCAGAATTTTTTTTTCTTTCTAGTTAGATATTTTTCCCAACTACTTTTAACTTTTGGAATCTATTGATAGTTTTTCTTTCCCAGTAATATGTCCATAGGCTCATAAATTGCTTTTGTCCTTTCAGAATTCCTCCACTTGATTTAACTAACTTAAAGGAAACTTTTAAATGCCTCCCCTTCAACCCCTAGAGCTGTAATTTAAATGTTTCTAATACAGCGATCTGGCTGTATCAAGAGACTACATTTCTTATTTTTATATTTGGCTGTAATATCTCTTTCATGAGATGCTGTTGCTTTCTTTGTATTTTATTACACCTGTAGTAAGAGGTCTTTACCCTTTATTAAAAATTATATGAATACCAAACTTGAATTATTTGAATAAATTTGTTTTAATCTTGAAAGTAAATATAACTAATGTTTGAGTATATTAATGAGTAAAACTAACTGTTTCACTTATATAAATTAACTGGCCAAATTGGAATTATATATGGTTCCTGTTCACTGGTTCTGTCCTGGCCAAGTTACTTATTTCATCCATTAGCAAGATGATTATTTCTTCAGTCACAAATAGGTTATGTTCTTATTTGAGAAATTGATAATTGTCAGCTAGTACTTCTCATTGATAGTAAAAGATGTGTCTTTGTTTTCTTACCAAATACTTTTACATGTATGCATAATTCTTTTCAATAGGAATATTTTCAATAAAGTGTTAATAGTGTCCGTTAAAGTGTCATAAAAACTGTATATGAAAGCTTTTGTGTTTGTCAGCTTTTGCTTTATAGCCTCTCCTGGTCCTTATTTTTGCTTGTCTATCTGTAGAGGTCCCTAAGAGAATATGTTCTAGGATTTCACACTACATTATTAAAGAGGGATCTGAATGTACCTTTCCTTTTTTTTTTTTTAATGGGTTGGGCTTGAAACTTAGCAAGACGGGCAAAACTATGTGAAGAACAGTGGTAGTCACTGGCTTTTTTAAACCAAATGTTTAGCAGCTAACATTTTATCTCATTTTAAGCCTTTCAATAGGATTACCATCATATGTGAACAATTTTCAACATTAAATGCAAAACTAGGGTTGCCAGAGGTCACTTTGGCCATTTAAGTTAATTAACATTTTTAAAAATTAAAAATGTACTCCCTCAGTCACAGCAGCCACACTGTAAGTGCTCAGTAGCCACATGTAGCTGGTGGCTACCATATTGAACAGTGCAGATATAGAATATTTCCTTCATTGCAGTAAGTTCTGACACAGTTGGTTTTGAATATTGGAGTGGTAATGGTGAAACTGTGTTGAAACTTATATTTCTTTAAGGTGAACTGGTTTGAAGAATAGAAAAAAATAATAGGGCAAGGGGTGCAAATGATAAGCATAGATGACTTGTCAATTACCTGAAATGATCAAGTAATATGGACCCAATCACATGACTAAATTAAAAAGAAACAAAAGCATGGTGCAATTCTCTTCCCAACCAGAGAGTATTTAATTCTTCTCCAGAGTCCAAGGTACAGGGGTAAAAACAGAAAAAAGTCTCAGCCAGCATCAATCATTGTTAACTAGTGGTCAGACTACATCTAATTAAGGGGGAGTTACTGAGTCAACAACATGCATTCACATGTAAAGTACAAGTAGAATATTTTTTAAAGGCTTGTAATTTTATATGAAATAGGACTAAGAAAGGTAAAACAAAATTTAACTTCCTGAGTCAAAATAAAATTTTCTGGGTCAACAAAGACCTTGTTGCTAAATCCTGTAGGTTAGATGTGTCTTTTCATTCCTTTAAACACTTAAAATTGATTACTTTGTTCTCTTTTAAAAGCAGCCTTTTCTGACATCACACTCACCTGATTTCTATTTCTCTGGCCACTCCTTAGTCTCCTTTTGGTTTCTTCCTCTGGCTATCTCCAAACCCTTTTCTCTCCTGAGCCTGTACCAGGAGATTTCATGTACTCTCATGGCTTCAAATGAACATCTGTATTTTTTTATTTTTTAAGAGACAGGGTCTCGCTCTGTCACCCAAGTTGGGGTGCAGTGGCATGGTCATAGCTCAATGCAGCCTCCTGGGCTCAAGCCATCTTCCTGCCTTAGCCTTCCATGTAGCTGGGACCACAGGCGCATGCCATCATGCCCAGCTAATTTTTTATTTTTTGTAGAGATGGGAGTCTCACTATGTTGCCCAGGCTGGTCTTGAACTCCTGGTCTCAAATGATCCTCCTGTCACTGATACCACTACATTCTAGCTGGGGTGACAGAGTGAGATACTGTCTCAAAAAGATATTCAGCTAGTCATTAAGGATATGAAATTAAGACCATGATAAAATATCACAATATACCTGTTAGAATATTTAAAAAATAGTGACAATGCCAAAAGCTAGTGAAGATGTGTAGAAACTGGATCTCTCATACATTGCCATGCATGTAAAATGGCATAGCCATTCTGGATAACAGTTTGGCAGTTTCTTTTAAAAAACTATATTCACCATACAATCTAGCAATCACACTCCTGGGCATTTATCCCAGACAAACACACACATGCCCATACAAAAACCTGCACACACATTCCTAGCAGCTTTATTTGAAATAGCCAAAAATCATAAGCAAAATGTCTTACAGTAGGTGAATGGGTTAACCTGTTGTACATCCATATTATGGAATATTACTCAGCAATAAAAAGGAACAGACTATTGATACAACAACTTGGATGATCCTCCAGGGCACTACCATGAGCCGGGAGAAAAAGTCAACTTGAAAAGGTCACATACCACGTTATCCCATTTATAGTATAGTATCCCATTTATAATATAGTATTCTCAAAGTGGAAAAATTACAGAAGTAGAAAAAAGGTTAGTGGTTGCTAAGGGTTTGGGGTGGTGGAGGAGAGGTGCATGAATGTGACTATGAAGAGGTAGCATGAAGGGAGATCTTTGTGTGATGAAATAGTTTTGCATCTTGATTGTGGTGGTTATGTGAACCTAACGTGATAAAATGACGTAGAGCACACACATTGTACCGATGTCAACATCCTGGTTGTGCTCCAGATGTACTATAGTTTCATAAGATGTAATCACTGGGGAACATTGGGTGGAAGGTGCATAAGACCTCTCTGTACTATCTTTGCAACTTCCTGTTAATCTATAATTATTTCAAAATAAGAAATGAACTTCTAGATTAACTGGTGGTGGCAGTGAATGGGGTTTCCTCAGGAACTGTGAAAGTTGTCCTGTCTTCCCTAACAGTCCAAACCAAGCTAAGGTGAATTTACTGGGATGCATAGTGCTGTACACTGAAAGAGTCTCCGGAAATTGGTATGTTGAAACCTAATGCCCAGTGTAATGTGGTAGGAGGTGGAGCCCTCAAGAATGGGATTAGTGCCCTTATCCAAGAAGCCCCAGAGAGCTCGCTAGCTCCTTCCCCCATGTGAGGGCTCAGAGAGAAAGCACCTTCTGTGAAGAATAGGCCCTCACCAGAGACCGAATCTGCTGCACCTTGATCTTAGACTTCCCAGCCTCCAGAACTGTAAGAAAGAAATTTCTGTTGTTTATAAGCCACCCAGTCTATGGTATTTTATTATAGTAGCCCAAGTGGACTAAGACTCGGAAAGCCAAGCTTCCCTTCAGGGTGCCTAGCTGGCGAAATACAGAAATTAATCTGAAGGGTAATTGCCTTGCTGTCAGCTGTTTCTCCCTGCCTTTTCTCCTTCTTTTCTCCTATGGTGACCTGAAGTTTCCTGGGGCACTGCCCTGTTTCTCCCTCTAATCCCAGTGTCCACGTGTGCTGAGACCTGTCCTGTCAGCTCCACTCAGTGCAGAGCCCTGTGTCCCTGCTACTTACTACTTCTTAGCCCCACTGCCTGCTGTCTGTGGCTGGTCTGGCTGCTGCTCACTCCTGCTAGGCCTAGAGGTCTCTCTGCTAGAAAAACAGATATGCTCACCTTTTAGGCATCTTATTTAGCTATGCTGAATTGCCATTGTCTTACATACGGTTTTTCTAATTAGAAAATTCCTGTTTCTGGTCTACCAATGGCATCTTCCTTCACTTCCCTGGTATGGATTTAAGGAATAGGAAAGATAAATGCATATCTTTGTTATTTGCCTTAGCCTACTCTCCACTCAAAACAATTTTCAGCAAGTTCACCAAGGGCTTCTATATTGCTAAGTTCAGTGGACACTTTGCAGTTATTTTAAAGGATTTTCTACTGCATTTGACATAGCTGATGGTATTGGCTTCCTGAGGCCGCTGCAACAAACTATCACAGATTTGGTGCCTTAAAACAACAGAAATTTATTTTGTAATCATTCTGGGGGCCAGGAGTCCAAAATCAAGGCCAAAGCCAAGGTGTAGGCAGGGCTGTGCTCCCTCTGGAGTTTTTAGAGAAGAATCTGTCGTTTGCCTTTCCCAGCTTCTGTTGGCTGTGGGCATTCCTTGGCTTATGGGCACACCACTCCAATCTCTGTCTCTGTGGTCACAACATTGCCTCCTCCTCTAATGTGTGTATCAAATATTCTTCTGCCTCTCTCTTATAAGGATGTTTGTGGTGCCATTTAGAGTCCACTTGGATAATTCAGGATAATCTCCCTATCTCAATATCCTTAACATAATCACACATGCAAAAACTTTCCCATGTAAGGTCATATTCACAGGTTCCAGATTTAAGGACATATTTGCGTGGCCATTATTCAGCCTGCAACACTGACCACTGTTATTCCTTCTTGAAATTCCTCCCCTTTGAATTCTGATACACTATTTTGTACTCCTATTTTTGCAACTGACAATTGTATCTTGGCTTCCTCTCTGGGCCTTTTCTCTTCTGTGTAAGCCTACCTTTCCCCTAGAGGCCATCCTTGGGTTACCACTCTTTTTTCTTTAGGACAATTTCATGGAATCCTGTCATTCATAACACCTCTCCCATCTCTATCTTTAGCCTGATCTCTTCCATAATTATCACTCAGTGCAGGTGGTCAAATGCCTGCCAAAATAATTACTTCGATGTTCATTAGGTACCTTCTCCCTCTCTACCACAAGCAGAAGTGTAATTAGGTTCTCCTATCACAGAACAAACATACAGAGTTCCACTTAATGGATGAGGGAGGACCTAGGAGTATAGGGGCCCTCATGTACAAAATCGCCTTTCACTGCTTTTTCCATGAGTCTCTCACATGGACTCACCATCATGTTTCAGTTGTGTAGTGAACTGACAAACTGTCACTTTCTCACTTTAGTAAGCATCACTAAGACCACATACTTTTTTTGCCAGACTCAGTGCAAAGTGAAAAATGCAGGGTCTCTTGTTCAAAAATTAGTAAGAAGTTCAAGAGTGGCAACAGCTGAGCATTAAGCCAACCACAGGGCTCTTCTAAATGTGGGACCCTGTGTGAACTAAACAGGTCACATGCCAGTGAAGCCAGCCCTACTTGAGAGTCATTTCTTCTCCCTCTTCCCCCCACCTGGATCCAACCAGCCTTCAAGACCTGCCATGCTATTCCTCAAATGTCTCCTGATTCTATTCTCTTTTTTCTTTCTTTTCCATCATTGCCTTAATGCAAGCCCTCACTCCCTCATTCCCTCCATCTGTTCTTTCTGGCTTTAGTCTTTAGATCTGTCAGCCAGAATGAACCATCTAAAACACAAACCTGGTCATGTCCCTGCCCAGCCTAAAATGCTCCAGTGGCCTCTTCTCACCTTGAGTATAAAGTTCCAGGGACTTAGTATGGTCCACCATGGTGGACTCAGTGTGATGGTAATATCAAACCTCCTTTAGAACATGTGGAGAAAAATGAAAAGAAAAAAAATCAAACCTCTTCTAGGGCTTGCATATGCCATAGTGTGATACACCTCTGTGCCTTTGCTATTGCTGCTACTCCTGCCCTTTACCGGGACAACTTATCCTTTGAGTCTCAGGGTTCAATCACACACACATACACATGTATGTATGTATGTGTACATAAAGATTGTTTTTAAGTTATAACAGTGCCTGGCATATAGTTAGCAGACTATATATTAGCTACTATTATTATTATTCAAGGAAACCTTCTTGGAACACCAAATTAGACTGAATACCCTCTTTGATGTTTCCATAGCACACTGCACATATCTTACCACATTCTAGGGAAAGTGTGCCCTCATCTGTCTTCTTCCACAACTAAACTGTAAGCTCCTTAAGGCAGGAATCGTGTCTTATTCATCTTTTCATCCTAGTGACAAAGTGGTATAGTGTCCACACATAGTAGGCATTCAAAACATGTCTGTATATTCAACTGATCTCCACCATGCCTCCTAAACATTTTTTGAAGTCCTGGAAGGGTTTCTCCAAAAGTGTTTTCATCAGATAAGACTCCATCCCTGGCCAAGAAAGAAAGACAGAAAAAAAAATAAAGAATAAGTGTTTTCAGCCACCATTAGAGGCCACCATGTTCTTCCTCTCTTATCCCTCTAGTAAATAGCTAGGCTTCTCATAATTTCCCTGTCTTCCCTATGGACAATTTCTTCAACCATTACTGGTGTGTTTCTCCAGTGATATCCCTAAATCTTCCTCCCTGAAGCCTGTACCCCACTGGAACCTCCTTGTTCCATACCTTAGTGTGAATTCTCCCAGGGAAATTTCAAAGAAGTTGGGGGGTCAGACCTGGTGGTGGAAATCCTAGATATCATGGCTGGTTCTCTCCAGGAAGTTGAGTTGGGACAGGTATTAAAGCGGCCACATCAAAATGTATAAATCTAATTTAAAACTTTGTGATTGGTGGACAGGGTGTCTCCAACTTATTCCAAGTCCCTTCCCAGATCTTTGGCGAAAAAGAGTTGTTTCAATTAGAAACAGATGTTCAAATCTTTCCTGGTAAGTGTATTTTGTTCTACCACAGACAGTTCAGCTTGTGGCAGCAAGACAGACTTTCCCATCGTTTTCGTAGTTTTGAACATTCTAAAGGCTTTTGAGGGTGGAGGCAGCATCTGGGAAGCACTTTGTGGGGTAGGATGGAATATGGGGACTTTACTTTTCCTTCCAAATGTCCATAGGTTTTGGGTGCCTTCTCAATACTGGCATCTAAGAACATACAAAGCAGACAGGACATGAATATTGGCATATTCACTCCTTATGAGAAAATGTTATGTGAAAAAATCCAAAAATATAAGCTGTTTGTAGATAATATGTTTAGAATTTGTTTAATGCAAAGTATTTGATACATGTGGACAAGAAATGGAAAGAAAAATAAGAAAATGAACGCTGTATTAGGGTGGTGTGTATACAGCTAAATTTTCCAGACATTTCTATAATAACATCAAATCGCATTTTTTTTTTTGAGACAGAATCTCACTTTGTTGCCCAGGCTAGAGTGAGTGCCGTGGCGTCAGCCTGGCTCACAGCAACCTCAAACTCCGGGGCTCAGCGATCCTACTGCCTCAGCCTTCCGAGTAGCTGGGACTACAGGCATGCGCCACCATGCCCGGCTAATTTTTTGTATATATATTTTTAGTTGGTCAATTAATTTCTTTCTATTTTTGGTAGAGATGGGGTCTCGCTCAGGCTGGTTTCGAACTCCTGACCTTGAGTAATCCGCCCGCCTCGGCCTCCCAAAGTGCTAGGATTACAGGCGTGAGCCACCGCGCTCGGCTCAAATCGCATATTTTAATGCCCACCGTGGACAAGAAGATGGTGAAGCCGCAACTCTTCTCCTGCCTCGGCGCCTACCGGACTGTAGGGACTCAGAGCTGGCATCCGGACGGGGCCGCGTGATCTCGGCTTTGCTCTGTGCTGCCTCCCTTCTTTAGGGGCCGGAACCCTTGCAACTCGTTTAGATGTTTTCCAGTCGGTAGTAAAATCTCAGATCCCGGGCCTCCCGGAAGTTGTTGCACAGTCGTTTCCGGGGTGGTGTAAGGAGGAGCGGGACCCCAAATGGGTCGCAGTCGCAGCCGCTCCCCACGGAGGGGTGAGTTCAGAAGCAATTCGGGGAGCCTGGGGCTCGGTCAGAGACGCGTCCCCCCCTTTTTTTTTTTTTAAATCGGTAGCAGGGAAGCGGAGAGGCGGGCCCTTTTCTCCCGAGGAGGAGAGTGAGGGGTGGTGGGAGAGTGAATACCTGGGCCCCACGCTCTTCCCTCCGGTTTGACGGCAGTTTTTTTGTTTTCCCCGCCGAATTGAGGTTTCCCTGACTTTGTCAGCTACTGTATTTGTTACTAATACAGTAACTTGTATTATACTGTGGCTGGTGGGCTTAGAATGAAACTACAGTTCTTTCACTAGATTTCTGGGTGACTGTGGGCAAGTCACCTAGCCTTTCTGAATTTAGTTGCTGTTAATAGTCACTGGGGATAATATTAATATTACTTACTTTTAAAAACTGATGTGAGGCTGGGAGTGGTGGCTCGCACCTGTAATCCCAGCACTCTGGGAGGCCGAGGTAGGAGGATAGCTTGAGCCCAGGAGTTAAAGACCAGCCTGGGAAACATAGCCAGACCGCGCCTCTACAAAAAATTTTTAAAAATTAGCTGGGTGTAGTGGTGCACGCATGTAGTCCCAGCTACTCGGGAAGCTGAGGCGGGAGGATCGCTTGAGCCCAGAAGTTCGAGACTTCAGTGAGCTGTGATGAAACCACGGCGCTCTGGCCTGGGCGACTATCTCAAAACAACAACAAAAATTCATGTGAGAATTAATATCAGATTCCAGGACATTCAGTATGCAATTCTGTCTGGCTTTAGATGTTAAATAAATGTTAGTTTCCTGCCTAGGTCATAAACAGAGAAATTAATATTAAGAAATTTGAGTCTAGGGAACTCATCTCGTGATGTCTGGCCCTCAGCCCCGTAAATGAGGCAGTGCGATGTAAATAACCCTGGACTTCCATCAGGAGAGCTTAGACCCTCAGTTTAGCCCCTGATTAGTTTTTGTCACCTTCAACTAGTGGAGAAGAGTTAAACGTTAACTAAGGCCTTGAGCCACTTGAGGTTATTTAATACTTGAAATGTGGCTAATATGAACTGAGAAGTATTGTAAATGTAGAATACACACCAGATTTCCCACGAAAAAACCATAAAACATCTTATTAATAACTTTTTATATTGTTTGCATGTCAAAATGATAATAGTTTGGATATATTGGGTCAAAACCATATATCATTAAAATTAATCCCACTTGTTTCATACACCTTTTTAATATGACTACTAAAAATGACTTGTATTATATTTCTTTCGGACAGCCCAGCTCTAAATATTTGGGGTAATTTTCGGTTCTGCAATTTTTGTGTGTTTGTGTTAGAACGTAGGCGGTCCCGCTCCACATCCCGGGAGAGAGATCGCAGGCGCCGGGAGAGGTCCAGGTCCCGGGAAAGAGATCGGAGAAGGAGCCGCTCACGATCCCCACACCGGAGACGCTCCAGGCAAGTGCAGAAAATAAGCCAGAAGCTTTACCACAAGTCCTGAAGAAACTGGTCGCTGCCCTTTACTTTGTTTTGATCTCTATGGGGATTTACAGTTTCATGAAATGGAGGACACTTAATCCCACGTTAATGTAAAGCTAGATCTATCTTGGTTAATAGCACTCTACATCACAGAGTTGTCTTGAGTAGTAATTGAGAAATAATACATGGAAACCACTTAGCATGGTGCTTGGCAAGAGTCAGAAATAAGTATTTTTGTTTTATTAACTTTTTGGTGATAATGATTTATTCAAGTATGTAATTAAGAATGGATGATATTGGAGAAAGCTTAGAAATGGAGTCTGATTTTTTTTTTTTTGAGACAGTCTCACTCTCTTGCCCAGGCTAGAGTGCCATGGCATCAGCCTAGCTCACAGCAACCTCAAACTCCTGGGCTCAAGCGATCCTCCTGCCTCAGCGTCCTGGGTAGCTGGGACTATAGGCATGCACCACCGTGCCCAGCTAATTTTTTCTATATATTTTTAGTTGTCCAGCTAATTTCTTTCTATTTATAGTAGAGACAGGGTCTCGCTCTTGCTCAGGCTGGTCTTGAACTCCTGAGCTCAAGCAATCCTCCTGTCCTCAGCCTCCCAGAGTGCTAGGATTACAGGTGTGAGCCACCGCACCTGGCCTGGACTTTGATTCTTAATAAGCATCAATTACTGTTTAATTCAGTTTTGTGTGTGTGTAATTGTTAGAAACTTTTAAAATTTATATTAAAACTTTTGAGCCCTAGCTGTACTTCATGCAGTTGATGAGTAAGCAGAGATTAAGCAGTAAACTGTATTTTTAAATTCTTTTGTTAATAATCAGGGCCTTGGGGGAGAACCTACCTTGCTATCCTATGGGGAATGGACTCCTGGTTCTCTGGAGCCTGGCTTTTATTCAGCATTCACCTTTCAGGAACTCATGTACATCTGTGCTGATCTGTACAAAGTCCCCCTGTATGTCTATTTCTAACATCTTTACTTATAAATATTAGATCTCCAAGACGACATAGATCCACATCTCCTTCCCCTTCTCGACTGAAAGAAAGAAGAGATGAGGAAAAGAAAGAAACAAAAGAAACCAAGAGTAAAGAACGTCAGATTACTGGTAATGTTATTAGATAAGTAACTATAGGAAAAGTACAGCCTTGTTTAGATAATTTCAGTCATAATAAAATTATGAAAGTTTAGTTTTTGAACATTTAAATATTAAGCTTTTTATAGTGTTCATTACATATGGTTTTTGTTATTTTATTTTTTTGAGACAGAGTCTTGCTCTGTTGCCCAGGCTAGAGTGCCATGGCATCAGGTTAGCTCACAGCAACCTCAAACTCCTGGGCTCAAACTGTCCTCCTGCCTCAGCCTCCTGAGTAGCTGGGACTACAGGCATGCGCCACCATGCCCGGCTAATTTTTTCTATATATTTTTAGTTGTCCAGCTAATTTCTTTCAATTTTTGGTAGAGATGGGGTCTCACTCTTGCTTAGGCTGGTCTTGAACTCCTGACCTTGAGCGATCCTCCTACCTTGGCCTCCCAGAGTGCTAGGATTACAGATGTGAGCCACCATGCCTGGCCCATTGCATATGGTTTTTGAGATTGTGTTTTAGTGAAACCTTAGTGAGTTTCTGGTTATCTATGGTGCTCCTGATATAATCTAGGAAGAGTAGTTAAAAACATGAGAATATTCTATTTTGGAAGTATTTTCAGAACTAGATAGATAGTGTCACATCTGATATTAAAAGCATTCTTGTCTAAAGGCTCCAAGGAGAGCATATTATTTTTCTTGCACTATAAGTTATATTTTGTTCAAATTGAAGAATAATTTTTTCATTAGTCTTGTCTTTGGATAATTGGTTTTCTTTATATTATTTTACTTTGTTATTTTTTTTTTTTTAGAGATGGGGGTCTTGCTATTTTGCCCAGGCTAGTCTCAAACTCTTGGGCTCAAGCAATCCTCTTGCCTCAGCCTCATCCTCCTGAGTAGCTGGGACTATATATGCACATGCAGTTGAGCCCGTCTTAGCTAATTCTTTTGTGTGTTCTCTGCTGGTGAGGAGGTGAAGTGATATTAATATTAGTCTGTTGGCACCTCTCTTTTTATTTATGTATAATATCAAATGATAGGAGAGTTAAAAAAATTATCATTTATTGTTGCAGAGGAAGACTTAGAGGGCAAAACAGAGGAAGAAATAGAAATGATGAAGTTAATGGGATTTGCTTCCTTTGATTCCACAAAAGTAAGTAAAACAGCCAACCAGTTACACATTCTGATTTGAATTAATCCATCATGACTGTCCCATCTTTCCATATTCTACGTTTATTTGGTTATAAGACAATAAGTATCTGTTTGAAGGGCCTTTGAGAATACAGAGGAGGAAGCAATGAACTGCCATTGGAATTCAGGGAGCATTTTGTCAGGGATAATGTTTGAGTTAGATCTTAAAGGGCAAGTAGAGGTGATCGACAAAGAAGAGGAAGATCATTTCAAGTAGAGGGAAGAGTCATGAAAATGCCATGTAGGTGTGAAGGAGCATAGTGTGTTATGGGAATTGCAAATTCAGTGACTGGTAAAAAGGTGCTGATGGGCTAGTGACTATGACTAAGGCCAAACATAGAAGTAGGAGCCAAATTGCAGAGTACTTTTGATGTCCTTAGCCATGCTAAGGAATTTAGAGTTGATTCTTTAGGAATTTCTTTTTTTTTGAGACAGAGTCTTGCTCTGTCACCCGGCCTACAGTGCTGTGGTGTCAGCCTAGCTCATGGCAACCTTCACCTTGTGGGCTCAAGTGATCCTTCTGCCTCATCCTCCCAAGTGACTGGGACTATAGGTACGTGCCACCACACAGCTAGAGACAGAGTCTCACTCTTGCTCAGGCTGGCCTTGAACTCTGGAACTCAAGTGATCCTCCCACCTTAGCCTCCCAGAGTGCTAGGATTATAGGCATGATTCATTATACTCAGCTGATTCTTTAGGAATTAAGGAGAAGAAACAATGATTTTTAAGCAAGGCAGTGACACAGTTAATCTATGTGTTTTAGAAAGATGACTCTGGGGGCAGTTTGAGTTTATCTGGCAGGTGGGTTAGATTGGAGGCAGGGAGAACTGCTGATTTATGCAAGTGAAAGAGGATGAAGTCCTGAACTGAGTTGAGAACCACTCAGGAGCAGGGGGAGTGGAAGTGAGTAGTCAGTGATGCCTCTGAGGTATTAGTCTGGGGAGCCTGGGTAATGCAGTTGACCCACCCAGAATGGGGTTATAGGGAGGAGGCTGCTGGGGAACGGAAGAACATCTAGCTGCCACATAAAGATGATATTGGGCAGCTGCATACATGTCTTACAGCTCAGATCGGGGTGGATTGGAAAGTGAATGCTGTCTAGCGTTCATCACAATACCACACAAATGAGGGAAGTGGAGCCTGGGCCAATGGCTCACTCCTATAATCCTAGCACTTTGGGAGACTGAGGCAAGAGGATCACTTAAGGCCAGGAGTTTGAGACCAGCCTGGGCAACATAGCAAGACCCTGTCTCTACCCCAAATTTTTAAAAATTAGCCAGGTATAGTGGCCCACACCTGAAGTCCCAGCTACTCGGGAGGCTAAGACAGGAAGATCACCTGAGCCCAGGAATTTGAGGTGGCAATGAGCTGTGATCACACTACTGCACTCAAGCCTGGGTGACAAAAGGAGACCCTGTCTCAAAAAAAAAAAAAAAAGGGAGGAGGAAAAAGAAGGAGGGTTGTACATAAGAGGAGGCAGAGAGTAGAAAAAGATAGGTAGATGGGGGAGGAGGGAAGAGGGGAAATGGAGAGATGGATGTGGGGAGGGGAAAAGGGGAGATGGAGAGAGCAAAAGTGTCTGTGGAAAGACAATACATTAAATATCTTTTCTAGAATTTTAAGTCTTTTTTGAGACAAAGTCTTGCTCTGTCACCCTGGCTAGAGTGCAGTGGCATCAGCCTAGGTCACTGCAACCTCAAACTCCTAGGCTCAAGCAATCCTCCTGTCTCAGCCTCCCGAATAGCTGGGACTACAGGTATGTGCCACCATGCCTGGCTAACTTTTCTATTTTTAGTAGAGATGGGGTCTTCCTCTTGCTCAGGCTGGTCTTGAACTCCTGAGCTCAAGCGATCCTTTACCTTAGCGTCCAGAGTGCTAGGAGTACAGATGTGAACCACTGTCCCAGGCCAGGAATTTTAAGTCTTTTCATATAGTTTCACAAATAGAAATGCAGATTTTTGAGAAAAATTGTCAAAAATAATCTACTTCCCCTAATCTTGTATTCCATTGAGTTTAATAGAGTGAGGTAATCTCAGATGCTATGAGTTTCTAACTAATGTAATTGTGTGGGACTCACATTTTAAAGTGACAGTATGTAACTTAAGAGGAGTACTGAGGCATGACTGTTGTAAGAAAATTAAGAATGTTTTTGCAATGCTATGTGAGCCCTATTTTGGAATTTAATGCAGTTTATGTATCAGCTTTTTTTTTCTAGAATACACCAAATCCTGGTTTGTTTTTCCAAAGAGTACTTTGTAAGTGAAATGGTTTATTAATATATATGTTGGGTGAATAAAAATATCTCAAAAGTAAGGCAACTATCATTTTAATGTTTTTAGAAGAATGGGGAGGGAACTGACTGGAATTATTTTCTTTGTTTTGGTTTTACTATCGCCTGATATTATGTTTGAAGTTGCTAAGAGGTGTAAAGATGGGGCTACCCTTTGCTTTTAAATATAGTCAGTGCTGAAGATGTTTATGTATAAAGGAAAAATTAGGTGAGAATTCATAGATCTTATATAATAAAATTTATGGAATACCATCAAACCAAATGATGTCAGTTGTTTTTTAATGACATTTACAAGGATATTAATGTAGTTCATATGCAGTTGGCATCATGAGTATTGTTTATAAAGTCTCTTAGCATTTTTGTATTTTTTAGTAATATATATCTTGTGATATTTCATCATTGATCTATTGTAGGAGCTTTCATATGCCAGTGTAGTTGTATTTTCCCTTCTATTTTCTTTTTTTTAAGAAATGAAATCTTGCTATGTTGCCTAGGCTTGACTCAAACTGCTGGGTTCAAGAGATCTTCCTGTCTTAGTCTCCCAAGTAGCTGGGACTACAGGCACATGCCACTTCATCCTGTTTTTCTCTTCTATTTTAACATTGTTCTAGAAAGGTTTAAAGTTTGGTTATATTTATTAATTGATAATTTTCTATGCCAGCATGTAAATAAATGAGAATAAGGCTAATACGAGCTCTGCAAATAGTTTCCAAAAATCAGTAAGCCTTTAGGAATTGAACATAGTAAAAAGGTTATTTAGCATCATTTACTTTTTGTTCCAAGGCCAGTCTTTCCAAGTCATGCCTCCCTCCTATTCTTGAGAGGTCAAAATCATATACCTCAAGTAATTTGTTCGGTATCCCCCCAAAATAGGTGAAAAGAAGAATAGAAAAGTAAGTACAAATATATTTATTTTAGCTCACCTGTGCATGCCTTTAGGCCAATGGGTCAGAATCTGTTTTTTACCCTAGCATGGATATCTAATACATATGCTGCATAGACAGGCTACCCTTTACCTATTATTATGAAGGAGGGAGGGAGTTGGAGATCTTTGATGTGTCATGACATCAGCTGGTAATGTTCATTAAATAGTCATTTTCTGGTGAGTGCAGTGGCCTAGAATGTGGGAGTACATAGGTGAGTCTTAGATATATCCTAGCTTCAAAAAGCTTGCAGTCTCACAGGAGAAATTATATCATCATATACATCATGATAATAGGATAGAAAATGGAGGGTACTGTGCACTTCTTGGCAGCTGGAGTGTTTGAATTGGGCCTTGAATGATGGATAAGAACCAGACAGTTAAAGATTGGATGGAGGCAGGGAAGGCAATTCAGGCATGAGGAATAGCACAGGGGCAAGTAGGTATGGTGAGTTGACTTGGCTGGATCAGAAGACCCATACAGGAATTAGTGAAAAGAGGGTAGGTGCCACGTTCAGAAAGGCCAAAATGGAAGTAACACATAACAACATTAGTGCCTGCTGTTCTGTGTTCTTATTCTTGACTTAAAGTATCAAGGTCTGTGCAAGAAATGGGATTTAGGTGAATGCTTACTGTTCCCACTGTGTTTAGCGAATATTATGAGCTAAGGTTGTAAGTTAAATTTTGTGTGACTGTGAAATTTTCTGATGATAATATCCCCAACTTTTATCTGGTTTCAAAGGATTCTTTGACCAAAAAATATTAGGATCTGCTTCCTACTTCCTGGCATACCTTGCAGATAACAAACATATTAATAAATACCATGAATATTTGTTGATTTGACTATTGTATTAATTGCTGATGTATGACTATAAAACTGTGAGCAGAGAGTTCTAATACTTGGGAGTTCATGGATATCATCAGGATCTGAAAATTCCCTCTCCCTCATTGAGCTGTCTTTTTCTTAAATGGATCTTGCCATTTAAATGTGTCTGTGGGGTCCAACTCTTTGATCTAGGCATTTAATGTTTCCTTCCTATTTTTTGTTTATTTCTCTTCAGGGAAAGAAGGTGGATGGCTCTGTAAATGCCTATGCCATAAATGTGTCTCAGAAGAGGAAGTACAGGTATGTATAGCCCCCATTACTGTGTTTGAACTAATGAAATCAGTTTCCTGCTAAGAAAAGAATTTTATTATGGGATAATCATGTTTGTAGGAAATATAGCAGTTTTCCATACTGTTCCTTGTTTTAATGAAATATTATCGTCATTGCTTATATCCTGGTGTGTTAAAATCGCTTTCCCGATTACAATTGAGCTAATAGCTATTAGAGGATAGTTGGCTTAAATGTTTTAGGGCTGTCGATAGTAATTTCCTCAGAAAAGCTTCATCTCAAGTGTGTGGACTTTGATTTTATTGTAGTTATACATTTAAATAGATCCCTCCTGGACTGTTTACCTAGATGTGTAAAGATTTTAACTGTAAATGTATTTTTCTGTCATATATAGTCATATTTTATTTGTACCGCAGATTTGGAACAAACCATTCCATACTTGAAACTCATTAAATTCTTAATGAATGAAAAAGACAAAATGTTTTCAAACATTGCCTTTTTCTCCACCTTTATCACTGATAAAAGATTAAATTCCAATTAATTTAGACTGTGGATAATATGACTTGAGACTGCTATAAGCTAAGATACTAGAATCATCTTGGACAGTCTTTTGTAAAATTACCTTCAAATAGGGGCTTATGAGGACAATTATTACAATGTACAACTGAATTTGCTCCATAGGTGCCTATTTTGTGACTCCTCTATTTCCAAACTACATGTTTAGGGTTGCCTAGAATAAATATGGATTTTTCAGTTGGTTTTTTTTTAAGTCTGTAGCATTTTCTCAAATAATTTTTAAGGTATACTTCTATGCTGCTGTTTCAAATTTTAAAAAATCTGAAAGGTTTTGGCTTATTTTGAAAGTAAAACAATTTTTTAATATGTATTAAATAATCTAATAGTTTCTACCCTAGACTTTGCTATTTTAAAGATGGTTTATAGGTCTAATCTCTGAAGCATGTTATTTTTTTTTTTATAAAAGGAGTCCAGGGTTTTTGTTTTTTAATAATGAATTTTCTCTTTTCATCATAGGCAGTACATGAATCGAAAAGGTGGATTCAACAGACCTTTGGATTTCATTGCATGAGACTTGAAATGTTGAAGAATGATTTTTTTCCCCTCATCTTGGTCAGAGAATGGATTTTGTATTTTGTTAATTAGTATGCATCAAAAACAGGATCCCGGTTCTTCTTCTTATAAAGTAAGAAAATCTTATTTATGATACGCGCAGTTCACTTACCTTGCCTCAAAAGAAGAAAGGTTAAATATACATTTTTGTCTTTTAGGAAATATCATTTGTGGCAATCATCAAACCCATTTTGTTTATCCTTATTCCTGTGGAAGTTGTATATGTTTTCTTCTTGGAGGCTCATTAGGAATTTTTGAAAAACATGAAAGTAATTTGGATGTAAGTTCTCCAATAAAGCAATATTTCTAACCTTTTATATTTGATAAATATTTTTGTTACTGGGTAAAAGAATCTCCCTAGACATTTTCTTTTTTTTCAAACATAGATTTAGGTGTCTTGATTCTTAGTAGGTTAAGAACTGGAAGAATGAAGAAGTATAACTTCAGATTTTTGTATCTTCTGTGTGTTTTCCCCCAATACCATTTTTTTTTTTGCCTCAATTATAAAAGCAATGCATGCTTATTATTAAAAAAAACTTGGGAGAAACCAAAAAGTAAAAGAGAAGCCAAAAATCTACTGTAGTCTACTCCCAGAAATAATGAGTGTTAATGTTTTGGTATATATCTTTTCAGGCTCCTGTGGTTATATATTGCTCACCCCAACCATAAGATCAGAATATATAAATATGTACATATACACACAGTTCTTTCTCTGACCCTTTTTCTGCCATGTATTATGAATATTTTTTTATACTTTTAAATATACTTTGTCAACTTAGCTTTTAGTAGCTCCTTGGTTATATCATAATTTTTTAACTGATTCCTTATTGGTAAACATTGGCTTGTCTCCCATGACTTGTTATAATTAAACTGTGACACTACTGTCTATCCCCATTACATATATATTTTGTACTTGTTCCATTATTTCCTCAGGCTCAGTTCTTAGATGTAGCATTGCCAGGTGAGATAAAGAGAGGTATGTGTGCATGTTTTAAGGCTTTTGATATATATGCCTAGAAGGTAACAACCAACTCTAGTGAAGTGTAAGCATTCTCATTTCATATACATGTGCAAATATTAGGTGTAATAATTTTTTAAAGGTTTCTTATCCAATGGGTAAAATACTGGTACTGTTTGGTTTTATTTCTGTTCAGTTTCTAGGGAGGATGAACATTTTTTTAAATGTGTTAGCCACAGGTATTTCTTTTGTGAAATGCCAATTCCAAATCTTGGATCCGTTTGTCTTTTGGCAAGCTTTTCTTTTTCTCATTTGAAGAAAAATGTCTTTTTATATTGAAGATAATAACCATCATCCCCATTCATACCTTGGGGTTGTTTCATACCTTGCTGGTGTTTGAAGCTCTGTGTCTAGATTTTAAATTTTATTCTTCGGAGTAAGTACTATAAACACATGGAATAGGCTGGGCATGGTGGCTCATACCCGTAATCCTAGCACTCTGGGAGGCCAGGGCTGGCGGATCACTTGAGCTCAGGATTTGGAGACCAGCTTGAGCAAGAGTGACACTCTGTCTCTACTGAAAATAGAAAGATTAGCCAGTGTCATGGCACACACCTGTAGTCCCAGCTATGCAGAAGGCTGAGGAAGGAGGATCACTTGAGTCCCGGAGTTTGAGGTTGCTGTGAGCTAGGCTGATGCCATGGCACTCTACTCAGGGCAACAGAGTGAGACTCTGTCAAAAAAAAACAACATGGAACAAGATTCAGGTGATACAAAGAGTGATGAGTTAATTATGTATCCTTTTGGAGATATTGCATACATTCACAATTATATTAACATATGAACTCTCATTTCCCTGCCCAGTCTTCTCTGAAGCTTCCCCATCTCAGTAAATGGCCCTTTCAATTCATTCCATTGCTCAAACCAAAATCCTTGGGGTTCTCCTTGACTCTTATCTTTCTTCCACACCTTACATCTGATTCATTAGCAAATTTTTCTGGCTGTAACCTCAGAGTGCTTTTTGAATCTGACCACTTTCACTTTTTTTTTCTTTTCTTAAATTCAGTCCAATGAATCTGACCACTTTTTACCACCTATGCTAATTTAAGCTCTCTTACTTGGACTACTTGCAATAACCTCCTAATAGGTCTCCCTCCTTCCATTCTTACTGCTTATTTATTCTCCATCCAGCAGCAGAGATAAACCTTTAAAATGTGCATCAAGTCACATTGGTCCTGGCTCCAGTGATTTTCTGTCATTTAGAATAAAGTCCAGTCCTTAGTGTGGTCTACAGGCCTCTTCATGATCTGTAGATCCTGGCTTCCCAGGGCCTCACCTGCTTGCTCACTGCACTTTGCTGCACTAGCTGGCCTCCTGGCTATTCTTTGAAAACAGGCATGTGTCTACCCCCAGAATCTTCTCATTTGCTCTTTATTCTTTCTGGAATGTTCCCACTCCTCCCCACCTCCCAGATTTGCATGGTTAGCTTCTTTACTTTGTTCAGGTCTCTGATTAAACTAAGGTCATTCCTAACTACCCTATCCAAAATAGCAAACTTTCTTCCCTCTCTATCCCTGTGCCCTGCTTTAGTCTTTTTTAACATTTAAAAAATTAAGATAAAATTTACATACCATAAAATATACTCTTCTAAAGTTTACAGTTCCATGGTTATTAGTATATTCATAGTTATGCATCTATCATCAGTGTCTAATTCCAGAATGTTTTCATCACCCCAAAAAGAAACCCCATACTCATTAATAATCACTCCTCATCTCCCTAAACCCTAGAAACCCCTTTCTATCTCTGCATGTGTACCTATTCTGGACATTTCATATAAATGGAATCATACCATATGTGCCCTTTCATGTCTGGCTGCTTTCACTCAGCATAGTATTTTCAAGGTTCATTTGTTTTTTGTAGCATGTATTAGTATATTGTTCCTTTTTGTGGTAGAATAATATTCTATAGATACATTTCTGTTGATACAAATGTACCACTTTCATCAGTTGATGGGCAGTTAGGTTGTTTGCATTTTTTGACTATCATGAATAATATTTCATGAACACTAGTGTACAAGTGGAATTACTGAATCATATTGGTAACTCTATGTTTAACTTTTTGAGGTGCTGTCAAACTGTTTTCCAAAGTAGCTGCACTATTTTATTATACATTCTAACAAGCAATATATGAGAATTCCAGTTCGTCACATGCTTTCCCAAACCCTGCTTTACTTTTTCTCACAGCACTTGCCACTCCCTGACATACTCTTTTTAACTTATTGTCTGGTTCTTCCATTAGACAGCAAGCTCTGAGAAATAGGGCTTCTGTCTCGTTTACTGCTATAGCCCCAGCACCACAGAGTGCCTGGCATATAGTAAAACAATAAATATCTGTTAAATTCATGAATTCTGTAATCTTTGTTCACTTAACCACTTCTTCTGATTTTCTTTTTAGCCTTTACTTACTCAACTAATAATCTTACTTGTAAAAAATTTAAAATATGACAATGCTAAATTCCCTTTGAAAAGTACCCACAATCCTATTGTTCTTTCTTCGCTGCTAATCCTTTGCAATGTATCCTTTGTCCATGCATGTATGTATATAACAGTTGAAAGTGAGGAAAAGGTATAGTTTGGGTCTTTTAAAAAAATATGATGTAGGGATCATTTTACAGCTTAATTATTTACTCAACACTGTTCCTTGGAGATCTTTCCATGCCATTATATGTAAATCTATCTTTTAAAAACCTGCTACACAGTTTTTTGTGGAACGTATATACAGCACTTTATTTAACCATTGCCTTATTTTTTAAAATCACAAAATATTTTGGAGTGACTAATTTTTGTAAAGCAGCATTCCTTAAATGTCTTTTTTATTAAATGTTAAAAAAAAATCATGATGTTGGATATCATGATATTAGAGTGCCCAAAAGTGCCACAAAGAAAGGGATTGATACTCTTGAAGCAGAAACTTTCAGTCCTGATTTTTATACTTAAGGGAACAAAATCAATTCTCAAAACCTTTTAAAACAAAATACATTTTAATGTCATAGTGATTAGGAGGTATCAAACTCAGTTATAAATAGGGGTTTTTTTTAATTTATTTTTTATTTCAGCATATTATGGGGGTACAAATGTTAAGGTTACGTATATTGCCCATGCCTCCCCTCCCCCCTCGAGTCAGAGCTTCAAGCATGACCATCCCTAAATAGGGGGTTTTAATTCCTGCAGTTTAGAACTTTTTAGACACTTAAGGATTATAATATGACAACCATTGCCCTTCCTACTACTATGAGATACTCCCTGAGGGATTATCTTTTCATCAGAACTCATATAGCATGTAATGAACTTGCTGCTCAGTATTGGCATTTACCTTTTTTTTTTTTTTGACATAGAGTCTCAACTCTTGTTACCCAAGCTAGAGTGCCGTGGCATCAGCCTTGCTCACAGCAACCTCAAACTCCTGGGCTCAAGCGATCCTTCTGCCTCAGCCTCCCAACTAGCTGGGACTACAGGCATGCACCACCATGCCCAGCTAATTTTTTCTATATATTTTTAGTTGTCCAATTAATTTCTTTCTATTTTTAGTAGAGACAGGGTCTCCTTTTGCTCAGGCTGGTCTCCAACTCCTGAGCTCAAACGATCCACCCACCTTGGCCTCCCAGAGTGCTAGGATTACAGGCATGAGCCACCTCGCCCGGCCTACACATAGCATTTTATTTAAAATTCTTGTCATAAAATTTAGGTTCAAACATTCTAGAATGCCCAACTTTTATTTTGGGGACTGTGCCTATCAATCAATTAATGCTTATATAATGCCTTTGAAGCACTGGGTATTAGAGGTCACAACTTACTTCTATATTGTCGGGATTTTCAGTTCTTTCTTCAAAAGTTGTACTTTCAGGTTTTGTTAATGAACTGGTCATCATATACATTTGTGTAAAATAATTCCTAGGGAAAAAACTTCCAAATCCCCAAACTGTTGTTTTATACTTACTGTTTCGTTTCCAGTAGGTGGCGCCAAATACCCTTTCAAGTTCTTCATTATACTAATTCCTAGTTGGTGTTGCTGGCTAATTGATAATCTCTTCCACCCCCAGGGAACAAAAAAAACGGTCCATTCTTTAGTCTAATTCTCTGAGTTTTATATAACTTAGTTTTTATGTTTGGAGTGTAAGCTAGCATTATTGATGTTGGAATTATTAATTTGCCATCTCTGACTCAGATTTCAACCTTTTTTCTTTTTTGTTTTTTAAAAATGGTGATTTTTTTAATCAGGATGATTGCAGGGGTATCATAATGATATTGAATTAGGACTAGGTTAAAATAAAGAGTTTAGAGTACGAGAAAGAATAAAGAGATATGCCAAATGTTAATAATAAAATCAAATAGAAAATATACAAAATTTAAAAGGCTAAGATAATGAAATCAAAGTATTTTAGTATCAATTTGGGTACTTTAGTAGAATTGCATTTATTTCATTGTGATTTTCAAGTTTATTTTACAAATAACATGCAGTTAAGAAATACTTTCTAAAACTATCATATCCTCATTCTCATTTCCAATTATCTTATTTTTTTGTTGTTGAAAACCTTTCCTTGCAGTGTATTTAATTAGTATTTTCATAAAGACTCAGTTTTTAGATCCAATTAACCATTAAAACCAGAAAATGTGTTTCCTATATATCAGGCATGGCTTACTACATATTTATTCTACTTAATGTGTTGAGTTTATTTAATTTTAATTGGTTTGCAGATCATAAAAAATACACATTTCCCATCATAATTACATTTACACATTTGTCTTTCTTTTTCCCCAGTGTTTGAATGTGTTTTGTGACTCAGTCTGGAAATCTGTTTGACTGCCTTGCCTTTAGTACAACTACCATCAGTAGGATTGGTAGTTTGGGCGAGGGGTGAGACATACATAGGTTCAGTTCCATCTCAGCAGCTGAATGAATGACAAGGAAAGTCCTTTAGCCCCTCTGGGCCTGTTTCTTCATGTGCAAAATGTAGATAATGAACACAACAGATATAATGTAGGTGTAAGTTACCCTGACACATAGTAAGCTATTATTATACATTGGCAACAATAATAAACTTTTTTAAAAAAAAGAAATATGTTCATACTTATTTATATTTTGGGGACTCTCAACTTATCAAGAGCTTTATTTCTGTTTTTAAAAATTGAAGATGTTAGTATATTAACAATGTAGCTTGGGTCTCAAGATAGCTTTCATTTCAAAAATCTTGATAAGTTCAGGGAACAATCTTTAAATAAACTTTAGTTCTGTATGCATAATATTCTGTTAAGCATTCCTGTTGGTACCACCCCCTGCGCAAACACACCATCTTGAAAAGGGAGTATTCTTTTGAATATTTTTATGTAGAATTTAAAGGGAGGGAAAGACCCTAAAAGAGATTTAGGTCACAGAATCTAGGGGTTCAACATCATTCCGTAGGCTCAGGAAGTTTCTAAGCTTTTAAAACCCACTCGCGTGAGAAAGTAATTAATTATGCCATCACTTCCCGAGGGGGCGGGAAAAGTGTCTTTGCAGAGGAGTTCAATGCTGTGTACTGGTCTTCCTGAGGAGAAAAAAAAGCCGGGCGGCGAGCATTTGACGGGTCGGGCTTTTCCTCTCAAGTCCCAGCCACGTGGCTCCCGCCAAGCTCCCGAGCTCTGGGCCCACCCTGCCACTCGCCGCGCTGCAGCGCGGCTCTCCCTTCAGGAGGATTCGCGGAGGGGCCCTGGGCCGCAGGAGTTCCGGGAAGTCCGGAACCTCGGAGCCCACCGCCGCCAGACCAAAGGCTACAGCCCCGAACCCGAGCAGGGCAGAGCGCCCGGGCGACGCGAGATGCCAGCCTTCCATTCGAGGGACGCCTGGCGGGCCCCCAGAAGTTTTCCTCGGGGACAGATCTTGGCAACAGGTCCGAGGCGGAGCCGGGTGGAGCCGAGTTTGGCAGTGCCCGGTGAATCAGCGCCGCCCAGCGCCCCGGCCAGCCCTCCTAACCAATGCCAGACCTGGGGAGGAGTAGCCAGGCCGCTGACCATTAGCCACTTAGGGCTCGCTGGGCCTGGAGAAAGGTGACATCATCGTAGCTGGGAGGCTTCCGAAGGATTCACCAATAGCAGGCAGGAGAAGTGGTTTGCTTCTACAGCTCTTGGCCAATACTAACAAAGCAAAAGGGGGCCTGGTTGTCGGTATAGAACCAATGGAAAACAAGGAAGGAGCACGAGGCGGAGTTGCGAATCCTGTCACCAATTGGAAATAGGGGGTGGAGCCCGGGCCTTGTCAAGCGTGACCAACCAGCGAGAGGAGCGGACTTTGGGGGGCGGAGCCGTGATTTCCTACCCCAATCGCACAAGGTCAGGGGCGGGGCATTGTTTGGGGTGCCCAATGAGGAAAGCAGCCGAAGCGAGCCTGTCAAAAGAAGGGGCTGGGGGCGGGGGGATGGTGAGTCGGGGATAAACACTCCGCAGCGGTGGCGGCTGCTGCTCTGCTCCGGGTTCTGTCACGGTGTCAGCGGTGCCCAGCTCACTGGCCCCCTCCCCCTCCCAGCGAGCGTGGTCGCTAGAGAGGCTCCCTGAGCCCTGCTCCGCGGGGTCCACAGCGGGAAGCGGGTGTCCAGCGGCGGCAGCGAGCCCGTGGGCAGTGGGGGTTGGTCCCGTGGCTCCGGCCCCCGGTGCAGAATGGCGGCGGCGGTTCGGATGAACATCCAGATGCTGCTGGAGGCGGCCGACTATCTGGAGCGGCGGGAGAGAGGTGCACGGGGACGGGGAGGAGTCTGGACTAAGTCGGGACCAGGGACCCTGAGGGGCCTGGCCTCAGGTCGGGGAGCCCTGCCGCTCCGGGGGTGGTTGGAGGCGCGGAGAGCGCGACCGCGAGCGCTCCTAACCCCTCCGGCTTTCCCCACGCGCGGTCCAAAGGGAGGCCGTCGCTGTCCCAGAAAGCAATGAATGAGGGTGAAGAAGGGGCTGCCGTCCCCGGAGGTCCCGAGCGCCGCCCCTCCCCGACCCCTCGTGAGTGGGGTGCCCCGGGCTCCCTCAGCCAGTCCTCTCTGGTTTACCTCATCCGGGCTGGTCCTGGCTGGCCCTCAGCTGGGCCCGGAGCCCCCGACTCTCTGGCTGAGCATCAGCGCCTCCCCTGCCCCCCCAGCTCGTTGTTTGTCCCGCACCTTCGCCCGAGGCTGGTCCCGTTTAACCCACACCAACCTGCTGGACGTTGCCAATGGGAAACCCTGGCTCCGTGAGCTTAGCCACTACTGTGTCTTTCTCAACAATGAGCAGCTGGAATCCTCCTAACACCTGCTCCGAACTGAGGGTATTCACACATTAAAAAAAAAAAAATCATTGTTTTCAGAATGCCACCTTGCTCCATTTAATTATTTCCACAATATTCTTTTAAAGATAAATAAATAAGTGAAAAAGGAAACACTGTGGAGGGGAAAGAGTATTAAATATTCTGGGCTCATTCATTAACTGGATCCTCCGGTTTTCTAGAAGCTGAACATGGTTATGCCTCCATGTTACCATACAATAACAAGGACAGAGATGCCTTAAAACGGAGGAACAAATCCAAGAAGAATAACAGCAGTAGCAGGTAATTTGGTAAATATTTCTCTTTCTCTTTTAGGTCATATTGTAGGTGACACAAACTGCAGAATGTAAGTTGCCTGTTGGGATTATAACCCTGTAAATATATTAAGTGATGATCATGATTTAGTAATGCACACATGGTCTTAACCCATTGGAGGAAGCAACCCTTCTGTTTGGGTTGAGGGGGATGAAAAGAAAAGAAAAATAGAAATGTTTTACATTTCTTTATGAACTCTTTAAAATTTAATTTCGCTTTCCTTCCCTTTTGGAGCAGAAATCTGTGGAAGCTTAGAGTGAGATTAATAATAGTGACAGTATTTTGCCTTCAGAAGTTGCAGATTCAGGGCAAGTTTTCTATAATTAAAAATGCTGAACATTATCAATTTCTTTTGCTTTTCATGGTAAATATTTTATAAACATATTAAAGTATCTGACTTTGGCACATAAGTAGTAGGATTTCATATTTGACATGTAAATTAAATCCAGTGGTTTGTCTGATAATCTAATTTGTCATGTTTATTTGAAATGGCAAAGAGTGATTGAAGTTAAAGCCCTACCTGTTTGGTATTAGAGGAACAGTTAATATGAAAATATTAATATGCTACAACCTTTTCATGTTAGCCTTACAGATTGCCTTATACTGTAGTTCTTAAAAAACTGGAGATTTGGTTAATAGTGCAATCACATAATAAAGTCCTATGAATAGCTCCTGGTATATGTAAATATTCCATCAATGCTACTGCTTTTACCCCGCTCTTTGCTCTTAAAATATTAGTTCACTAGGAAGTCTGTTTTATTAGATGCATTCAATTATACCTTTCATGACACTAGATTAAAATATTGACATTTTCATCACTGATTTAGAATCTTTATCCCTCCCTCACCCTAATGAATACCCTGTGAGTAACTATTTGGGTAGTCTCTCTGGCTTAATACCACTAAAAGCCAGGACATTCCCACTTAAACCTAAAACTCACTTGTTCTTGCTGTCTCTTCTGTGCTTAGTTCACTCCATTGTCCTTAGTGTTGTTGGTGGAACCACAGGATGTGAGCAGCATACTTGTGCCACACTCTTATGCCACGCTCTTGAATAAGAAGGCACATGAAGGATGAACCTGGTAATTACCTGGTGCATTTCCTTATTCTCCCATGTTAGCATTACCTCAAGGTGGTAGCCAGTAGTTTGTGCATGAGTACTAAGGCCTTTCATGAAAGATGTTAATACTGACTTGCCTTATGCAATGGTATAAAAACAATTAAGTTGTGTTGTGTTTTGTTACAGTATTAATTTTTAAAATTTTGTTTGGAAGAACTTTGAGACCTTTCAATTTATTTTTCTAGAAAAGTATAGTCCATTTTTGTTTTTATTATCGTCCACTCGTGATTTGAGACAAATTATCCACATTACTAGTCGAGGCTTAATAGCTTAACACTTAATTTTTTGCTAAGTTTCACAGGAAGATTGTGGGGGACGTTTGGTGGTGGGAGAAGAAAATGAGATGAGTGGCTTGGTCCCAAAAGATGATTAGGAAAGAAAAATAACGATAGTTGAGAATTTAAAACCAAGAAATGGATTCTTTCTCTTTTCTTCTCTTTAATAACCAGCAATATTCCTGAAAAATGGCTACAAATCCTGATTTTTTAAGGGGGTCAGAGAGAAGCTCTATTCTGTTAATGGGTTTTCCTTGGTTCGGGGGAGGGTCTGGTATCACAGTCGTTTGTATTGTTGACTAATGAAATAGTTTAATAAATTCAGTGGTGGAAGGATTTTCTGAGAGATCATGATTAAACCTGGAGATGACACCAAACAAACATATGAAGCAAGAGCAAGTAGTTTCATTTAAGTGTGTTAACTTCCTTCATGACCTGTTTGGTAATGCCCCTTTACCTGAGGAGTAAGTAGTCTTAGAGAAAGCAGCTTGACCCCTTGATTTGAATCAGCCTTTATATCCACGGCCATGTATGGTCAGAATTGTGAACTGAGGTGAGGGTAGGAAGAGATTACTTCTGGTTTACATAACCCCTTCGTAACAGTTTATTCTTGTTCATACAGGTTGAAATGCTGTGCTCTTTGCTTGTAGAGTGTGGGGGAGTACTTTTCCTTGGACAATATAAGATTTAGCCACATATAAAGGTCTTAGGAACTGAAAATGTAGATCTTATTCAAGTTTCTCTAGTTGTTTGTTTAAAACAACCACAATAAAAAAACAAATGAAATTGTGAATATTGATTGCTTTGGAATCATCCAGAGAACTACTGGAATACGGGAAGATGAAATTTTTTTCATTCCTACTGATTTTTTGAAATTAGTTACCTATTACTTAGAATTGAAATCTAGAGCTTTTAAAAGTGTTTTGTGAAATTAGTAAAGCAGGCTTTGGCACTCACGTGAAAGAGGAAGTTCAGGACTTGCCACCCAGTTCTTTTATAGGACAGTAGCTATATAGCTAACCCAAGGACTTTTCCCCTTTCTCAGGTACACTGTAGTTTGGCTTTAGTTAACTTTTTATTAGAGTATATTTTTAAATGGTGAAATGTGATCTTTATCAGTGATTCCAGAATTATCAAATCTTTTCAGTAATCACATGGAAAATAGTTTTGATGCAAGGTATCTATGTGTTCTTATAATGCTTTAATTAAAAATATAAATGTTTACCCATCACTGGAGCCGGCAGACAATCTCTGAACTGATCATTTTTGAAAGGCTTGCTTTTTATTAATGACTAACTCAGTTTCAGTAAACCACATATATTTCAGTAATGCCCCAGCCATTAGGTATAAGACCCCTTCAAAAAGCACCATGTGTTCAACAGTCTTAAGTAATCAAATACAATCTGTAGTTTCTAAAATTCCATTCGAAGTTTGGAAGGAGTTGTGCTTCCTATGGAATTTGTTAAAAAGCTTATCATGCAGATTCAGAGCTTTGTGTAAAATATATAAATCTATCAGTTTATCTATCTGTATCTCTTCAAAGAATCCAGAAATTTTTTAGGAGTATACTGTATGCTGTTATTTTCTACTGTCTTTTCAACCTGTTTACTTTCCTCTCTTTCACCTACCGGGGATAGCTCTTGTCTACAGTTAAACAGGGAAATCTTGACCAGCTGTTGTCATATACTTTCATCCACTTAAAAAATCTGTCAGACTTTGAACTTATTGTTCCCAGTTGAAACTAAAATGCCACGTGCTTTAAACCCAAAGGTTTACAGTACAGGCAAGATTCTTGTTAACTATAGTATCCTTCTGGCCATTGAAGGAAGTAAATCTTCAGAAAAATGTGACTGAAGAATGCTGAGGGATGACCAACTGAATCAATTTAAAGCTTTTAAGTTAACCAATTTCCACATACCTAGAAAACAAACATTCTGTAAAATGTAAAATGTTGTAATTTTCTCTTTTTTTTCCCCCCTCACAAATAAAAACTGATCTCCCAAGGGCCTTGTGGAAGAGAAGTTTTAGTGCTGGGTTGGAAATTTCTCATTTTAAGACAACCCCCTCCCAAAATTCAATATACTTACTCCCCCCATCCCCCACCTCTGCTGTGACTGATCCTGGTGGCGGTGCCGCCCCCCCCATGTAAATGAGTGGCTACACATTCTTTAGGTGGTGTTCCTCCATAATTGCTGTGAGAATTTATCTCCTAGGCCCAGTAAGGTGTTGATTATGGCCCCTCAGAATTTGTGACCTGAGCCAGGAATTAAACTCCTGAGATGGTTAGATTCTAGTCTAGAGAATCTTCATAAGAAAGGTCAAGATTCAGCTCCTTTATAATGCTGGGAGGTTCCTCAAGTTTATTTATAACTGTTAAGGAGCCTTTATGTGTGGAGGACACTTAAGGGGACACATTGACTGACTTTTAAAACTTTGTGGAAACCTGTCCATAAAGTCTTGGACCAGAACTTATCTTCAAGGTGAGCTATAAACATACTAATAATATGATTTCACATCTACCACACCTGTCATCCAAGGCTCTCTAATCACTTTTACAGTTGCTACCTCAGTGATCCACACATGTTCTGTAGATAATTGGCAATTATTTTAATTCCCATTTTACAGAGGAGTTAACCAATGACAGGATGGTAAAGAATTTTATTTCTTCCACAGTACTAGTCAGTGGCAAAGCTGGACTTTGGATTTCACCCTGACTTCTGCTGTAGCCACCCTATCATCTTTATGTTGAGCTGAGTTTTGCAGTCCCCTTTCTGAAATCATTCAACAGTGGCACTTTTCATGAGGTTGTACATGATAAAATAATTACTTCAGGGAGTTGAAAGATTGGGGAGGGGCGTTATTTTGCCATTTAAAACAGTATCCGGGCAGGGCACGGTGGCTCACGCCTGTAATCCCAGCACTCTGGGAGGCCGAGGCGGGTGGATTGCTCGAGGTCAGGAGTTCAAAACCACTCTGAGCAAGAGCGAGACCCCGTCTCTACTATAAACAGAAAGAAATTAATTGGCCAACTAATATATAGAAAAAATTAGCTGGGCATGGTGGCACATGCCTGTAGTCCCAGCTACTCGGGAGGCTGAGGCTGCAGGATTCCTTGAGCCCAGGAGTTTGAGGTTGCTGTGAGCTAGGCTGACGCCACGGCACTCACTCTAGCCTGGGCAACAAAGTGAGACTCTGTCTCAAAAAAAAAAAAAAAAAAAACCAGTATTCTACAGTCAAACAACTTAGCATAAAATCTTAGTGTATGCTATGCCTAGAAAAAATTGCAGGGGTGGGGAAGGGGTGCCACCTCCACTGTTCTACCCTTAGCCTAAAGAAAGCTTTGTGGTATTATATAACCTAAATTCACCATTGCACTGTGCAGCTGTTTTTCTCTTTGTATAAATAGACCCCTTTTGTTTTCTTTCTTAAAATGGATTATTTTTCCACTAGGGAATGCATGCCTCTTGGTTTGTCACTTTTTCTTGAACTCTATTTTAGATATTTACATTTATCTAACTCCTCAAATGGACTAATTTCTGTAGTAGAGCCTAGTGAATTTTTCTCCCTTTCTCCATTTTCTCTCTTGCTAACGTTGAGGAGAAAGAAGTTAAAATAATTGATAATTGTGTTGGTGTTGAAGTTGTCCTTTAAGACAAGACTAATCTTGTTCTTATTGTTTCCTCTTTCAGATCAACTCACAATGAAATGGAGAAGAATAGGTGAGTTGGGGATTTTGGAGGTAGAAGGTGGGGAGTTTTGATGTAATCTCTATTCATTACGTTGAGACTTGGTTGCCCCCTCCCCAGAGTGGTCTTGCTATGTTGCCCAAGCTGGTCTTGAACTCCTGGGCTCAAGCGATCCTCCTGCCTCAGCCTCCCAGAGTGCTGGGATTATAGGTGCACACTATCATGCCCGGTTTGGTTGCTCTTTTTGACTCTTCCTGCTGGTATTAGCTGATATAAGAGTTTACCTAGGGCCCGCTAAGCAGCATTGCCTGAGGTAGATGAAGAGCTTTCCAGTTACAAAGACTACACCCCCATCTCTCACCCTCTAGCCCACTCCTGAGGAAGGCCTTTGTGTGACTGTTCCACAGACCAAAGCATTTTAGCTCATAGGCAATGTTTCCACAAATAGTGTTCTTAAAAACTTACATGCTACTGAATACAATTGGTAGTGTTGTCTTAAATCATATATGTACAGATATATATATATACATGTATGTATGTGTGTGTACATATTTGTAGTTTTGAATGAGAATTCTCAAATTTGAGGCATATGTATGCAAGGCAGAAATTGGAGATGGTGACCGGCTAGAGGAGGCCTGCCACCCTCACTGGGTTCCGTCTTGCCACAAGCCTGAGTTGAATCTCTCTCACTTGCATTGCCTCTTGTTGCTTATTTAATCTTTATTTTTGCAAATCAAGTTGCCCCTCCTTCAGTGAGGTAGTCTGGTGGTTCTCAACTCTGGTTGCACATTAGAATCACTTGCAAAGCATTTATTTTAATGTATTTTAAAAATACTTTTTATATTAACTACATTATACACATAGATTCGTATTTTATTTTTGGTGGGAAAAAGAACAAATGTTTATTTCTGCTGATTCTATGAAATAACTTTTTATTATAGGAAATTTCACATATACCAAAGTAAATAATGTCATAAATTCCTATGTATCCATCACCCAGCTTCAATAATTATCGTCATTTTGCTAATCTTCTATAATCAAAACCACTCCTCTCCATGGCGTATTTCAAAGCAAATTTTCTTCTATCTATCTCTAGCAAAGACTTAAAAAACAGAAACAAAACTACTTGCTTTTACTGTGCTGAAAAAAAATTAAAGATAATTCTTGGTAGAGCTTTAAACCACACAGCCCTTCCCCCTCCCAAACAACAACAACAACAACAATGCTAAGCCCTCACCCTTAGCAAGTCTGATTTAATTAGTTTGGGTTGAGACTCTCCACTAGTGTTTTTCAAAAGCTCCCCAGGTGATTCTCATGTGCTGCCAGGGCCTAGAACCATTGAACAAGTCTCATTCTGGTCTCTGAGTGCCCATCAATTTGAAATGTGGGCTACCCATCCAAATTGAGTGCTTTCTCAGTGCCCTGCATGAACAAGAAAATAATATGTAATGTTGGCTCTGTAAACGCATGGGATTATTCCTGCGAACTCTCTTTGTAAAAGGAGCCTGACTCTGAAAGTCAAGATCTAAATGATAATTTGTTTTGTCAATGAAAGGGCAGACCAGACCCTTACCAGGCAGGTAGAATCTTGGAAGAGGGTGAACATTTAGCTTTTACTCCACTATGGAATTTCGTGGATGTATGTGAGAGAGAGAGAGCATTTGCACATGTGTGCCCCTCACTGAACATGTATTTCTCATCCCTTCTTCCTTTTTAATTGCTCTGTGATTGTGACTGACCATGTTTTAAGTCAGAGCTTCCTTTATGCTTTAGGGATTTACATATCATGAATTAGAAACTCAAAAGTATCTCCTCCTAAGTGGAAAGATGGTCAGCCGTGGCTTCTCTTTGTCATCATTTAGAGTCTCTGCCTCCTGCCTTTGCAGAGATCTGGGTAAATGGGGCTATTTCTTTCTGCCGAAAAGTTTCCTATTAACAGTTCTTTTCCCCACTAACCTTTTACTTAGGCATTTATTTTTGTTATTAAAATTTCATCCCTTCAGGTAAAGGCTCTTAGACTTATTATAGCTTTGTGCCTTTCAACATCTGCAAGAGTGCCACAGAATGTCAATTGTATTATTTATTTTAGCAGCTCAGGGATGTTTGTTTTCTGTTTACAGTGGCTGGAGAAATTGTGGTTGGTACTGGGTATTAAATGAGTTCATGTTGGGGTATTAAATCAGCGAGGCCCCATCCCAGAGGAATGTGCAGTTTGTCTAATGAGAAGGACACAGAGACAATTTCATTTAGTAAACTAAGTGCTAAGATTGAGATATGCACTAGAGTCCAGAAAACTGGATTTCAAGTCACCACTGGGCAAGCTGCTTCTAATTCAGTTTGTTTCCATATGACCAGTCAACTTTAGCTTGTTGAGGAGCTAGTTATCTAATTTCCTTATTTTCCTTTCATTTTTGGAGTTTGGTCTTTTGAGGTCTTGATAATTCTTTCTCTAGTCTCGAGTGTGTGAACAGAAGAAAAGGACAGTAAGGGCTCAATTTACCTAGTTTAACCAAGCATTGGTTCCTATAGTCCAGAAGAAAAGGTTTAAGTTGTTGGGCTCTTCTTCCTTATTAGTGTGGATGCTTAAGAACTTTAGGGTTTTTGGGCCCATTGAACAATTGCTCTTGTGGTGTCCCTGGTTTTATTAGCTGAATCCTATAAAAGAATACCACTCCGGCAAATGCAAACACATTTTAGCCATTTTTTTTTTACCGTAAAACATTACATAAAAAGATTGCCTTGGTTCTCAAAAAAGGGAAGGGGGCAACTTAGAAGAACTTCTAAGAATGAGAAGTTTTTTTCTTTGATTATGTTTAGTATCTCCTCCTTTAGTATCTCCTTGAGAGACTCTTTAGTATGTTTAGTATCCTCCTTTAGTATGTTTAGTATCTCTCCTTTAGTATCTCCTTTAGAGACTCTAAAGATGACAGAGAGAAGCCACAGCTGACTATCTTTCCACTTAGGAGGAGATACTTTTGTTTAGGTTAGTTTTCTTAAATAGAAAACTTTTCTACGGCACTTTAGAGATTCTAAAAGTGTTACTCTATGTAATCAGTACTTCACTGTGAGGATATTATACTCAATACTAACACTTTTAAGTATCTTGGCATTGGTGGGAAGATGAAAGAAAAGACTTCTAGAATGGTGGTGGTGGTATTTTCCACTCATTGTGATGGGTGTTGAGCACATAAGCCATGTAGTAGGTAGTAGGTGCTGGGAGGACAGAGTCCAATAAAGACTAAGCCCCTGTTGTGGAAGAGTTCAATGTAGTATATTCTGGAGGGGGGTTGTCAGTTGGCACGTGGCCTGTGTTTCTCTGCATTTAAACTAATTTTCTGAGGCTAGTCTCCTAAGGAAACACCCTTGGTATGTGTGTGTGTGTGTGTGTGTGGTTTTTCTTTTCTTTTTTTAAACTAATAGAAAATTTTGAGAAATGTAGAAAATAATGCTAAAAATTTAAATCATCCATAATTCTAGCAGTCAGAGAAAAACCAAAGGAAGTTTGAAATATATCTTTCCAACTGTTTTAGAAAATAACTTAAAAAACATAGTTTAGTGTATAAAATTAGAAAATTAGAAAAATCACAAAGAATATAAAAATTACATATAATAGGCCTCACAGAGGTAATAACTGCTGGCCTTTGTTTTATATCTATCTAGACTTTTATGTATACTTTTTTTTTTAACCAATATAGGATCATGTAGTAAATAATTTGTAGCTTCTTTCTTTTCAAGTTATATTATGAACATTTTCAAATGTCATTAAATCTCCTTTTCCAGCATTACTTTCAGTGAACGCCCAGTATTATGTCACATGAATGTGTCAGAACTCATATAACCGATCTGCTATTATAGGTTCTTCTCAGTGTTTTGCTAATATAAATAATGCTTCTTTAAACTGCTTTGTAGATAAAGCTCTGTCCAGCATCACAGTTATTTTCTTAGGATAAATTTATAGCTGTGGAATGAATGGTATACATGTTTTTATGGTTTTTGATATTGATTGCAGGCTTGCCCACCAGGCAGGTTACAGGCAGTATTTTCCTTATACCTTCACAAGTTTGTATTGTAACTTAAGACCTTTATGAGTTTGATAAGTAAAAACAAACAAAAAACAAACAAACAAAAAGCAACACTGGCAATGTTTTAAAATTTGCATTTCCTATATTACTAGCATAGTTGAATAATTTTCACATCTTCGACTCTGTGAATGAATTACCTATTAAATAACCTTTGCCCAATTTTCTACTGAAGAGTTTATCTTTTTATTTTAAAAAGATTCCATAATAGGATATATATGAAACATATTGTCCCTTTTTCCATCACATAATTATACAGTTTACCATTTACCTTTATGGAATCAGTCTTTTCTCACTGATTCTAATTGCTGCCTCTGGTGTATACTTAATTCTTGTTTATGGCTAAGTCTGTTTCTAGACTTGTTCTTCTGGTCCATTGATCCATCTGTTCTTCCTATGCCCAGTATACAGTGTTTTAATCAGTGAGGTTTTATCATGCATTGCAGGATCTGAAAAAGCAAATGTGTACTCTTCCTTGCATTCTCCTTCTTTTATTTTTCCATGCTCTTAGCTATTTTCACCAGTTTATTTTTCCTGACAAATTTTATAATAAATTCCCCATCCCCTAAATTCTTTTGGGATTTTTTTAAATTGAAATTGCATAATTCTAATATATATTAACTTTAAAAGGTTCATGCTTATATATTCAATCTTTTCATCCAGGTTATTATGAAGGTTATTATAACCTTTTCATCCAGGTTATTATATTTTAATTTATTCAGATCTCTTTTGTGTCTCTAAGCAAAGTTTTGTAGTGTTTCTAGTTAGGTCTTATACATTTCTTGTAAAAGGTATTCCTGGTTTATGTATTTTTAGATTGCTATTGGTTTCCCATTGGAGCCAAATAATGATTATTGTTAGAATGTAGGAAATATCTTTTGTTGTTATGTGCCCTTTATTGATGATAATTCTGTTTCTTTCTCTTAGCTGGAAATTCCTCTGCTTTAAATGCCT